ATTATTATTATTATTATTATTATTGATTAATTTTGCACTAAGAAGTGAAAGTGTACAAGACATTTATGATGTTTAATACACTTTCTCTGCTATAAAAGATGCTTTTGAATTTTTAATGTCTACAGATCAAATACTAGGGTGAGCTACCTGCTTTGACTTTTAATTCCAAAGGGAGTTATTCCTTACTGGACATATGTATTCTGGGTGAAGCATGGAAGCATGTCTGTCTTTTCAGAGTAATACACATTCAATTTGTACATACAGTACATACAGTAGAGCAAAAGATATTGTACATTTGCAGTGCTGTATATGGAGATACACATAAACACATATTCTAGACTGTATACCTTGATTTCTAGTTATATTAAGCATATATTTTGAAAAAGAAAGAAAATTCACATTCAGACTGTTCAGATATATTTTGTTTGCCATCATAAGTTTTTCTTATTTGCATTGTGAAAAAATGAAATGCCTTATTAGACATATTCTCAGGCTTAGCAATACATTTTTTCTGTATTTGCTTTTTTTAAGGCTTTTCAATGCAATGAAATATTTTGGAAGTTATCATTTGAGCAACAGTAATATTTTTCTGAAGACTAAGCCTGCATTCTGATATAACCGATAGAAATGCGAGATTAAGCTCTTCATGCAAGTTTCTTTTACATGCACCATGTAGTTTTTGCCAAGCCCTTGCAATATTCTTTAACATCTATAATGCCCTGTCTGAATTACGGTTGCACATTTCTTTTTCTGAATTGTGCTTTCAAGTCAAGTATCAGAGATGGCATATTGCCAGACTTAAACATCCAAAAGAATATCATTTGGACTTGAGGGATGAAGTGGAGTACTATATAAATGAATCCCATAAAATGCACCCAGCTGTATCGATGTTGGCTCACTATCCATTTCATTTACAACCCTCAGCATGAAAAGAGTAGCATTAAAGATGTTCTCAAATGTTTAGCTCTGTGATACAGCAAAAGTGCTTTAAGTCAAATTCCAAACCTATAACCCTATCCAACCGCAAAAGCATTATAAAATAGTCTCTAAAAATAATATTTTGAATGCATTAGATGTTTGATAATTGAAACAAACAAAAACTAAAGGCAGCATACTTGGTATCCAATGACTGCTGCTTCAACAGTAGCAGATGTGTTAAGCCCCTGAGTGTAATAACATTTTTCTATTTCTTAATAGGTCCTTTTAGAGAGCTAGAATAGTCGCATGGGGAGGAGAGCAATTCATAGTTGGGGATTATTAGGAGGCCATGATAAAGGTAAAGGCCAATGGGAAAATCTGGCCAGGATGCCCCTAATCTTTTCGAGAAACACCCAGGGATTTTCAATGACCACAGGGAGTCAGGACCTCAGTTTTACTTCTCATCCAAAGGACAGTGTTTTTTTACTGTACATTGTCCCCATCACTATACTGAGGCATTAGGACCCACACAGACCGCAGGGTGAGCACCCCCTATTGGACCCATTAACACCTCTTCCAGCAGAAACATTAGTTTGTCCCAGATCTCCCAACCAGGTACTAACCAGGCTCAAACCTGCTGCACTTCAGTGGGTTGCAGGGTGAAATGCCTGCTCGCTGAATGGAGTTAAACAGAGTGCATCACCTCGTGCTGCAACTTACTCTCGGGCTCAGGAACCAACAAAAGCTGCTGTTGGAGTGGCTCAGTCTATAAATGTGCTTGACTGATTCTGGACAAGGGTCATGGGTGAAGATTAGGATTTTCTAAGGAGCCAAGTGCAATTGGCTGAGCAGAGCCAAGGGTAGTGGGACCAGTAGGTCAGGGCTCTCTCAGATCTCTGTGACATAGCCACCCCTGCATTCTGCCATGCCTTGCTCACATGCAGCACTGCTGGTGATGGCCACTGCTCCTCTCCATTCAGCACTCGACCTCTGGCACAGAACTGTGTCGCCTGTGACGTGCTCAAAAACAAGTGGCTCCAAGTGGGGTGAGCAGAAGGCGTCGGCATACACTTCCTCATTTTCCCCTGCGTACAGCCATAGATTTGTAGCTGTGACCAAAGGTGTGAAAAAACACAAACTGGCTATACAAAATCAGGTGGGTGCAGCAAAATCAAATGGAGAGTTTAATTGCTTTAAAAAATTTTGTAAGCTTCTTTTCTGCCACTGATAAGAAGTATACAAAATCCTTCCTGAAAAATAGATGTGATGGGCACTGTACAGCATATGTACTATAAATATTGTATGCAGGATTTTGTGTGTGCAGGTACAAAATACCTAAATTTTGCAGTAGATAGTCAGTGTCTTCCCACTAGATATTAAGCTGACCTTTAAACATCAATATTTCTTGGAACCCAAATGTTGCAGTATGGATCCCCACTGTGGGTAAACATGTGAATATCTGAATATCACAGCATCTACGGTGCCTCTCTCTGGCTAAGAGCCCTACAGAGTGATATCTTATTGGAATACAGAATTGCGAATCAGCAGGGATTTAAAATCATTCTGACAAAAATTCACTGTGTACAGAGGCCAATTTCAATGCAGCAAAGCCTGGAAGCCCAGGACAGATTTGTAAAAGAAATTCCGTATGCGCAATTCCCCTTCTTCAGATAATAGCAAAAGTGATTTATTTTCATCCACCTATCATTTCAGCTGATTTTAGACTGAGATGAGGTGACTGTTTCTCTGGTTATTTGCAATTTATGCAGCCGAGATTTGTTATATGAATGTGTCGCAGGGGTTTGTGCCATTACTGCTTCAGAAGTGTCTCCCATGTGGGACGCCATGCATTTCACCAAATGTTGACAGTGTTTTTTATTTTCCATGGCAGCGGTGATAGCAGAAGTGTCAGCGTGACTGATCTTGTTCATTCTGCCAACATTCTTGAGGCTTCTGTTATTGAATTCACAGATTTAGCCACATTTATGTATGTCACAAAGAAATCAATAAATTAGCCAAATAAAGCACAAAAGCCTTTCAATAATTTGCAGCAGCTGTGGATGTTAGTGTAAAAAAACATGAAGAATTTGACTGAAATGCATTGCCTAAAACTTGAGGTTGTTTAGCAGTCCGTAATGTCAGCTGAAGAGAGCATGACATTGACTTTGATTTGCAAAAATGGGTACTTATAAAATATTTTCAGTCCAATGTAATAATGTATGGTGATACAAAAAATCAGGTATTGTTAGTTCAAACATAGGGGACATGCATATTTCTGTAGATATCCACCTCCATCTTGTAAATACACTGAGCACCAAAAGAAACTTATAAAGACTACAAATTCACAACTTTACAATCTTTTTCGTATAAGGTACACTATTTTTTTCCTAAACAGATATGATCTAGTATTGACACATTTGATCAATAGGAGTCTACTGGGAAAGTCATAGGTTTGAGGCCACTGCTGGAAGCAATACAAGCTGTACATCTTTAAACCACATTGCAGATGCTGTCTTGCAGGACTTTGTCTCATTCTTCATGCACAGCCTAGATAAGCACATGTCTGTTCTTACATACAGTATTACATATCATTCCAGCTTATCCCACACAAAAATTCAATGGTGCTCAGCTCTGGTGAATAGGGCATCTACAGCATACCTGTCAAATTTTCATCTTGCAAGAAAACTCATAGTAACGCAAACAGCTAACATGCATCGGCTTGTTGGAATGCAGTCACATCAGGATGATGCCACAGGAAAGGCGAAATTTGAGATCCAACTCACTGATATCCATCATGGTGGTCTATAAAAAACCTACAACATACAATGACACCTACAGTAGGTATTGTTCACTTGGGAAGTGTGGTATATTGGCTACATTCTGTGTAAATTTGATATTCGACAGGTTAAATCACCACATTCCCTCTACCTAATCTGCGTACACTAATGGTACACTAATGGTGATTTAGTAAACTTGCTAGAGTTAGTCATTTTTACATTTAGTCATTTATGATTAATTAATCATAATGACCCTAAAAACATTCAATGTGAAAAATCTGTATACCTGTACTTTATTTAAAAAACATATAGTACTGTATATGCATGAATAGTGATTTTTTTATTTTCAGTATATATGTGTTCAAAGGAGAGTATGGACTTTTTGTATTAATTAATAATACAGAATTAGATTATATAATACATTTACACTATATTAAAAGAAGAATAAACATACAGCAACAAATAAAAAGCATTAGATCATGTATACCGTCACCAAATCATAGCAATATAATGTAAACAGGAGTATTGACTTAGTTCATAAAACCAAGCAGATTTTCCACAGCCAAAACCATAGGTAGGAAAATTGATTTTTGCCTTTTTACATGCAGGAACAATGAATGTTGATCCTCCTGTTGTAATGTTTAAATGGACTAAATGCAATTTCTCTCTCCTAATTCTGTTTATTTGTCTCTTGCTATCACACTGTTTGATAATCCTTCTTATAATTGACTCTAAATTCAGTTTATTAATACATACTGCAAAGCATTGGTTGTGCATCACTTGTAATTTGAGCCTCACCAGGAATCCCATTTCTTATTTAAAGCAAATAAATGGGAGAATTGACAAGACTGTATTGATTGTGAATCAATACTTAAGCTACCTTTCTTTATAAAGTTAACAAGAAACCAGTGACTATTTCATTTTAATTTGAAAAACAGCATACCTTCTATTAAATTTGTGACATAAACCATCAGGTCATTACATTTTAATACATTTTGTTTCTTACAGACACTACACTGAATATATGAGTGGGCTATTCATCCCTATGGGCACAAGTTAATCTATTTTTATCAGCTCCTTCATCTGCTTTTCAAAAGTACTTTTTAAAAACCTTTTGCTAAGATGTAGATTCACTTCTCAGCATTAGGATTTTATACTAATAATAAAAAGAAAGAATGCTGTTGACACTAACATTTTAATGTTTCTCTCTTTGTTTCTGGCACAGGAAAAAAAAAGTAGCAAGTGACTTTGAAAGGAATGTTATATAATGCAGAAACAGAGAGAAAAGAGTAAACAAAGAAAAAAAAATAATTCCTTGTTATATTACCCTTAAATCTCTATTTATTGTAATAGCTTTTATTATGGTAGGAGTAATTCCAGGGCTTTGAAGAGGATGGGAACTGGGTAACAGCAAGCACACTGAGAGGGGTGTGCTGTGTCCTGTCATGCCTTCCAAACCACACTAGGTCTCTTCCGGCCTGGGCCGCTGAACCTCTTGACATCTGAGCGTGGTTCTGAGGAAAGCGCCTGAAGCTGGGGCGGTCTGTCTCCTGGCAGCCTAGGTACTCTGTGTGGTAGAATGACATGCCATCTCCATCCACAGACACAAGGGGCACAGCATCCTGAGTCCAGAGGAAAAAGTTGTGGGAGCTGTGCTGAGAAAAACCGTCCAAAGCCTTTCTGCGCCCCAGACCCTTTAGAAAAATATAAGGTTACGTTTGTAAAGACTTCATCAAGTTATTTCAACAATGTTTCTCTTTGATTTTTTTTTATGTTTCATGGTTGAAATTTGGTTTTGTGTGGGTGTGTGTGTGTGTTCGTTTTTCTCTTCCTGACATTTACATTTCACTCTGTGAAACTTTTAGGGTTTTACGAAGCTGTAGAAGATATTCTGGAAACCAGCATGAAAAAGTGAAGAACATTTGAAAACTACAAAGAAAGTGCTAAAGTGTACTGTTTTCTTTAGTGCCAAAATTTGAAATACGGAGCCTGTACAGTTTTTAAAAACCAGTTACTTACAACATCAAACATTTCAGAGGTACGGTGTAAAGCAAAGCGATTATCGTGAACAGAAAATGGGTATTCTCTTTTTTCAGTGTTCTGAAAGATAAGAGGTAGACAGAATTAAAACAAAGCCACCTAATTATACAAATAATATGTATTGTTATCATTGTTAATATGTTGACTATAATACTTAAAAATAAGTTAAACAATACTTATTTTTTTACTTTGGATATTAAAAACATACATTGTTAGAAAGATCTATTTTTTATGTGAATATGGCATTTTGCACAAATGCAGGTACTGAAGTACAGATTTACATACAACTTTTCTTTTATAGTTTTGGGCTTTTATTATTTCAATTAATAAAAATAAAACTGATTAATACTTTCTGGCTATAAATGAAGCCTTTTCTGGGTGAAATTTCTTACTTTGAGGTGTCCTGCCCACTTGTGTTCATAATCCATCTCTATTAACTTAACCCCATAGAAACTGTATACTGTAATGAATTTGGCTCATTGCAAACTTTTGAATTTTCTTGTTACAGTATATAGGAATATTATAACACTGTGAATTTGCATAATTAATTGAGTTAATAAGCCATTAAACCCCTAAGCTTTAATAAAATTAAAAATGTATGTCAAGAGTAAAATCGCAGAACTGCAAACTGAACACTTTTATGTACAAGGCAAAGATTATCTTATTTTCTCTCACCCCTTCTGTGGTTCTGGAGGTCTTCAGGTATCTTTCTGGGACACCATTTGGTGGATGTTTTGTTGCCTGTGTTAGCATGCACCCTGTGCTTGTAGCAGCCTCTCTTTTAAATGGGATTGGGGGAAAACCTAGATGGGAAAACTGGAAAATTCATAATTCATTGTAAATTTCACAGATAGGTAATAATAATAATTAATGTAGGACTGTAATTATATGTACAATACTACTAAATTATATTATTTATAGCAGTAAATCCAGTGTCTACCAAAAAATCCAAATTAAACAGAGGTGAGAAAACTAGGAACTCAAGAGGAATTCTGCTTTTTTCTTCTTAACATTAGGGCATCATACTTAGTGAGGCTAGTCACCAAATCCCATCTAATAAACAGAACTGAACTAATGACTTTGAAATCTATTAGAAGGCTAATGCTGTTCATAATTGAGTCGACCTTCCCATTTTCTTAGTGATTATTTATAATTAATGAGTTCAAAACAATTACGCTGAGAACACTGAAAAACTTACCCATTCACCATCTCTATCCATACATGGGTTCCAGTTTCTTCCTTTTGGCATTTTGCTAAAGTTAAATCACAAATCGGTTACATAACCCTTTCATTAATTAGCATAAATAAACTGCGGCTTTATCTCAATATTTGTTCTCTCAACATATATTAAAACAAACACTATCTAAAACACACTTTATTAACAAGTCATAAAGCACACAGGAGGACTGAGTTTTGCTGTAACCATAGAAACAGCAATACACAGTTGCTTCCTGATATCCCCGCGGGAGAATTTTGTAAGATGTTGAGCTATGTATTATTTGGCGACAAGTTCGTAGTGCTTGTAATTTGTCTGACACACAGTAAATACGTATGCTGAATATCTATTCAAATTTTTATTTAATTGGGGTTTTTGCTTTTTAAAAAAATCTAAGGCCAGTGATAAAAAATTCAGACACGAACAAATTCAGACATGGATTAATATTTAGCAGCTCTGTGAGTTTGCCCCCCATACAAAAACCACAATAACTCGCAATTAAATCGTATAAACTGTTTTTGTCTCTGAGATACTGAAACGGAGATCAACATAACAATTGACGCTATGGAAATTAGAATTTAATCGGTATCTATGACCGATAGTCCATCTATTTTTTACACACTTAGTGGAGTGGAGTGTCTCGAGGACGATCGCCACTACTCCGAGCCACTTCAGGGTGTGTTACATTTGGGCCCCAGACCTATCTAAGATAATTACGGAAAATTTTGTTCACTCGTAACCCAGTTTTATTCATTTGCAACGGCATAGGAACACTTGTTCTTCCACATCACACAATGTTTATAATAACTAGCCATTTAAATTCAATCAATGCAGTAATGTTTGCTTGGGCCTGTGATTTGTCTTCTATTTGCCTGGTAAAACAACATATTTTGATAATTGCCCTACTGCAGAATTACACCAAATGACATAGTGAAACTTAATATCATACTCAGATAAAAATGACTAAAACGTTGCTTATTATTTTTTACATGAAACTATATGTAGTTTGATAATTAGGAAATAAAAAGTTTACAGTTTGAGAGCATAACCTGTTTTTTTTTTTGCCTACAGTTGTCCTTTGCAAGTAAAAAGCAATGGTTCTTTCAGTTACACCTACTGTCATGATACCGTATGGTCTGAAGCTCATTTAACATAAACAGGATTCAATTGAATCCACTTCTTCGGGGATCCCGAAGTCAGCACAATAATGTTGGGGACAGTACTGAATGCGGACTCCTTCTTGTAATTTAGCAGGTTAAAAATGGTCATGAATGCAGTCTCCGTTTTAACGGTTGTGACTTCACTATTGACTGTATTGATGCGTGTGAATGCAAGATAATTCTATGCCGTGCTTGAAATCGTATTTTTTGGTTATTACGCTGAATATTCTGTATTTGAAATTACAGAAGTAAATTCAGATTTACTTTCCCGTACTCAGACCAACTTCAGTTGAATCGCTGCTTACATGGGACGCAGTGAGGTGCTATGACAAACTAGTATTTCTCTTGTATGTCTTCAAACGATATCATTCAGCTTATAAAATTTATAAAAGGGAGGACATTGCAAACATTGTTTAAGAAATAATTTGAAATGGCTAGTTATTAATACGCTTATAAATACAAAACGTCTCACGAATTTAGTTAATATTTCAATTAGTTTTTTTATCATACATTTTATCTTATGTTGAACTAATACTAGAAAAGAACATATTGTTATTTTTTCGCAACCACACATACTTGGAGCCAATGCCATTTTATTCGTATTTTTTTGTATTATTTCTGCATTCTATATATTTTTATATTTTTATTTAAAAGCTGTAAATAACTGATAACTCAGCTGAAAGGGGAGACGGAATATGGAGTTTTCTCGAGTTTTCTCGAACACGGAAGTACAACTAGTGACCGTGTGTATTTCCGGGTTACTGGCAGCAGGTATGTGTGTTTCATGCTGTTGTAGTGCACTGCAGTACTCAGCTTTCTGCGTGTATGAGTCGACAGAGTCAAAGTATTAAGAATGAAAGAAACGGCAACAATATCAAAACATTATTCTTTTTTTAGTAAGCTAACGCATAATATGTAGAATCAACACTGTTGTACAAGACGTTTCTGGAGGCAGGCAAGTTACCGAATAACATGAAAGTAAATTTGCAGTGCTGTTGTGTTAAATATAGCTGCCACTAAGATTGTCGATACTTGAACTGAAAATCAGTCTTTCAAGAGATCGGGCCAGGTGAAGGACTGTTTGAAGAAATATTGCGCCCAGCATTTAATGATCTACAAAAAGGCTAAAGACTAAACCGTTTTCATGAATTTCCCTGCACCAATACACAGACGGAGAAAACTCTGGAAATCTCTCCAGATAGACGACGGTAAATGAGCGCAGAGAGGGGAACACATTCCCCCGTCTCTCCTGTCGCGGGCACCGGAGAGGCGGGGGGCAACATGCTGCCAGAAAGCAAAGACGACATGAGACAGGTAAGGAAACATTGCTTGTTGCTTCGCTTTGTTGATCGAATTAGCTGAAGAGCACCGAACATAGAGGGAACAGATGTTCGCATAAACCGGTAAGTTTATGTCATGTAGCAGAGCTTTTGCAAAAGTACTGGTCACGGTAAGGTATGGTCATTAATATTGTTAGATAACAAATATTTTCCATCTCATGACTTCCTCTGGAGCTCTTTTGTTGTAGTAGTATAGAATTTTTGCTTCATACTCCTATCGGAAATCTAGCATACAATCCTGACGATGCCTTCGTTTTTAGGTGCTGTAATTATGTGGGTTTTGTTGGCGTACTTTAATTTCTGCGAATGATAATGTGCACATTTATGCGTCGATACATAAAACTAAAGTTTGCAGTATTGCCTTTCATTTGGTTTTCCAGGTGGCAAAAGGGTTAAAATGTCTTGTATTTAGAAATCCAAACAGCATCCGACATAGATCTTTGTAACATCTCTTCCGCAATTAGAAAGAGTGCGAATAATGAGTGAAAACCGTTAAGCTTATAGAATAAAAAATCTGATGTGCTAAGGAATCACTTCACATAACTTCTACAGATTTAATTTTCCTGCTCTTGTCAATGGTTACAGTTGTCAAAGGAATTGCTTAAAATTGACTCATAATGCATTGTAATGGCCTACCAAAGAGAATTTCATAGTAATTCACTCCAGGCTGTTTCCAGTTGAAAGCAATGGAGAAATAAAATTAAACCAAGAAAACATGAGGCTAAGAGAAGGCTATTTAAAATTAGCTCCACATAGATCGGACTGTGTCTTAATCATTTGACATCTGCCAGTGTTCTGTAATGTGATTTCCAGAAAATAGGAGTTTCCATTTTAGCATTTCTCAAGTACTTTGATGGTGTGAGTAACCATTACGTCTACCTATCTGCCTACTCACTCACCTTTCTTAGAAAACTGAAGGATCGCATCTCATACTACGCATGTGTTCATCCAAGATTTGTATTACAAAGAGTGACATTGTAATGTCCCTTTTATGTTTACTTTTTTAAAAGAGGAAAAAGGTCAATAATGTGTGTTCAAGACAGATTTCAGCGAATCAGATATGTCCCATGAGTATGTAAGACAAAAATGTAAGCTAAAAAAATATGAAAAACATTTTATATGAACTTCTTTCAATATGCCACTAACAAAATTCCGGGTGAGCTCAAAGCTTCAGTTGTTTGGGGGAATCAGGTAACGTCTGTGTATCAGGGCTTTTTGCTTAAGAAGTTCCTCAGTGCTGTTTCCCTCTGCATGTGACAGGAGTCAGCCATGTGTCTGGGCAGCAACGAAGTGAAGAGTCGGGCTGTGGTGAAGTACTCTGCCGCCCCGCCGCCCGCGACCTATGCCCTCTTGCAGGAGAAGACGGACCTGAAGCTGCCGCCTGCCAACTGGCTCCGTGAGAGCACCCAGCTGGGGCCTGCCGGCACCACCGTCCTGGGCTCCAGCAGCAAGAGCAAACCGTTCTCCAGGTACATGTGACGCAGTGGGCTTCCCTCGACGGCCGCGCTGACCTGCATCCTAACCGCTCCAGTGCAAGAGCCTTTCTGCTTTTCTGTTGTGTCTTGGCACGTCTTAACCATGCATAAACTGGAGATACTACACTACAGCACAGTAATCTCCCCCCCCCCCCCACCCCTGTTGTGCCTCTTTAGATTTTTGTAAAAAAATAATTTTTTCCTAAATCAATAGTTACATGATGCACGGAAAACATTTGCTTTAGCAAAGGTTAAAGTATAAATCATTCTGATATCTTCTGGAAAGACTGGTTCAGAAAACAACCTTTAGTACAAAATGTCTTTTTTTTTGTATCTCATTCCATTTCTTTTTTGTGTTTTAATATGTATTTTCTTCATACATTTTTTTTATGCACAGCTTTGGGATGGCATACGACTTTATTGACTGTATCGGGAATGATGTGGATGTCGTATCTGATTCTGAGGTATGTCTGATATGTAGAAGAATCATGTGGTATTGGTGATGGTGCCTCGTACTCCACTAGTGCTGTCTCCGTACTGCAGCACTCTTCAGACTGCAGGCCTTGTGCCTGGTGTCAAGGAAACTCCAGTATCACCAGGCAAAACATTCATCGGCTCTCCCACCAACCATTACTTCTGCACGTGTGATGAGTGCCTGTAGAAGAAGCAGATGATTTTGTCTTTGAAAGTTCAGTCGAATTGCAATTTAAATGCCAGTTTCACAGATGCAGAGCAGGTAACCATGTCCACTTCTCTGTGGATTCTTCTGCAGGTCTTACAAACGGTTACAAACGAGGAGCCGTTCATCCCTTCTAAGCTGCTTGGTAGTTAGTTGTTAATTCATCCATCCTGTTTTGAAAGTAGCCAGGGTATTGGCTTTAACAACCAGACTGGGTCATTTGTTCCATATTACCTTTGGGTAAAGAGGTGTCTCCAGTTAATGGTTTTAAATGCAATTTCATGCAGTTTTCATTTGAGCCCTCTTGGTCATTTTCACTGTTTCTTTGGAAAACAAATCCGTTGGGTTTGAAGCTATGGTTTAAATTATGGAATGAAAGTTTGTAGTGCATGGCAAAAGAAAATGGGCTAACATATTCATTTATTTATTCTCTCAGAACATTAAGAAGCTCTTAAAGATCCCGTACAGTAAGTCTCATGTCAGCATGGCTGTGCACCGTGTGGGGCGGACTCTGCTCCTTGATGAGCTGGATATCCAGGAGCTCTTCATGAGATCATCTCAGGTGAGCATAACACATCTGTGTGCTGTATATGTGTAACTCAGACTTTAGAGAACCTCTTAAGTGGCTGCAACAGTCACCTTTAGAAGTCAGACATTAAGGTAGACTGTTCTGTTTTTAGTGTCTGAATGCTTTGTTTGAATCTTTAGTTTAAGTTTAACATTCTGAAACTTGTCCCTAGGGAAGGAAATGTGCTAAGATTGTGCATTCCAACATCTTAACTGATTGTCCATTTTTAAATTTTGTTCACTTATACCTACAACAACAGGTATCTTTTTTTTTCACAGACAGGTGACTGGACATGGTTGAAAGAATTTTATCAAAGGCTTGTGGATCAAAAGTGGCAGAGAAAAAAGAAGAGCAAAGAACATTGGTATCAGAAGGCAATCCTTTCAAAATTTCTGTATTATAGGTGAGTTTTCAGTCAGGCACTAAAGGAACATGGGGGAGTAGATTGTTTGTCATGTCATTTGCTGTGCAATCATACTCTTCCTTTGTGATCTTATGATGCATGTTGATATACCGAGATGGCATTAAAGAATCAGAATTGACTTATGATGAGATTAATAATATGAGGTGATCTTTTGCAGTAGTCCCTGACATCATATGGCTGTTCACTTACTTTGATGTTTATGTCGGCTTATCAAAGTAGACAATCGTGACCTCAGATTTCATGTCAAATACTTTTTTGGAACTGGCTCAAGGCAAATGCAAAGAAGGTTGCTACAACTGTTTTCTGAATCACAATTCATTAGTTCCTGTTGAATGTGGATAGGTCAATTGACACGGGCTAGTGTCCTGACCAGTAGTAGTGACTTAAGCACTCCGCTTCTGAGAAAGGCTCCAGGTTGCTGCAGCCTGTACCAGGAATAATAAGCAGTGTTCTGATGGAAGGCTGGTGGATGGGTGTGTGTTTCTGGTCCAGCTGTGATTTCTTTTAATATATTATTGAACGGTAAAAGCTTCGAATCAAAACTGAGCATCTCAGGCAGGGCTAAGTCTGGGACTGAAAGGCACAGTGAAGAAGCAGGCACCGAGAGGTGACAGCCCCTGTCTTTGCAGTGTTAATGGTGATGGGGCCGCAGAGCCCGTGCCGGCGGCTGCAGACGAGGCTGCGGAGGCAGGATCCACTGAGGCGGGGGAGGAGGAGTTCAGCCAGTCCTGGCCAGCCACGTATGGAAGCTCTGCCCCTGTCTCCGAGGAGTCGGCTGCCTCTGGACAGGTAGGTAAGAGGCCTGCGGTATAAAGCCAAATTTGAAACCTCATGATGAGCAATGATGGCTAGTTTGACGAGGCTTGTGCTAAAGTGAAATATCTGTGTGGTGTGAGGGAGACATTAGCAGGATGCATCATCGCATCATAAAATGTTCGCTCTGATGTGAATGGTATCTGTAGAAACGACGACGTGTGGGCATATTAATTTCGCACACTTAACCTAGAGTTTTTTGATTGTTTATTAAGTTCTACTTGTCCTAAATTTGTTGTATGTTTTGTTTAAGCTTCTGTGCTGGTCTTTTCCTCGCAGGAGAGTGTTCCTGTTGAGAGCAAGTTTGCTCTGGGACATGTGGCCTCATCCCCCAAGGAACAGAACCTGCCCACACTCTTCAATGAGGGGGAGAACAGCCAGGTACTGCACAATCAACCTGTAGTCTTGGGGGTTTCTATAGGTATCTGGTGTTCTGGGTTTGAATTCAGGCTTTTTTTATTAAATATTTTCCAGTTTATTTTCCTGTTGAATTTGGAAAATGCACTGTCAGATTTTCCAGAGCCTTTAACTTTAGCAATATCTGGCAGGACCAAAGAGAAAATATTGGGTTTTGACTGAGATCACTACTGTTCATTCAGTGTACCTGACTGCTGGATGCTGCTGAGCTGTGGAGCACAGGCTGAGCCTTACGCTGACCCTAGGCAGTCTCCACTGGACACTTGTCCACTGTGGGATCTGTGTGGCATCTTCTTGGTGGAGATGAATGCAAGGATTGTTACTCCTTCTTCCCCTTGCTAGGCCAGATCAAGGAATGTATTGGTCTTACACGCTCTCACCAAATTACTGGATTTCATAGTGTTTCTTTTCCTTTTAATTTCTTTTGGTGACTGGAAAGGGTCTCCGGAATGATTTTGTGCGCAACATCCTATGGACATTTGAAGACATTCATATGCTTGTGGGATCAAACATGCCCATATTTGGAGGAGGGCGGTATCCTGCAGTCAGCCTCCGTCTCAGGTTAGAAAGCTCACAAAATTCTTTACATTTGTTTTTTTCTTATACTATTTTTTTGTTCCTGTGGAGACTAAAAGCTGGGACAAAACTTATCCTTTGTTCAGTTCATAGAAAAAAACAATAGTTTTGTGCGTAGGTGTTACATTTATGATAAACAGTTCAGTCAGCTTCTCTTGTATAAAGAGGAATTCATCTCTGTCCCTGAATTTTGTCAGTCAGCTGTGTATTCATAGGCTTCTCTTATGCTAATGAAACATCTCTGTTCTTATATAGGTGTGCCCATTTTAATTTTACTTCCAGGTTTTTTTCAGAAAACATTTGTGGCACAGGTTTGCTAAGGTCCTGAAGCAGTATGTTCTGGTTTCATTTTTACTCTTTGTTGATCTAAATGGATGCATTGTGTGTCTTTTTCAGGGATAACAATAAACCAATAAACATCCTCACTGGCATTGATTACTGGCTGGACAATCTAATGTGCAACGTCCCCGAGCTGGTGATGTGCTTTCATGTGAATGGCATTGTTCAGGTAGATGTTCTGGGACAATATATCTTTAAGTCATGTCAAGGTCAGAGCTTTCTTCCCAATAGTCTAGTTATCAAGCATAAGGGACTACATTCATGATTTTTACCAACTCATATGTGTGCTATGGTTGACAATTTTACAGGGCAGGCTGAAAATATAGGCTTATTTTCCTTCAGCGAGGTGACTGATTTAAAGCCGTTTCTCACCTTTATTATTCGTAATAGTGTCCTTGTTCTTGAATGACTGTCACCCGATTTGTCACTTGTAGACAGACACTTGCAGTTGATTGTTTTTTGCTGGGTGTCTGTTTGCAGAAATATGAGATGATAAAGACAGAAGATATCCCTGACCTGGAGAACTCCACTTTCTCCACCAGGGTAGTAAAGGACATTGCCCAGAACATCCTGTCTTTCCTCAAGTCCAATTGTACCAAAGAGGGCCATACGTATTGGCTGTTCAAAGGTAGGAAGATGGGTAGACTTACCATTCTTGCATTGTTCTGAGAAAACTATCAGAAACCAGGTTTTCATGGGGCATTTTTTTATATTTCCATTTTGCATATTTAAATGTGTACAGTTATGTTTTTTTTCCTTATTTGTCTATAATCGTGAATACAGTACATTGCTTTGGTGTGTTATTTTGCTATAGTGAGGGGATGGGGATGTAATTCAGACATTAAAACTAAGAAATTGTATTTGTTTTCTGGTAAAGAGGAGTATTACCTGCTTTAATTTACACTACGGTTTAAGCATTAAACTAAAAGAATCATGTATAAGTTTAGTGCAAAGTGCTTAAATGTGTTTTTGCTCTCCCAGCCAGCGGCAGTGATATAGTGAAACTGTATGATCTGACCACCCTGTGTGAGGAAGCAACAGAAGAGAAATGCCAGAACCCTTTCACCTTGCCAGTGGCAGTGCTGCTGTACAAGTTAGTTCTTCCGTTTTCTCTAAGCACCAAATAAGCTGTTTTTCTGGTTCTTATTGTAAAAAAAGACAAGCTCTCCATCTGGTGGTACTGAGAGCTGGAGCTGTGATAAATTGGAGAGTACATTGTTAGTGATAGCTAGTGCTGATTTGGATTCAGGTATCAAGTGACCTTCAGCATTAGTGTGGTGTGAGAGAAGAAATGTTTGCATGTATGTGCTGTGTGTATGAGATTTTTGCACAGGTTATTGCCACTGAAACTGTAACATGTCATGAAGTTATTTTAAGCTAATTATATTTATACATATTTAATTTTAACGTTTGTGCATGTTAGCTCTTAATTAAGAGCATTTTTTAACAAAATAATTCATGAGGCTCTCATTAAGTAAAATGCCATGCTACTTGGCAGAGTGGCCAGCAATATGATGATGAAGAAGAGCCAGAACAGGAAGCACTATGGCACCATAAGAACCCTGCTTCTGAACTGCATTAAGCTGCTGGACCAAGACAAACACCCTCAGGTATCTCTTGATCCTTTCCCATTTGTTCTCCAGGGAACTGCTCTGGTCATACTGGCCATGTTCTCTAGAATGTGACCTGAGTTCTGTGCTGGTTAAAGGTACTATTTATCATAATTTATAATGGCTACAATTAAAGCTGTGATCTTGCTTTTGACTAAAGACATGCTCCTGCCCTTTTCTGCACAGATCATTGCCTCTGCGAACTACATGCTTTCAGAGCTGTTCCAGTTGGATGAGGCCCAACCAGAGGCAGGGGAGGAGCACAACACTGGTTTGGAGGATAGCTACAGTGAGGAAGAAGAAGAGGAGGAGGAGGAAGAGCTGTCTGAAGACAGCTTTGACAATGGCACCTATAGCTCCAGCTCCAGCACACCTGATGACAGGAAGGCTGTGGCCGTGATCAAGTCAGTGGGGGAACTGTCTGTCCCTGAGAAATACAAGTCAACGCATCAGATCAGGGTAAGCCACATTGTGCTATACCTGGACTTTGTACACAATACTAGACTTTTTATAGAATCTTTAGGCAAGTACTGTTTCCAAGTAACTTCATAAAATCAAACAGTGGACTCTTAACGCTTAACATTCTAATAAAATGAAGCTTGATTGAAAAAACAGCCTCTTAGAATTTTTTTTTCTGAACAGAATAATGAAAACCCGAGTATGTGTTGTAGTACACAGAGACGGCAAATCTTGACAATTAGAAATTAATCTATATTCACCTATATTATATTTACTTATATAATTTACCCTAGCTATTAATTGTAATTATCAAAAGTAACCTGGAAGCCAGTGCAGTTGTTAAGGACTGGAGTAATATTGTTGCCCAGGTAAGAGTTTTATCTAGAAATATTGTGGGTTCTTATATAATGAAGTCTTTGTGTGAAGCTTTGTAACCAGGTTTTGCTTTATATATTATGTGAATGTTCATCCTTGATATAAGGGCTGTATTGAGCAACTGACACAGTGGCCAAACAGACTACAATCAGACCCCAGAGAAGAGTGTGTTACATGTTCTTATTTATTGTACATTGTTTTTCCTTCTAAAGCCCAGCTTCTCTTTTCCTGTTTCCCATGACAAAGAGGAGCGATGTCGGCATGTTCTGAGCTACGTCCTAAAAGTAAGTGATAAAGTGGTTTTACTATATGATGAAATTCAATTGTGTCATTAAAGTTAAAATCAAAAACCAATAATTAATATTTTATTTTCTCACTGAATTCCCATATGTACTTTTACTGGTAAACAGACATTTTGAGATTTTTGACTGTTTTTTTTGTAACGCAGAGTGGAGATTAAGTGTTAAACTATGGTAGCTCTCCCTGCACCATCTACATTTGTAAAAAGGCATTTTTCCTAAAATTACTAAATCCTAAAAAGTAGCTTGCATGTGTGGAGTCTTAATTGACATTGATATTATTCTGTTTAAGTTGATTACATTTAAGAGGTGGTGACTGTTGGTACTGCCTGCGCGTGCTCAGTTAGGAGGTCTTGTCTTTAAAGGGCCTGAAAGCAGTGGATGGCAGCATTAAGAAGGAGAGTGACCTCCCAGCGGCAGACCCCAACACCCCAATCCCTTTGAAATATGAGGAGGGCACGAAGAACGCCGGCCACACTGCCGTCGAGGAGGAGATGGCCCTGTTGCTGGACAAAAGTAAGGAATTGCAAATTCATTCAATAGGTGGACTGCCCCTTTCTTCAAACATGTCATTGCATGTAAATATTACTTTCTTGCATCTATGTACAGTGATGTTCCTCCATGAGAAAGCACTCTACATCTCACTGGGGGTCAACCACTCGAGTTCAGAACTCAGTGGTGTGGCATATGGCTGCCGTTATGAGCCAGCAGCCCCATTGCACAGTGGTTTGAGTGGAAAAGGGCGAAGTTCCTTCATCAGTTGGATTAAAGAGGAAATGTAGAAATAAGATCATACAAGTCCAGAATGGAATGTAGCCACCTCTACTCTTACAAAAAGCACCATGACCAAGTACTCTGTACCTTGCTTCAACACCTCATGTAAAGGACAACACCTCCTACAATACAGTGTCACCATACTGGGGTGTTGGTTTGCTTTTTCTGGCTCAGAGGGAGGGGAGAGCTCCTCCAACCTGTCCAGCAGCACTGTTTACAGCCCAGTCTTGCTTAAGCTTCTGAGATCTGATGAGATCAGGCTAGAAGGTGGTAGTGTTGCTGAAGCACCCATGCAACATGCATATAGATTGTGCTTGTTTGCCACGGGAAGGAATCAGGACTCTTCCTTTTCCTCATCTTTCTCTTTGTCTTGATGGCAGTGGGCCCTTCTCAGGAGGACCTCAAGCACCCGACCCGTTCTGGGATGATTCCTGGCTCCTGGCAGCACAGAATGAAGCTGCAGCTCTTCCTCAAGGCTTCCAAGGCTTATTACATCCTGTCAGAGGCAGCTACTAACCTCCTGAAATATGGCAGAGCCTTGAGATATATAAAACTGGCTTTGCAGTGCTATGGTGAGTGTTATTCGCCTTAGAAAATAAGCACCTATAATTGACCGATGTAGTTTACCTACCATGAAAGAAGGGGAAACATTAAGCGAGTGCGTCAGCTGTCCGGTCAGTGTTTTATTTCACTCTGCGACTGTTAGAAAGTCCTTTGTCAACAGTGTGATTGGCATCGTGAGCCACAAAACAAAGAGGACTCAGTTGGCAAGCCCAAATTGGGTGCACATATAATAAAAAATTCTATATTGTGCAAAATAAAAAAATGTGACAGTTTTACACATAAATTAACACAGTCAACATAATTTTAAAATCAATAATCCGCTTATGACCAGATGCTGGTGGAATTACCCATGTCCCCTGTACCCTTTGCAGATGCCTACTGTTCAGTGAGCACCAGCCTGCACCCAGAGGTGTTGCTGTTCCACGGCCAGTGCCTTTCTCTCTGTGGGGATATCCAGCTGATGCTGGCCCAGAACGCCAGTAACAGAGCAGCATACTTGGAGGAGTATAGCTACCAGACCAAAGAGGACCAGGAGATCCTGCACAGCCTGCACAGGGAATGTAGCTGCCAGGGTAAGAGCCTGTGTGAAGTGCTTCTGCATTCACTGCAACTCTGTTAACCATAGGAGTACACTTTTATGTATTACTGTTTCTTTATTTTTAATCATTTCTCATGTGTTCATGTCCAGCATTTCCTTTTAAAAACAAAAACATTGATTTTATAAAACTACAGTGCTGTTACTGAAAAGGAACATTGCACTGTTACAGTATATATTTGTGTGAGTATGAAATGCTGTTGAGGCCGATACCCTTGCTTGTTTCAATAAGTGGCTAGATGAGCCAAAATGGGTTAGACTGTGCTGAATGGCCCTCTTTTTTTCATATCCTTTGTTATGTTTATACGGTCTGTTTTGAACATAAATATTTTTCTCCAGTATTGCTACTGCTTCACAGTCCTTACATTTGTCTAGGTTCAGGTAAGGGCAGGTTTTCCTCAGATGTTTGATTCTTTGTGTCATGTCTTCACAGCTTTCAATCTGGCCACAGACTTGGCCACAGACCCTGAGTATCAGCTCAGTGTCAGCTATAAGTGCTACGAGGCTGCATATGACCTCATTAATGCTGGAGAATTGAAGGAACGAAACCTTGAGCAGCTGAACCAGGTGCTGAAAAGGCTGGGCAATATCCGTAACGAGATGGGTGTTTTCTACATGAACCAGGCAGCCGCAGTTCAGACAGAGCGGGCAGGTAAGCAGGCCTTCCTATGTCACACTGCTGCGATGCAGATTCACTGCCTCTGTAGGGCACTAAGAAGCTTGGAAAACTGTATTAACAGTAGAAGAATGCTTAACATTATTCTTGCTGCTTCCTTACTACAGATGTCATAGTTTTCATGTGAAGTCCTATATATCTACATAGTTAAGGGTCAGATTGCTGGAAAGGAGCAGTAACACGATCTTCTTCAGGTCTGCGTCTTGACCATTAAAGTGATCTTTGGACCAAAATCTGGTGCAATCTGGTCAGGCTCTGATATCCCCTCTCTATATTTTCCTCCCTCGTGCAGTGAACAGGGCAGTGTCAGCTGTAGAGCAGGAGCTGTGGAAGAAGAGTTTCTCTTGCTTTGAGAAGGGCATGAAGGACTTTGAGGCGATAGGGGACACCACCAACACAGCCCTCCTCCTCTGCAACACGGGCCGGCTGATGCGCATCTGTGCCCAGGCTCATTGCACTGTAACCCCAGACCTCAGCAGGGGAGAGTTCTCACCAGAGGAAGCGCTCTACTACAACAAGGTGCTGCTATGCACTCTCTGGCCTGTGATAATCCAAGGAGCCTTTATTCTAAAACCAAGCACTATTTTTTTTTTTTCCTCTTGGTGTCCTTTTTTGACTGTTCATTTCAGGACACCAAAAACTGAGTAGTCTTTATGTAAACAAAATAAAGTGCATTGTACAAATGTATTATTTAGAACTGATAGTAAAATACTAAGTTCTATCAATTTTTAAATAGAACTTTTAATAAATGTAAATTAATGTAAATACCACAACACACTTTCTCTGAGTAGAACTGAAATGTTGTTTTTTCTGTAGGCTATTGATTACTACCTGAGAGCCATGAAGTCTCTGGGCAAGAGAGAGAACCACCCAGCAGTGTGGGACTCTGTCAACTGGGAGCTCTCCACTACCTATTTCACTCTGGCTACCCTCCAGCAGGACTACGCGCCTCTGTCCAGGAAAGCACAAGAACAGGTGACAGGAGTGGCACAAATTTGTGCTGCTAAGTGTGATGATGTACATTATGGTGAAGAGACAACCATAAACTCAGTTTGTGTGTTTGAAAGAACATGTAAATCTAAAGGAAGGAACAAACTAATTGCTCTTTCTTAAAGCTGTGGTTTGACGCTTCCAGAAGTAAAGTGTTTAGCATTTTTTAAATGCTGTCTCTGCTTGTCCAAATGTATAAATGACTAAAATAAAAATTATATTGAACAAGATAGTGCCTTTAATTAGGAAGATCATTCACACCCTGCTTGCAGATTGAACGCGAAGTGACTGAGGCCATGATGAAGTCTCTGAAGTACTGTGACCTCCAGACGGAGTCGCTTCGCCAGCCGCTGTATCAGTACCGCGCCGCCACCATTCACCACAGACTGGCCTCCATGTATCACAGCTGCTTCAGGAACCAGGTACTGTGCTCTGTCACACTGCAGACTTGCTGTGTACATTCTTTGAGTAGTAAACGTGACATCTTAGCCTCTTTAACATCAGAACGTTTTTTTGTTGTTGTTGTTCTAGATTGTGGAGGCAATGAATCACATCCGCTTAACTGTTACTTCCCGGTATATATAAGCTCTTTTCTGGGAGGAGTGAGTCTTGATGCGCGAAAAGATCTGTTTCTTTCATGAAGAAGTCATTGAAATCGCTTCACGCCTCTATTTCCTCTTTGCTAATGTCAGTAGTCTAGCAGAGGGGTGTTGTGTGGTGCCAGTGCTGATCCACAGGTCTGTGCCGCAGGTCGGGGACGAGCACCAGCGGAAGCAGCACCGTTGCCTGGCCGAGCTGCACTACAGTAAGGCCGTGCGGCTCTTCACTGTCCTCAAGGACGCGCCTTGTGAGCTGCTCCGCACACAGCTGGAGAGGGTCGCCTTCACGGAGTTCCAGATGGCAGGTCAGCAGCCTCACATTTTCAGCCCTGCCCCAGGCTCCACCCCTGTAGACCTTGATGCTCAGTCTGTGCCTGAGCATGCTGAAGGGCAAGCAAGTGAAAATACTAATCCAAATGGGTAACTGGGGAGGCTGACTGGAAAAGCCTGTTTGTGGTGTTACGCTAAATTCAGACCAAACTTGCATCACCTTACAGTGTAGTGTTTCTCATGTACTTTATAAGGTTTTTGCAGGAGATTTGTACACATACTGCGTATATTCTAATGGGACATAGAATATAAGAATGTTTGAAAAGTTATAAAGAAAGAAGGGTCTATTTAGACTATGCTGCTCTTTCAGTTTCAGTAGTTTAGTGATCCAAGTACACCCTTAAGTTTGGTAAGAATTTTAACGCCTGCTGGAATTCATCTAGAGCTCTAACGTTTTTTAATTGGGGAAAAAATTGAACCATACACTGAAGGAATGAGGATAGTTTCATTACAGCTTTCTGCTCTGCACATTGAGATTTACCATACAATTTCCTATTGAAAAGTTCAGAGACGTGCCTAGCCTTATAGTTATGCAGGGGTAAACACAAGAAGATGCAGTAGTCAATCTGAGGCTTTTGTTCAGATATAATCCCTTTTTTTCTTTTAACTTTTCTCTTTGTGCTTATAGGACAAAGCAGTAATGCTGCGAAGCTGAAGACCCTCTTCACGGCCCTGGAGATCATGACTGAGACCAGACATGCCTTTCACCTCATTCGTAAGGAGCTGCTGGAGGAGCACAGACAGGTACCACACAAACACCGGCCCTGCCTGCCTTCTTATTTGTCTTCTGGGGGGCTAGATTTGGAATTGCAACTTATAAATCCGTCAGTGCTATCAGTACTGGATCTGTCTCTGTAGTAACTCACTCCAGGTGCAGGGTGATTTTGTGATCTAGACATGAGTTTGAGTCTGGATCAGCCCATCAGCACTCCGTTATTTCAGAAAATTGTCAGCCAGGGCTTTGATGGGTCTGGGTAAATATGCAACCCCTGTGGCGTTCAGGTGCCTGCATGCTTGTAACGTGAGGGACACGCCTCCCCTCTGGGCACTGACCCTCTTGGAGGCATGTTTTGAAGGGTGAGCATGTCGGAGGAGATGGTCAGCATATTCTAATTTCCCCATTTAGCAATTCCGAACTGGATGAGTACATAATGGGGGAAAAAAGTGATTCTAAATTGAAAAACAAATTACAGTGTAGACCTTCCATCTTCATCCACTCAGTGTTGTTTAAATGCAGTTTTTATAGCATTACAAGCTTCTTGGTATTGTTTAAAAACAACTAAATAAATCAAAACTATTATGGCCACGAAACTTGTTTATTCAGCTGTTTAAGGCTGGCTCTACATTGAATGTTGAGCCTTCCGAGTGTGTGCACTTATTTGAAATCTTCCCCTTGCTGTGTCCTACAGGCAGAATGCCCAGAAGGTGTTGAGGGGGGAGATTCTTCAGACATCCCCACTTCCTCTGCCCTCAACACACAGGAAGTGCAGAAACTCATTGGTGTCTTTGAGCCCAGCTTCTCATTCCTGCTCCTGCACCTGGTCAAGCTGATGACTGCCACTAAACGCAAAACCAGGTTAGTAAACGGCAGGAACCAGGCAATCTGGCCGTTATTCTTCACAGTTTCCGAATCCAGGGTTGACATTGAACCTGAACACTTTAATATAGTGCAGGGATGTTGAAATTGAAGTTATACATTGACAGACATTCATAGACTGAAAGACTTTGTGCATCTTAATGAAGGTGTTTTTAGGAGAAGAATGGTGACTTGTTTGGTCCTAAACTATTCATTTTTTTTGTCAGGGCAGTTTGTCACCGAGACGCATTTCCCTTAGTTCTATGAATGAGGTCCAGACAGAGCTTTCCTAAACAGCTGTGCTTTGTTTCCATGCTAGTGTGTGTTTTAGTTGTTCGGTGAAGAATAAGATGCCATTCTTTTTACATTTGTTTGAAAATTGTGTCATCCATTTAAATGATAAAATCCTCAGGCATGGCTGAAACAGGTGTATGTATGCCTGTGTGACACCCAAGTAGGATATGAATATGGATATGTACCGCATCCTTGATCTGAGATGGGGTGTGTCTCAGAAACCTTGTTTTAACACAAGTACCGTAACAATGTTATTGGAAGACCCTGTGCTCTGCAGACACAGAGGACATCAGCTGCACCTGAGCATTGTAGCTGCCAGGAGTTTTCTTAGTCACAACCATTTAACACTACCAATTGCAGATTCAAAATATTTAAATCTCTTTGACATGTATTAGATGTGATTACAGTCATGCCTTCATGCACAGATAGCTAGAGTATAGTAATAGCTTCTGACAGTCTTCTTTATAAACATCAGTCTGTATTCATGGAATTGCCAGGCTAAATACAGCAATAAGATTGGTGTAATATGTGCAGGAAGATTGAAATAGGATTACTAATGGATTTAACAACACTTTTTAATTTCACTAAATTAAATTGCAGTAAGTAGTTTCATGCTGGAGTAAATTGTTTTGTAAAAAAAATCAGCAGTCATCAGTTCCTTCGAAGAATATTTTTAATGTGCAGATATAATTTAGAAATATTAAAAAAACAATTGTTTTTGCGGGGTTGTCATATAATTAAGGCAAAGTAGTTCCCATCTTTTATAACTGTATGGAATTGCTTAAGACCGATATACCAGAATGAATGAAGTAATGTACCGTCTATGAGAACGCTGCGGATTGTGATGATCATGAATTATTGTTTGGCGTGGCAGTGGCTCACACGAGGAGGAGCTGGTGAAGACCTACAAGCAAGTGTACTCCTCCCTGCTGCGTGCTGACAAGAGTGCTCCGCTGCTGTGTAGAGTGGAGCTCATCCTGGAGCTGCTGACCCAGCTGCTACCCAAGACAGAGGCCAGTGAGAATGGGGTGTCATGACAGTACGGCCAGCCCTCAGGCTCTCTTCACATCACTGGGTTAAGGTCTGAAAACCCGACATGGACTCCACATTTAATAAGCAAGTGCCTTGACCGAACTGTTGGGATGGTCACCTAGTTTGGGCTCTTTATTTATTTTTTATTTCAGTATTTCTGCACATTTGAGTAAATTGCAATTTGTTCCGTGTTTTTTAAAAGGAAAATGAAGTGTCACTGGGAGCTTTATTTCCCCCTTATTTTTTAAACATATAGGTTTTCCTGTATGCTTACTAGCAGGGTCAAATTGGCACGTTTTTTCTGTCACAGAATAAAATACAATTTTCACTTGGAAGCCTATAGAGTTAGCAGTTTGTAGAACACAATATTTGAAGACTCATTGCAGTATTCTGTATAGGGTATGTTTTGTAAAGCTAACGTGCAAAAACGGCATCTATAAATCAAAATTCTACAAAATATGTATATAAATGTCAATATCTGGACAGAACTAAATATGAAGAATCTTTGAAAGATTATTGAGATTTAGGACATTATTCGCTTTAAGTAAAATAAAGGTCTGAATTTGTTTTTATCATTTATGTGTCTTAAACTGCTGTCATCCAGCAATAGCTATTGCATCTGCTCTTTCAAATGTGGTTTTGTCATTTAGAATCCCTTGAAAAGCATTGCTCCTTGTTTTGCTTATTAGTAAACATACTTGAAGTGATTTGTAAGTAGAGTATTTGAATGACATAAATAGGAACAAAAAATGTGCTAACACCCACTGCTGTAAGTTAATTGCATGTAGGTAGGAAAACATCTGTAACAGAAACTAATCCTAACCTTTGGGTTATTTGCTGAAGATAGATTGTTGCACTTGGGAACTTTATGAATGTATTAGTGTTAGGCTTATTACTCATTTATAAAGTGTAATTTTGCAACCACATATATGATCTTTGATTTTTAAGCTAACTCAGCTACCCATCAATTTAAATATGAACACGACAAGAACACCTAAAAAAGGAAAATATTAGACTTTGCGAGTTATAACAATCACAGTCCTGTCACTGTCATTAGTTACAGTGAATGCTGTTTGCTTATGAATATTTGTTAAAAAATCAAAAACAATACTGCAGGCAAAATTGCTGACAAATTAGACTAAGCCATCCCAGTTTAGGCAAGACTCTGAAGTTCTAAATTGAGTGCTTTATCAGACAAGCTCTAAGGTACACCAGTTAACGCATATTGTATGATAAAATTAACAGGACACTACACAAGTTTACACTGCATGATAATCTTTATGTAATTCCCTGTTAAATATAGCTAGTTATGTCTTATTCTGTACACCAGGAAGAGATTTTTAAACCAACACTTTTTTTTTAGATTTAAACGGGAAAAATACCTGGCACTTCAGAAATTTCTTTGTCATAGTTATACAGTACAAGTGCAATAGACAAGTACACATCAAAACATCTGTAATATAGCGCAGGATACTGATTAACTATAAATACAAAAACATCTAACAATATTTACAACAAGGTGAAATGGATACCTCATATGTAAATCTAACTATGTATAACAAGCAAAAAAAACGTGGGTTTACATTTGAACCACTAACCTAAAGAGGAAAAAAGTGGATGTGAGAAGTAATACTGATGTTTCACTACTTCACCCCTGTTGCCACCTGATATATTGAATATTATTGGTTGGAAAGGATAGTGTCCTTCATCAATATAAGTCGTGTCAGGGAAATAAAGAGATTTACTAAATGGGATTCTAGTATTAGTTATTACCAGCATGAGTCAAAATTACATTAAAAAAATAAAAGCAGGCTAATATTCTCATATCTGTAATTTGCTTTCATTGGTAAGGGTAACGTGACTATTCTTGTGAATGGGATGTCAGTCCATTGCAGGGAAATGGAGAAAGAGACAATTTAGATTAGCAAATCAAATCTAGCCAGCATGTTCTTGGGAGGTTTGAGGAAACCAGGGCACACAAATGCACAAGCTTCCACAGACAGCTGGGGCAGCCTCGCAAATCACAGCACTAATTTAACTTATTACCTCAGCAAGTGCGGAATTGATGGATCTTATTATATTTGTTCTGGTGACAAGGAAACTTGTTTAATCACTAGTGCAGTGTTTAAATACTGGATAATATAGCTAATTTCCATCATATTTCACAGAGAGCAGAATATCTGTACTGAAGTTGCTTATTGTTAATCTTGTATGAAGCTAGATAGGATGTACTAAGTGATTACACAATGCGAATTAATAATTACTATCTGAATGTCGGCTAAATTAACAGGATTTGTTCTGAGGCGAATTGCTGAAATATTTCTTCAAAATGAACATTACAGTATAAGTTGCCTTCAAGAATAAAATTAGTAAAGCCTGTTATGTATTGAAGGAAAACATAAAAATGAAGAGCAATTTTGGACTGACTTTCAAATTCAGAGCTATATTTGGAGAATGAGTTGAAATATCAGCCATTCATTTTCATAACACAGATTCTAATAAATTCCACATAGTTATCCATACATACATAAATGATTCAAAAATTAGTCAGGTTTCCATTTGAAATAAATTACAAATCTAAAAATTTGAATTTTAACTTTGCACATAAAAGAGATCAATACATGTTTTGCCTGAAACTAGCAGGCAAAGAGTGTTGATAGTTTCAAGGAAATGGTGGATCTACAGAAATCTGAAGTATGCACTAGATATCTGATGCTTAAGCATTATGTTCTCACATGTATTTCCTTGTATGTTCTCCCTGTATGTTCTGTGCACTACAAAAGACAAACACAGTCTCTTTCCAGCAGAGAGAAATAGCCATAAGAGAAAAAACATTTTCGATACTCTGCCTTCACCTTTTTAGAGGGTCATTTTCAAAGTGCTCATGTGCACATTACATATGTCAAACCAGTGGCTATCTATATCCTTCCGGGGCAGCACTCCATTGTAGGGTAGGGAGGGGTTTTGCCTACGGTCCTGGCTGCTCACAACCTTCCAGAAGTGGCTTCCCTTAAGGAAGAAGATGGAGTTGTGTGTGTAGGAGAAATAAGCCACGTCCAGGTTTCCGATGGGGTGATCTCCAGGCACAACCGCAGGGAACACATCCGTTATTCTCATGGGGAAGCCATTCACTTTCTTGTTAGTTCTCACATCAAAGCTGTATACCTGTGAAAAAGGGAAAGCAAACATTTTGAACTGGTTATTTAAAACAAAGAACAAAAGAGAGTAACAGCAAAAAAATAGATTTTTTTTTCCCCCAGCAGCAGCATTTCGTCAGTGCCTTGCTATTTATTTTTAGCCTCTGTTAACTGAGATGTGCTAATGAGAAGCCAGGAGGCACGGTGTGTGGTGATTCAGTGTTACCACAGGAATGTAGAAAGAAAAAGGTTAACAAGTGAATGCTTGAAAATGCCAAATTAGCCATGGATCCTATTTAGGTTACAAGAGTGAAGTTTGTTCCCTGTGTCTGAATAAATTAAAGCACTTCTCAATTTATTGCTGTCAGACAACGATCATGTTCATCACTGCAGTCTAAAACCAGAATCAGGAGCAAACAATCTAGCCCATGAAGTCCTCTTAAGCCTTTTAAATTCTGAGCTGATCATTTGTACTAGTCTGTATTTTGCTGTATTCCTGAAAAATATTCTTCCTCCTGAGTGGGAAAGCTGTGAGGTGGTCTGAATGGATTTGTGGACCAAAGATCCAGCCCTTACATGCAAGTCCTTAAAGAAATAAATCCTGGAGTCCCTCCTGTTGTAGAACGCTGTGTTGATGGGGCTGGGAATCCCAGGGAAGCCTTCAGAAATGAGCCTGGGGTATCGTTGTCCTTCTGAGTCCTGGGTGTACACCTGGTCATTCTCACTGTCGTACCTCCAGTACTGAGTGCCTGCAGCCATGCAGGGCAAACATACAGTACAACTTCAAGTGTTAATCAACGCATAGGTTAACTGGGCATGAATCCAGTTTCTTTTCCTTATTCATGTATTTTTCCTTCCATAACACTGCAGACATTATATCCTTATTGTTTTCTTCAAATCCAAGTGGAATTAATTCCCCTACCATTCTAAGCCACCACTACTAATAAGAGTGGAAAAATGGCTTAAGAAAAATACATCTGTATTTAACCTGGTGTGAGCCTGCTGCATGTTAACGCATGCTATTATCGCTGTGCTTTAGCGTTTTCAGAACTGTATTTGCTCATTGTAAGGTTCTCAGTAATGGGACATAAAGAAATGTGTCAGGGTATTTATTTTATTTAACACTACCAGACTTCTTCTGTTAAATACAGTCTGTGGAGTACTATTTAATCCTTTTTTTTTTTTCAAACCCCTCTTGCTAATTTAGCAGCAGTTACATGATTTGGGCTAAAGGACTACAGCATACACTGAGCCACCACATCCACACAACCATCACCCACAGCCAGAATCAGTTCTCCCTGCCCATACAACCCTGTCTGTGTGCTGCACCTAAGTACATTTTATTACCTTTAAAAAAATAGGCAGCGTCAGTCCTCCAGTCCCACACGTGAACATAAGCATCCACCCCATCCGAAGGAATTCCATGCCAGCCCACCTGCAGAGCAATGGGGTCACCATACCGGGTCCTGTTGCTGCGGTTCTCGTATAGCCAGTACCAGCTATCCCGGATGAAGTAAGTGTTGAAGCGGATCACCAGCTCGCCATAGGGAGTCCTCTCTTTTCTGACCCAGTCAAAAACAGTGTTGAAACGGCCTTTGCACCCACCTAAAGCAGACGTCAGCAAGACAGAAGTTGCTCCCATTTACATGCATGGTATATTATTGACACCAACAAGTTTGGGAACTACAGAAGAAGATTAAGCTCAAAGCTTCCTGTCCAGCTCAGGTATTGAATAGTTTGAACACTGTGCAATGCTTCTAACTCCAAACTCCAATGTGTAGGTATCTGTACAGCTTATGTTTTAATTCTACATTTTCAGATGTAACCTTCTGTCTCTTTAGCGTCTTGAAGCTTGAGATAGTGATCAATAAAGAAGCAACAAGCCCATGCTTGAGAAGTAAAAGTTACCTGTGATCTACAAAGTCACAACATGAATCCTGTTTCATTAAAAAGAGAAAAATCTACCGAGTTCTACTCTGAAATGTAGTTTATTTGCAAAATATCTAAAATTTACAAAAACAGTAGAGAATTGGAGAATTTGATTTATGGACTCAAACATTAAGGGAACCATTATATCTTCCTTTTAAATGCTGGTAAGAGTGATTTAATGCAGTTAAACACTCTCTCTGACAGTTTACAATTTTTAGGAAAAACAAAAGGTCAGTACGTTATCCGAGTTGAGCCTTCTTGGAATGTTATTTCAGTATATGCAGGTGGTAGGTAGCCAAGAAAAGCACAATACTGTAGGTCAGCCAACAGTAATTGAATTGGTTCCTGCAGAGTTTATGCGATTTGCATAATTAGTCAAGATGGTTGTGTTTTTGGAGTGAAAACAGGATCTTTGTCTAGATGTATAAAGGCCATAATATAAAATCATACAAAAAAAGCTGGACAAGCTTTGTTACATCCTAAAATACTAGGAATAAACATACACTACAGTAACTTAGTGTACTTAATATGCCATCATTAAAAATGCCCAAAAAGAATTCCATGAAAAGAAAAACTGCTGTCCATAATACATCTTTGTGCAGCAACTATTTCACAATTACAATTTTGAATTTAAATAAAAATAAACATTTACATTTTCAAAATATATTATTCTCACTGCTTCCTACTTCACACATTCTCAATGACAAAACCGTCATCACATTTCTTCTCATGATCTAATTTCAGTTTCATCTGAGATCAAATTTATGTCAGATTAACGTATAGATTAGCCTTTAATAAACTAGCTATTTTATACAGGTTTACCTGTAATAAATATCACTATGATAAATAGCACTAAAATACTCCCCCTTTAATTGCATCTTGTTACAATGATTTATATTAATAATTCATGCATGAAGCATATTGAAAACGAATATATCTTGTAGTACCTAAATATTGAATGAGATGCATTAAACTGACATTAAGATAACAGAAAGTTTCACAGCCGGGAGGACTGCCTTGCCAGTATAACTAAAAGATTATGTAATTCCTGCAAAAAGGTTTTTTAGTTTTAATACGTCTTTAAAAATAGTATGTAAAACAAATATTTAGTATTTATTTATCCTCTCAAGTGATTATTAAAAATAAAAAAAAATAATAATAAATGTGGGCAGATTCTTAAGGTGACATTATAAGCAATCTTTTACATTAGAAAAAATAATGCATCATTGTTAAACCTGAAAATCTGTCTATTGCAGATTTGAAGAAACTGCAGATCTGCTTACAGATACTGCTCTCACTGCTTGTGAAGTTCACAGTTCTGTGAGCAATGATTATTTACTCAAATGCTTTCAAGCAATGCATGAATACAGCTGAGCCTCCTAAGAAAGAAAATTCTTAGTAGACCTAATTAAAAAATATTGCATGTTCTCTACAGGACCACCCTCTCCTCTCAAAACAGAAACAGAATACTGTATGCAGTTCTTAAAATGTTTTAGAATTGAGAGACCAGCACTGAGGAAACATAATGAAATTCCATGCATATATATATATAATTGTGTGTTTTTAACTAGATAAATAAATATTTGGAACAGTGGGTTATTACATTTTAAAACCACCTGAGACTGGATAGACTTAAGATTGCACGCAAAATGAAGGATCCCATTTATAAGCATGATCATAAGATTAATTGATATTTTGGGTATACACGTTTTTCACAGAACCCCATTGAGAATGTGTGAAGATCCTTCTCAAGAACAGATCTCCACCTTCTATAGTTTCACCCCTCTGCCTTTGTTTTTAGCATGGAAACTTCGTGGTACAGTAGGTCCTACACAAGCCACCATACCATAGAGCTGCTGGATAGCTTTTCTGTCCATCCAGTCAATTTCGAAGGCTGAGTCCTGAGGGACATAGCTGGGTTGCATAATGGATCCTCCTCTGTAGATATGTGGCAAGCCTAAAACATGACCTATCTCATGCACTGCAACCTGGAATAAAGAGCCAGAGTAAGTTTTTAACTACTGTATACAGCTGTGATTGAAAATCATTACAACATGCTCTGAGAGGCTCAGGTTGAATAACTGGCATAAAAGACTGTATAATATACTTGTTCTGAGTTCTGAACATCCAACCCAAAAGGAAGAATTGTGCAGATGTTCCATGAAACATTAATTATGAAATTCATCCTTTTTGATTCACCCGCTCAAACACAGAAATGTTCCTGTGGTTTAATAGGTCTTGACAGTGCATGCAAAGGACATAATCCTTAATGGATGAGACACTGGATGTCTTTCAGCATGTGTGGAGTGCTAACAGCTGTCACTGACCTTGAGGAGGCTGATTCCATTGCCACCACTTGGAGCTGTGAAGTGCTCATCATCGTCAAAGTGAATATCACCCAGGAACCATGCATGAGCAAACTCACGACCCGCCCCATCAAAACTCTGGGCGCAGCCCAGGTGTCGTCCTGAATTGCAGACAAGAGGTGTCGACAAGGGAGAGCTTCAGAAAACCGTTTACTGAAAGTGATCAAAACGATATATGTCCAAGTATGCAAATAAACCCCTTCTCAAATGTGAAGTTTTGCAGGAAATATAGACTCTTTTCAAAGATTTTTTAACATTTGTATTAATTTCAATATTACAATGTTTTAATTTCAATATTAGATCTTTTTTAAAGTTAAAATTTTGTAAATGTGTTTACATTATTCTAGTCTAATAATACATACCAAAATATGGAGGATTGTCTTAACTGTAAACTCTGGTCTTGACCAAGAGTCCTTTATTTGTGGGATTACTGAGAGAAGTCAATGCATGAATGTTGTTGTTTTCGTGACCCAGTTTCTTCCATCTTCTATATTGTTTAATGCAACCATAACTACCATGAGAGAGATTAGAAATGCTTGTCCTACCTGTTCCAAAGCCAAGCCGAACATCAATCTCGAAAAGAGGAGACGTAAGGTCCTCTTCAAATTCCACAGGACACACCTCGCTCCACATTCTGAAGGCCAGCTTGAAAACATATCTCTGCTCGTCAATGGACAGCTGGCTGCTGTAGCCCTCTCCCATCAGCCTCCACTTCAGCACCTTCTTGGAGAAGCCCACCTGCCCTGCTCCCGTGAGGTCTCTTCTCCGTCTTTTCCTCAATAACAGGGTCTCTAGAAACCGCTTTCTCCTTTCTGGCCCCAGAGACCCAGTCGGGCCGTCTCGGCTGTGAGTACTGTCGAGCCCGCGTGTGGCACCGGCTGCGGTAGTGCTGATGAAGAGAGTCTGGTTCAGCCTGGTGTCTGTTGCGTTGGCAGTGGCAGTGACATTGGAGTCTAACGCCTTATCTGGGACACCGCACCTGGGCTTGTTCATGGCAGCTTTAGTGGCATCATCCAGCACACCTGTGACCCGTAGGCCTGACACCTCTTGGAAATCTCTGAGAGCCGAGATGAACGTGGGGTTTTCAGCGGGATCCTTAGAGGCGCTTTCCTTCCCTGCTCGGGACCCCGAGTCCCCTTCCTGAATCAAAGGCGTCATGTCGAATGGAGCTGTGCTGGCAGCCGCAGGAACCAGTGCCGTGTCAGACTGGGATTCCTCCCAGCTTCCGGGCCTCATAAAGCCATATTTCAAGAGGAATTGCTGTGCAAGGGAAGGCGGTGGCCACACGCAGGTTGGGGTTGATGAAACAGATTTGTTAATTAAGTGGAGAATCCACTCAAATCCTAAACTGAAATACCTATTATCCAGTAGTGCAGTAGTTGACTTACAGTTTGCTTTTTTTTGGGGAAATCTGAAAAACTGCATAAGCTTATATTTGGAATCTAAGAGTTATTAAACAAGACACAAGTTTCCTACAGACTGTCCATACATGTCTTGACAAGAGTTCATATTACAAACAGTGCAATGTGTGTATAGAATAGATTATTAAGTAGTGCATGTGTTGAGTTTAGGATTAGAGAAGCATCTGCTTCATGATTTGTTACATTGTTTTGTGTATTTTAAGAATTAAAAAAATGTTATGATTTCATTAGATTTTGATTATACAAGCATTTGCTGTTCAGTGATGACGGTCTTATTTAATGCCACTATATTGCATAGTGCATGTAATTGCACTTTTAATATTATTTATATATTATCTTTGTTCATCATGCTGCAAAACTGTTCTGAGTCGTTTCAGGCAAGAAATGTTTTTTTTTTAATAAAGGTTGATAGCTACTGCCAGTGTTTTAATAGTGGAGTATTTGAATCGGTATTGTTATATTAACAAACAAGACATTGTGACAAAAAGTTTCACTCCTACCTGAGCAGAGCCTTTGTCTATGATGAGTTCAGCTTGGTGTGAAGCGGGTATCAGCACATCGGAATGGTCTCTGATGTGAAATATTCTTTCCGCTACAGCCGGGGCGATGAGGGTCAGTAGAAAGTATGCTCTCAGCCGAATTGAAGTCAGCATCGTGGGTGTTCGTGGGGTGTATGACAGATGATGTCACTTAGTTCTGCTTTGTCTTTTCCCTCTTCTTTAAAACATGCCCTGTCTCAAAGCCGTGCGAAACAAGCTCTTTATATATTACAACGGAAAGGGCAAACCACGCCTCCTAAGACAAACCCCAAAAAGTCAACAGTCTTTCAAGTTTCAAGAAAAGCATAGTTTTAATTTAAACTGTTTTGTAACGGAGTTGTGAATAGCTTTACCTTCCCTTTACCTCCTTTTCCTAGGATGTAATTACACCTGAAGTTAACGATGCGGTGATAATCCCCGGTGGGATATTGTGCACTGATTAGATATAGTTTTTACAAATATATATATTTAATTTAGGTAATTCTATAAAACAGTAATGTTTAAAGTCGTAATAATTGACCCCTTTACGCAGGCAAAGACTAAATGAAATATAGTACTAATAAAATGTTATGAGCTTTTCGAGAAAGTTTCTCAAATATAATACAGGTGATAAAAAGAGGAAAAATAAACTGCAAACCAACCTAGTAAAATCTAAATTGAAAATAAATTATATTGCAATTATACAATAAAGCATAACATATATTGAAAAAATGATGTTTTCAGCAAATGTAAAAACGTTGATAGACGTATCAAACGGATTTGGGCAGTGAGCTCTATGGACTTGGTGTTGCACACCAAAACTATTCTTCCGTAAAGAAGGACAGAATCAGCAGGTTTCAAAATAAGTTAGATTATATTTGAGGGAAAAACCGTTAAGAAAACCTGGAACTAGACCATTTAGCCGCTTATACCCGAGTACTATTTAAAGACTTAAAGTCAACTTTAGATTTCAAAGGGAACCAACTGACAGCTTACAGGAGCTATATATTGAAGCTGAGTATTTTATCAAACGAACCACATAATTCTGCAGATTGAAGCCTGTTTCTTACCAGTAAAGATGAAGTATTGATTAAATATCAATATGTATCAATATTTTAGTTACATCTAGGCGGTGGGAGTAGTGTTATATAGTAGAAAGATACTCTGTGCATGTTTTCTATTATGCACAACACAGTAGCAAAAGACACCAAGTTTCCTAACTTTCATTAAATGTTCGATTTCACGAAAGCGTTGCACTTATCTTTAATATCAGACACTTGTAAAATGCAAAGTGCGAGCTGGCAAAAAATCTGACCCATGGGCAACATGCAAATGTAAAACAGTAAAGGTCCCAGCACAAAAACCCATGGAACGCCCTGAGACAGCTGGACTGTAGATTTGTGGGCAAATAGATGCCAAACCAATGAAGGGATACTACTGATTCCCAGATGATTCTTCATGTGATCCAGTAGGATTTGTTGATATTGTTGACAATATCAAAAACTGTCTGAAATCCTGCCAGAGAAGAATATTAAGTGACCAAGAGTCAAACGCCATCAGCAATAAAAATAAAAAGTCCATGCATTGATAGAATATATTGTTTTTTATCCTAAAGGCGCTGAAGTTCTTTACTGTACACACCTGAAGTGCAGCCCTTCCAGGGAGATGTGTGATAGGAGAACCACTGCACAAAATGATCCCATAGAAAAAGGAGAAATTGCTCCAACGGCTGAAAAAAGGAAGGAGTTTAAGAAGGTAAAATTGTACAAATTGTAGTTTTTTTCTGAGACACTGATGTTAATAATCTTCTGCGTTCAAATAATGCCATGGGAACTTTAAAGACAAAATAATCAGGTCCTTGGTTTTCTGCCTTGCCTAAAACATATATCCTACAGCAGAGTGTCCCCAGTCACCACACAGGGGAATTAGTCTGGGAATCTTGGTCCAATGGAAGATTGTGACCTATGGATCCACTAATACCACTCGCAGCAGCAACCTGGTGCTTCCTTGGATGTCACCCGTATCAGTACTGAACAGCCCCACTCTTGCTTAGCTTTTGAAATATGTAGCAGATTATTAACTTAACCAGGGATGTTTTTATATTGTATCAAAACCTGGACCGAAAAGGTTCAAAGAGTTCATTACATGCTAGAGTTTAACTGAGATGCCACTGCAAATTGGAAAAAGAAGAGTAATTGTTAAACTCTTGGTGATCCAGTCCAGATTTTCTGGTTAATGAAACATAACCTAAGACATCTGCAAAATTACCAGTGCTTAACAGTTAATTCATTTTTTGGCTTGAAGAGTTTGTAACTTTGGTATGGCCATTATCACTTATCTTACTAATATGCTTATGTACTACCCTTCTGGTGATAAAAACGTATTTTCCTACAGAGAGATTCTCTATTCTCTGAACTCGTATTTATATACCCAGTAACTCTTGTGTACAGCGGACCAGATCACACGTGCCTTGTAGATTTTACTCTTGAGTTTCATTTCGAAACTCACTGCGACTTGTAAATGACAGTTCCATTCCTTTAACATAGTTGTTAGTTGCTATAAACCTGCTCACATTGTCGCAATTAGTAAATAAATAATAATAATAACAAATGATTAAATAAAACAATGACATGACACATGCAATCAATCAATGGACTTTATTATACTGTATATCAATAAGAAAGAAAACCTGTATAGAGCAGAGAAAAATTAATTTTAACAAAACAACACAAAATTATCTTCAATGAAAGGGAGAAAGTTTGGTTGCTTATTTAGAACTTAATGATTTTAAGAATAATCAATATGATCTCCTGAACATTTTGATTTGTCTGATTACAGTGCATTTACTGTGGAAAACTAACAAAAACAGGTCTGTTGTAACAAGTACATACAATGTACTGTATATGATGCAGTGACACTCCTGAAGAGCTACAAATGTGTATATTTAAACTGTAGGCCTATATTGCAGTTTAACAGTTACCAATCAAACATTCGGTATAGCTCAAGTGTAAGTCTTTAAGCGCTTAACAGGATGTGACACATCTCTGTTGCTTTTATTAAGAAGAGATACATGGAAACTTGCAGGCAGTGAAGCAGCCCTTGACAGATATCATCATTGCTCTGGGATAGTGCTGGATGAGGACACTCAGCTCACTGAGGAGCAACATGTTCTTCACAGCTTTACAGCTGCAAAGCCAGGAGACAGATTATCTGGTCAGAGTCAGCAAAGCGTCTGTGATATTCCTGCAGCCAAGTCCTGGGGCGTGGGCTTTCCTGCGGTACAGCTGACAGACAGCCCCGCGGCTGCCATTGCATCGCCTGTGGACGGTCCAATTGCTGCAAACTACAGGAAGAAACCATCAAGATTTTTTAAAGACAGTATATAGAGTATTTAAAAGGTGACAAATATTAAGCTACCAGTGATGCAGCCAGGGATCAGTGCAGTACTAAATATACTAAATAAGTGTATTTTTACACGTAACAACTCCACATCTTGCACTTCCTTTAATTACTAACCTCATCAGATCCCTCAACTCCAAACTCTACCAGTTCCTCAGTGCGGATAACGACAAAAAAACTCTTGTTTACTACCAGTGGTTGGTAATGTAATTGTCAATCAATGAACTGGTCCTTCCTGTTATTTCACTTACTTTCAATGTTTCCTTACATCCCGCATCTCACTTACAGTAAGACGTCTCTAAGGTGACTAACAATACAGTGTTACTGTGCCTTCTTTTAGACATGTGGCTGTGATGAATGTGTCAATCACAAGCTTTCACTGATCTTCATGTCAAGTTTAATTTAACTGTGATAGCAAAATAAAGCACGTGATTAATAGACAGGAGATACTGTAAATGTCAAGTGTGCACTATTTACTGATGTTGTATTTTGATACTTGTCTATGATGCAAATGCACTTGGTAATTTCATAAAACAGCTTTTCTTTTTTTATATGGTACATATCACCACCTCCAGAATGATCTAATCAGGAATGATAATTTACTCCTAACAGTTAGAATGACTGAGTCACATCCTACATTCGCATTCACTGTCGGGTTCTCTGCTTTCTCTGCCAAATCATCAGCACTAACAATCTTGGTAGGTACACTTCACCTGCCAACAATACAGCATTGGCTGTAATCAACAACAGAAAAATGGTAGAATAATGAAGCTTTATGTAATACACACTACTATAAAATACTTGAAATGAGGATGTATTGTGTATAAAATGGCTTTAATCATCACACACAATAATTTAAATGAAAATAAATGCCTCAACGTAGCACACTATTGTGAAGAGAAACGAGACAGCGAAAAATGCAAAAAATGCTTTAAATGCTACTATGATCTACCCTTAATGTATGCTTATTCTACTAGTGATCATCTTATTAAAGAAGTACATTTTAGACCACTTGAAATTGTAGAAACAGTCCAATATGTTTCCCTACGTTAATTTAAGAATTAATATAATCTTTTTTGTATATTCAGAAGTGGAGTACTGCACAATGTCTGCAATCTCTTTTTCCTATTAATATACCAATCTACCGAAGGTACAGGTTTGAGGAAAAACTGAAAAGAATGATATTCATAAGCAAAACAAATCTGATAAAGCAAAGAAAAAATCTAATTTCATTAAAGGTGTCAAATGTTTCTTTTCCTGCGTTGTGAGATGACTGCTAAAAAGCTGAACTCGGTGCTTTGTTGTGTAAGATGTCCTTCAAGCAGTGTAGTTATATCAGACTTTCTTCAGATAGGCCATGGGACATTCACAGGTGTCATTGAAAAACGTATATGATGTGCATCATGCTATGACATGAATAGTGAATAACCTTTCTGAAAGATACTGTTAAAGAGAACTTAGCTTCACAGAGCAGAATACTTCTTGCTCCTACTTATTCAAGGAGGATAATTTATTTATTTTCCTGATTACACAGCATTACACTTACCTGACTAGAATGTTTAACAGAAACAATACAGCAAATAGCTAACCACCTTCCCCTAAGTGCTTGTTTAAACAGGATTCTGAAAATGTTGAATGTTACACACGAACAACATGATGTTTAGCAAAACTGCACAAACTTTTTCAAGACAACATTTGGTTATTTTTATTGTAATTTGACAATTAAGGGCCTTTTTTAGCTACTGCTATCTAATTCTACATTGTGTGGATCAGCACTCCTATTGACTAAAGCTAAAACATGCAGATTTAATATGTGATTAAAAGCACCTTTATCAAGTCACCCATGTTAATGTGGAAAGATCAATAGTAAAAGTATAACTGCTTGTAATTCAGATTATCAGTACCTTAATCTGTTCCAGTCTGTTTCCTGATAGTCTTTGCAGAGCCTTAAGGCAAAATTTCACTCCTGAAGGACTGAAGAATGCAATGCTTGCTGGGACATCCTACACACAAATTAAAACAGTACAACATATAATAAGGCCAGCAAAACATCTCTAATTTGTGTCTGTGACAATTTATTTAAAGGTTGCCTGAATGTCAGAGTGAATAGCATAATAAATACAATTAAATAAGATGCTTAAGTTGGATGGACACTTAACACTCTGGAACTGTCACACGTGAAACAGGTGTTGCCAAGTTAATAAATGCAATTCATGTCAAATTTGGTTTCCAAGATGTATACATTTCTATCCATTCCCAGCACCATACATTCTAAACCAAAAGGAGTACAGAAATGAGACACTTCTTCTCCATATTAAGTGCACAGCATCTGTGAAACATTCCAGTACATCTAGATCAGTGAGGTGATGTTCAAAAGGAAATGAGAAATCAAAAATAATACATGAAAATGGAAATAAAAGCACTGCATTGCAGTCAGTGCATTTCCATGCACTGACTGAACAAAATACTGTAATTGCAATTCTTTATACCCTATACAAGTAATTCACGAAACACTGTTTTGAAGGCTTCAGGATGTTAAACGCCAGACAATGGATATGTTGTTTTACAGTGGTTTTGTGTCAGTTGTGTTGTGCAGACATTTCAGGCTATCTGACATTTAGCTGTAAGATGATAAACTGTATATCGAATCATAATATTGTACAGAGCTTACCTGTTCTGAGAAGTAGGTTTCCAAATTTTTTTCAAGATCTGGGTGCTGTGCCGTTTGGTAGACCATCAAACATTCCAGAGGCACACCTGATTACATTTAAATGAGTGTCACAAAGTGCTCTTATTTCTGAATTTTATCATTCATAATTTGTCATCAAGTTGTAAAATATTTTCCTAAGAACAAGTCATTGCAGTTCTTTATGTATAATGCAGGTAGAAAAGACAAATGATACATAATAAAAACTCCATACCATCCTATATTTAGATTTTATTAGCAAGACATGCAACAATATGACTTAGAAATCCTTTTAAGAACTTATCTAAGTTTTGCGTGGTTTCTAAGTCCCTCTAGTAAAATACAGACTGTTACCATTCATCTTCAGTGCTGTGGGTAGAACTTCTCTTTTAATAGACCCACAAGGAAAGAGAAGGGGCAATGAACTGGAGTCTTCTCCTGCAGAAAAACAAGACTGCTGTTTGTACAAATGAGATTTTGTCAAATGTTTAGTTATCCACATTCACTACAGCATATTAATGAATAATCACCATTTTTATCAGATAAATTCAAGCCTTACATTTGAATGCTTGTCCTAAATAACACTTTATGCAGTGATATAATTTGAAAATAAGATATTTAAATAATATTACACCAAGATACAGAACTCTGGAACCTCTCACATACTTTCGCAGATGAAACAAGATAGTTTATCTGCATTCCCACTGTCTTCTCCCAGTGGAACCAGGCCAATTTCTTGAACTAGAAAACAAGATTTGAAAGTGCATATCAAAATAAACAGCATTACAGAAGACATAAAAATACAAATTCAAATTTAAGCACTTTAAATTCTGGACTCAAAGTACTGTACTCAACACTATTATATGCTCAAATGGTCAATATCAAAGGTTTTAGCAACAGATTATTTATATAAGGTGGGCTTATAGTTAGCAGGCTAATTAAAATAAATGTAAATTGAAAACTACGTACAGTGGAGCAATGGCTTTTGGTATATATATAAACACGTCTAGAGGAATCTTATTCCCTGTAGATATCACTACATATCTAAAGCTGCTACAGTATATCAGCTTAGTGTGACCATCAGATTTGTGGAGGAACATGGCACACAGTTGTCTGACACTGGTCAAAGATCACTATTATTGTTCATAGGAATGAGTTCCTCAAAGCTCTATTTGTATGTGAACTAAATTTCATTGCTCCAAGGTGCCTAGGTCTCATGATACAGTTTTTTCCCAGTGTATGAAACCAAGGTTAAGAATGAAGTATTAAACAGAGGCATTTACAGTATATGTGCTGTAGCACCTAAGTGACAGTCATGTGTCAGCACTCCCGTTTCCACAATGACTTCATTTTTATCACAGCTGGGATCAAATGGTATAGCCCGGGGCTAGATGTTATTAATTCTTCTGTTCTGTTCCACTGTACATTTCCCTCCATCCTATTTATGTTGTAATTGTTGAAGAGATCCTCATCAGCAGGATCCACTGTGTATTGGTAGGATCACAGTCTTGTCCAGTAATAGCATGAGTTGAGAGTGACAAAGTTGGCCACTTTTGTATGTTACACAAACATGATATAAATGCTATCTGAAATGAAATGCAAACTTTAATGGAAGGATGATGAAGGACTGACACCAAAGAAAGACGATTTCTGTTCACCACATACTGCAAATGCTTTTACTATGAGTCACAGTAAACTAACACTGTTAGGAAACCATCATTAAACTCCTTATCAAAACACAACCTTACGTTAAAAACCAAGACATTCTGCACAACAGAGATTACTCACATGTAGAAAGAAGGACTGAGTGGATCTGCCCTCTAACACAAGACGAGTGATAAATCAACCAATGTCTCCTGTTCACACGTTTAACAGTAAACTGTGAGTTGTTACAAACCAATTTCCAAGCAAACTAAACGCAGTGTTTATCATGTTGATAGATTAAGGCAGGATACACAGGTGTCTGGCACAGAAAAGGCTGTTTCAATTATCAGCTAATGTGTTCAAGTCAGAGACAGCAGGGTCTTGTGAATCCTCCAAAGGTGAGGCACTTCCCTGACCTTGCCAGGAGCCTTTTAAATGATAGATGAGGCTTCACCAGGACAGCACTGGTATCAGTGCCTCTTTCATGGCAGGTGGCTTGTGGCAGTTTAAAAAGAAAACATACCCCATAATTATAAGAAACCCATAATCCATCTGCAGCACACACAGTGAATTCTGAACACTTTTTAGTCATATGTTTGAACATATCAATCATCGGCTGCATAAATGCATCTATTTACATTTACTCCGCTGAGTCCAACCTTGTTAAAAAGGCAGTTGGTGATAGTTATGTTGTGGCTTTTACTGTACCCAACTGGATGTGTCATTTTCATTTACAATCCCCATCTAACACAAACATCCCAGTTTTGTAAAAGGCACTGATGTTTGGCTTGCTTTCCCATATGTAACAGAAACATATTCAAAAACAAGTCTGCAAGCAGAGGGTTTGGGTAAGCACAATCCCTCTCTCTTTCTGTATTAATACCTTCTTTACTTATTTTTCGAAACCTCTTTATTTGCGAATCAACTGATCACAAAGGAAGCATGACGAGCACAGAGAAGACCTACCCAAGGCTGCAGTGGCTTTCCCAACAACATAGGTGTGGTTATTGTTCCATTTATCCTTCAGCCCTTTGCTCCACTCTGTGCAGATCAACAAACAAAAAACACCCGGCACATTAGTCAATGTGTTTTCTGTTTTATGTGTGAAATATACAACTTGCAAGTGTCACAATTCAGATGGTAGTTTTTCTTGTGGCAAGCACAATTCTTTTATAAATAACCTATGCCAAACATTCAGTATTTAAAGTTAAAATGTGAATTATATTGGTGTACTCTGCTAAAATGTGTAACATACAGCATGTCTCAACCCTCTAATTTCAGGCTTATAGGAATTCAGAGGAAGGCTCGGACCAGATGTGAGGCAACGGAGCACCATTGTTCTGAAGGTAACATTTATCTCAGCTTGAATGAAAAGCATGAGCAAGGCAGCAGGCTGACTCTAGAGGTCTTTCAAAGAGAGTTTGGCAGGTTTTTTGATGCAACTATTAACAAAAACACAGGTGCAAGCAACTAACAGAATTCAAGAATCATGGAAGAATTGCTTTCCATTCCAAGTCACTGAAATTAAATTTGTGTTGGACAGGATTCTGACAGGCCAGGTGTTAGAATTTAAGAATTCTCTCAAACTACAATAATACACAGATAATAATAGATCACTGTCAGGGATGCGGCAACCATTTGTTCAGTGAAGGTTATAATTAAACACAGGCTTCTGGTCTTGTTTTATTTCCATTTGTGTATTGTGGCTAACAAGCATATGAAGGACTGGAAAATAATAATTAGATATCATGGGGGTTCGTTGAAAAAATGCATCTTCTATTATTTCAGATAAGCCATCACATTATTAAAAGATTCTAAAGTAACATATTTCAACACCTATTAAATGTCAAAACACTCACTAGGAAACCAATTTTCATGGCTTGCACGCTGTCACATGACAGAAAATTAAACCCAGGGAGTAATATATTAAAAGAGTACTGGAGTGTCTCTTGTGAACAAAAATGTGGTTTCTTACAAAATATTTAAAATGAAAAACACCAGCATTACACCTTTTTTACTATTTTGTATCATTATTTTACCACTTAATTTAAATCATTTGCATTTTTAAATTCCTATCCATCTCATATCGTTGATTCAGTTTTCAATAAAAAGGCTAGCTAGATTAATTTAGTTGTATTGCATAAAAACATTTGTAATTTTTGTCAACTGTCTTATCGTCCAGTATAATCCTGTCACATGTTAAAATAAGAGGCTCTGTACCTGCAACGAAAACATCTTTCTAGCTGCAGGCTGTCCTGCAACTGTGAAATGCAAAGCTGTTGTTAAGAGGAAACCTTTTTTTGTCTTCATGTTTGAGCAGTGTCGACACTGCATTGCAAATAAGGCTCACCTTCCAGTGATGCCAGTGCTTTCTCTAGTGAAGAGGGGAGAAAAGCATTTCTGACCAAACTGATAAAATGAAACTACAATACAAAAGGCTTCTTCTTCAATGGGAGCTGTTTTATTGAGCTGGGTGCAGTGGTGACTTATGTATTAGGGTGAATGAGTCCACCTTTCTGACAGGTTGGATGAAAAGAGATAATCCAAACTAAGCTTTCACAGAGAAAGTGGTTTGTAAATATTTGACCACTATATCGTAAACCTCTGAAAACATCTCTGATGTGTCCACCTGTCAGGCTTCATTGTTCCAGATCGCTGCTTTGTGTATACTCCAGCTGTGTAAAGCAACAGGACAACAGCCCTTAACTTCCCTTTGTGGAATTGTCTGTACTGGCCATGACAACAGAGGTGTAGGGAGGAATATGGCAAATGCTGACATCTATGGGACATTTACAGCCCCTGCAACGCTTCGCTTCAGAGAGCTGGAATATGAAGATCTCCAGATGAAAACATCCAATACAACTGTGCCAGTCTATCTTTGCAAGTGAAAAACTGGCCATGTTACTGCTTGGCAGAAAGTAAAGACAGTGAAGTAACATTTACAAGCCAACCAAACTCCATAGTCTCCTTTAGTCAACCAACAAGAGGTATAAAACAATTCACAATCGCCACCATGCTATCTTTATCATGTTCTCCATTTTAACATTATGACATATTCACTTACCATCTCTTCTAACCTTGTCCTCAAGGCACTTTCTCACAGCCTCCACAGCCCTCGGGCTAGTGAAGACAAGTCCGCCGTACTTCTCAGGGTGAAACAGCTAATAAAAAAAATGTTTTATCAGACTTGAATATACTAGTAAATAAATTAATTGTAACATGCAGCCCATCTGTATTCATGGAAAGGATTTTAACCTGTCAGTAACTATGTGAGACTCCAGCGAAATTGTGATAGTCATTGTATGTGATCTGCAAAGCACATGCTGACACAAGAAGGTTTTCTTTCTAAAGGAATGGAAGATTAGATCTAAGAAATGTGAAAAATGTGTAATGTTGGAATTGTAAGGTATCATAAGACAAAATAACAGTATCCATTTTCTCTTCATTTGATCGTGATTCATTATGAACTCCGGAGTGTCTTAGAATAGCTTTTGCATTCAGGCTTTGATCTGAATGACTGTCATTTAAAAAAAAACAGCCTGTAACAGTACGATCATGTCAGGGGAATGACACAAAGATTATCCCTCACCTTTTCTGACAAAGTGTTCAGTGACACAAATTCAAAAGACAAAACAGGTATCAAAGTAGCCTTAATTCCACAGGATGCCAGCTCCTACAAAAGAATGAAAAGTGCACTGCAATTAGGAAGAACTTGGTAGATGACATGTGGAATAATGAGAGATAATTAGGCAAAATAGAAGACTTTTAAAGATCACAAAACAGAGCGTGCTCGGCCACAGTTAGTACTACATTTTTCTGATTAATCTATCTTGGCTATTATTTCCTATTAACTTAGACAAGTATTACACAAAAGTCTTCTCTTCTTTGTTTTTCAGTATACAAACCTTTACATAAGGGTCAGAACTGGAATCGGCTTCTTTGGATTCTTTTAACAGGAGCACATTCATCTTCAATGCAAAGACAAACCACTGTCTAAAAAAAACAATTAGCAAAGCTGTAATGAACAGACAATAAGAATATTATATAATACAAACGAAATGACTATGTCCCACTTCCCTCATGGTCAGAAAACTGATTATCAATCGCCATTCAGCACAGAGGCGGTTTTCAAAGGCATGAGTAAGCACAGTGCACACCCACTAACTGACAAGCGTTGTTCTTCTGATAGCGTAACTCAAAATTCCCACTGCTCTACTTTTGCCATGTATATCCAAAATGTATGCAATGTATACAAACATTAATTTAATAATAACAGCACCCAAGAATTTAGTGCTTTGAAAAACGGTTGTGGAGTATAGTTCAGTAAGTTTAGTAATAAGCACGGTAAGCTAGGCTTGACTTGTTTAGCTGAGGGCAAAACTCCTGACCATAGCAGGAGGAAGCTGGGACCTCCATGCAGAGCCAGAAGTGACCAAGGTGTAACTGCAAAAATCAAGGAGATATGCAAAAGACAGATTGGGAGGAGATTAGGTACTTTTGTTTAGTATTCATATTTGTTTGTAATTGATCAAATGATACCAGGAATGATTATGATTTAGGACAGTTTAGGTCAGTTGAACTGTGCTGTTGTTAACCCAACTGAACCTCCGTTTAGTTTCTCTTTTTTTACAATACTAAACAGACATTTGTTCAGATCAAATCTATGGTGTGCGCAGTGGCAAACCCATGATTCAGGCAACGGGCGGGTGTGTTTGGAAGAGAAACACCTATTTCACAACGGATGATACCACAACAGCTGGTCAGCTGCCATTCTTAAATGACACACCTTCCTCATATTTGCCCCCTCTAACTCTTGGGTAATCCCTGTATTCTTCCCACAAATAAACCATGAAACTCTCAGTACGACGGCTACTAATCTGACTAGGTGTTCAGCTGTCTGGAACACATTAGCTTCGTTGCGGGGTTTTCATATTGTCCTTATAATACTCCAGCCCGTCACCTCTGACCTCCACAGTTGTAGGCAGGAAATGAACAAACGCAACAATTTTAAGATCATAGGTTCTGTTAGTAGCAACGGAATGAGATGCGGATTTTACTCGGAACAAGCATAGTCATTTATTTTTAATTTTGTCACTGTAGCTTCTTCATTAACTCTATAAGCTTGTATGCATCAATTTATTTTATGAAAGCGTATAATTTGGCAAAAGACTGATCACGGACAATACAATCATTTATTTTTATACGTAGCCTTCACAGTAATTAAATACTTTGTTGAGCAGTATCCTACATTAAACGTTACACATCGCTGAACACCATTTCTGTCAAAGGTCGAATTGGGGACGCAAAACAGCAGATACAGGAAATCGTTACAACGTTTAATTTCATTGACCCCCCCACATCTCTGCTCCTGAAACAAATGTTACTGACAACTCGCACGATGATTGTGTATACGCAGTGGATAGATAACTGCCCCAAGAACAGAAATTATAAGACATACTTCAGCAGCACAGCCTGAACAGCTGTTCTTCCGACAACAAATTACGCTGAAGAACTCGGATGAAGAACGAGGGAAAAATCAAGAATCGTGAAGAAGAGAGGTAGACAAAAATACATTAAAATAAAATCATTTTTAAAAATGCCATCACCATTCCCATAATAAATGTCATATACACTGTAAAATGTATCACATTATTTCTAAGTATGTTATCTTCACTTATATGTTATATAAATAAGACTCCCCTCGAATTCTTTAAGTGCTTTGCACCAAAACCCTCCCCTTCCTCCTTCGGTGCTTCCCTTATGAAATCGAGTGGAGGTTGAACACATTTCCATGGCGTCTACCACGTTGAACATTTCATGCGAGAGACAGTTTGAGCCAAAATGGCGTCCATACTTCTACAGCTTCCCACACCACTTAACCGTAAGAATTGCGTGTGCAGGTCCCCTCCTTTTCCTCTTCTGTGTGTTTTGGCAGCATGGCCTCTTCTGCGAAAAGGCGAGCCGTAGGAATGGGGGTCAACCCGGAGGAGAATGAGGAGGAGAGCTCGGAGGAAGAGGCATCCGAGGGAGAGGAGGACAGCGAAGACTCCGATGAGGAGATACACGAGGTAAAATATATATACATACGGTACTGTATATGATTTTAAGGTTGTAGGAGCCTCCCGCGGTTTACGGCCAGATCGCATTCTCAAGTATCTCATGATTTATTATAATTACCTACAGTATCTAGACAGCAACAACTTTGACGTGTTAGGCAAAACAATGAACTGTTTCAGAATATATTTACAAACATTACAGATAGGGGAAGACTATAAAAATGTGGTATCCACGTGGTTAGCAATTCCCCGTTGACCTGCCGTGTTTTGTTTTACTTGATAGGAGGTGAAGGTGGACTTTGAGGCACATGCGATCTCCGAGAACGATTTTAACGGGATAAAGAAATTGTTGCAACAGGTAAATATATATTATGCTTTAACGTCGTTAAAATGACAGTTGCTACACCAAAAACAACTAGCAATGTACAGAACCATGTTTACAGTTTTTAAAAGCTAAATAACTACTATCATGTTTCCATACCACATTTCATGAGACATCATGTATAGTCGACTATACTATAGTATATAGTCAAATATATAATATATTATAAAGTAACAGAAAACGCCCTCTGCTGCTGGTGTCCATTGGAAATGACATTCTTGTGTGCACACCTTGAACATTTGATGAAACGGTAATCAGTTCAGCGATGTATTATTTTCATATGGAGGATATTAGTTAAAACCACAAGCACTGATGGTTAGCAACAACGGTGAGAATGATAAATTGCAGAGATATGTGAAATGTATTCAAGTAATACATTTGCAGTTAGTTGAACATAGGAATTAGCGGTTAGCAAAATTAATGTTGTTTTAATGTTGGTGGTAACTGTTTTGAGAATAGTTCAGGTGGGTAGCTGCGTCAGCATGCGTAGGCTGCAAAGGAACAAGTAATAGGTTTATTCCATGCTGAAAAAAAGAAGAAAGAGAACACAACGTTTCGGCCGTGGAGCCTTCTTCAGGTGTCACAACGTTTCGGCCGTGGAGCCTTCTTCAGGTGTCACAACATTCCGGCCGTGGAGCCTTCTTCAGGTGTGACACCTGAAGAAGGCTCCACGGCCGAAACGTTGTGTTCTCTTTCTTCTTTTTTTCAGCATGGAATAAACCTATTACTGTTTTGAGAATTTTGCTTTAATTGTCAGGATTTTTGCAGGTGCCAGTGAAACTTTTAAGAAGGCGATTTGGAGATGAAAAATGTCAACAGAGTGCGGAAATAACATTTAATTGCTTGTTCTTTGTATTTAAATATAAAAATATTATATATTTTAGCAAGATCTGATTTTAGAATTTGTGATGGTAGGTCCGTGTCATTGTTCTTTGAATATCTGCAAAGGAGGTGCAGGTATTCAAGTAATGTATTTTTATTCTAGCTGCATGTACGTCTCAGACATAGGTTGTTTATTATTAATTCATAATTAACAATAATTAAAGTATAAATGCTCTTGTCCTCACAGGTATTCTTGAAAGCCACTGTAAACATTTCAGAGCTGACAGATATCATCATCCAGCAGAATGAAATTGGAAGTGTCATTAGAGTAAGAATTTTAATACTCTCTTCAAATTTCAAGTTTTTGTTTGTCATGTTTATGCTTGTGTGTTTCCTCACGTTATTAATGACAGAACAAATAACATACAAATGACATCACAAATTGTTGGAGACAACAACATAAAGCAATAGCATGTGTGCCAACAAAATAGTGGAAAGTGGCATGTAAAATAGCAGTAGCAGCAGTATGCATAAACGTACATGTAGCAGCAATATACATGACATTATACAATAACAGCAATATACACATTGAAGGGTAGTAGCTGTTATTTTAAGCAGCATTCAAACAGCAGCAATATGCAAAAACCAGGTAGTGACAGTACTGTGAGTATTTCACACTGCTGTATGCTTTTTGATATTTCATTTAAAGTACATGCATATGTGTTTTCACCTTGTGATACTATTAGGAAATGCAAACTTGGCTTTCACCTTTATTCCGGTGATGTGGCACCAGCTGTCTCAAAATGCTAATCACCAAAATTTGTTCAATTTTAGATGACTTTTACTGGCACCTTTTTCACGGTGTTAAGAATTCTGGTGTTATTCTTGACAGTTTAGTTCATGCCTTGGGTTTGTGACTAGAACTATCTTGAACTAACTTGGAAAACACTGGTGAGATTGAAACGTGCCTAAACAAGAAGGAGGCAAAATGCTGCTTCACCATGTTCAGAGTGTCTCTACTGGCTGACTGAAAGTGCTTTTGTGTAATGGCTTGTGTTTGTTTACCTTTTATGCAGTGTTCTGGCATGTATTGCAATACATTTTATGTTGCTGTTTTGTTAAATGGCCTTGATAATTTTTTAAAACATTTCTAGGTGCATATATTGCACAGTGCAGACATGTGATACTTGATCTTTTAATCACTAGTTTCTGTGCCAGTCCAATTTTATGTAATTTAAATCTGTAATAAAACACTTTTTTACTAATGAGATCAATCTATTATTTCACATTATACAGTTTTGAAAAGCCGATCCACTTGAAACACTAGTGGATGGGATATTGGCGGTCTTGGTCTATTTAATAATAACTGTGATCACTGCTCTTCTCTTTTTTTCAGCAAGGTGAAGTACCCGAGGATAGTGATGATGACGATGATCCTGATGAAGTGTTTGGATTCATTAGTTTGTTAAACCTCACTGAAAGGAAGGTAAGCACTCCAGGCAGTTACTGGGGAAGTTGTTTGCCAGTATGTGATTGTACAAAAAAATTGCTAAAGCTTAACAGCCCCCTCTCTGGTGGTTTTCACAGCGAAACCAGCTAAATGAAATCTTCAGCCTAAAATGAAATCATCCCTTGTTGGTGCCTTCATGTTTGCTTTCGATTGGTGTGCAGGACACCCCGTGTGTGGAGCAGATTAAGGAGCTTATCCTGAGCCAGTGTGAGAAGGTCGTCCCCCAGGGTGTCGCAGAGCAGCTGGAGAAGATCATGAGTGATACGAGCAAGCCTGTGGGCCTGCTGCTCAGTGAGAGGTTCATCAATGTGCCCCCACAGATCGCTCTTCCCTTGCACAAGCAGCTCCAGTGAGTCTTTCAGCCCTAGTGCTTGGGTTTCACAGTTCCAGCACTGGAGGGTGGCAACATTTATTCTCAACAGTTTAAGATCTATAAAAAATACCAAACTGATTAAAGTTAATCAATAATTAAGTCAGTTAGGTCATGTATGATCTTAACTGAAAAAAAACCCAAGCAGTTTCTGGGTTCCTCAGAGGACAAGAGTTATGTGCTTCTGACCTACAGACAGAACAAAAGTACAGCTAGAAAAGAAAAGGATTTTAATGTCACTTTCACAAAGGATGGATTTATTTTTTTCTAATGCAAATGAGATGTTATTGCAATGTATAGTAATGTGTCATAGCTTTGAAAAACCTTAGACAATTTCTAAGATTTAAACCTTAGAAAGTCAAATAGAAAACTAGTGAGAAACACATATTAGAAAATTGACCTTGCAGATTCCTTATTTTTAAAATGCTGAACAGCAATGCTGATTACGTACTCTTAGTTAATTATGTGCTATCTAAACATGAACGTGAGCCCCTGTACAATATTGGTGCTGTCACATGTTCTAAAGCTTTTGGATTAAATTTGTACAGAAGTAGGTCATTGCACTCCAGATTGAATGCTTTGTGGAAAGGCTAAAGTTCCATTACGTTAGTTTTAATTGCTGGAAAAAAGGAAAACAAGTCTAATCTGGTGTAACGTTTAGTGAGATAAAGCAGAGTGTTACTCATATTTCCAATTCCCCAAAATTCAGGGAAGAAATAAGACAAGCCCAGAGGACCAACAAGCCCAGTGGAAAATGCCATTATTACCTGATGATAAGCAAGACCTGCAAGGAGGCAAAGAAGGGAGATTCTAGGAGAGGGGGTCCCCAAAAAGAGGAGGAGCTGATGTTTGCGAACGCCGAAGAGGAATTCTTCCATGAGGTAAACCAATCTGAACTTCTGTGGTCTGCAGTTTTTTTATTTGCTCGGTGTTTGGATAGCTTCCCTGGCATAGATGGGTAAGCCGTGTGCATGCTAAACCAACCTCCTGTAGCAGCTGTTAAAGGAGAGCTGTACCTGCTTGGCCAGGTTTCACAGGGTGTCCAGGATTTAAGACATCATCTTCATCATGCAGTTCACATTGGAGTTCCAACTCCGCTTAATTTCTTTTTTTTTTCCGCAGGAAGCAGTCATTAAGTTCAATTACTCTGTCCAAAATGAAGCTGACTCTTGCCTGGGTGGACGATGGAACTTTAATGATGTTCCAATGAAACCATTCCGTACAGTGATGTTAATCCCCGCCGAGTGCATCAACGCAATCATGGCCAAGCTGAAAGAGTATCTGACGGTATGAGTAGCATTAAAGATGTGGGATAGCGGTTCGTGTGTGACCCTCTTTAGTTTGGAATTTGTCAAAGGAATTGTCAAAACTGGCTCTTGATACATACTGTGTCAGATCTAGTGACAAGTCAGGTACAGTTTTGCTCAAGAGTTATGCAAAATACTTTAAGAAATGTACATACTCTTTGTATTGAAAATACTGTAAGCATACCGTTGTATCAGAATGTAAGCTTACACTGCGGTGAAAAGTAAATGATGTTAAGGACACAACCATAGTTTGAATTCACATTTTGTTCCTTCAGGAATCTTACTGATCTTTCATAAAAAGGGCATATCGATACTCCCACCCATAGGAATTCATCGATATTCTTTAGCAGTTGTTTTTAAGAAACAAATGCATTTTCAGATTTGGATCCTAGTACACTTAAATCTGAAAGTTTTCAGCATGTCTTTTAAGAAATGTTAAAAGAGTGGGGTGGGGGATATGCTATCTGCTTTTGCAGACTGCCTGCCCTTGAACTTATGAAATCAAGTCACAAACTGCACCTGAAACTTGATTAACATATAATTAGTTAACAATAAAACAGACAATGGCCCTGTCAGCATGGGCCCTGGATAGCAGGATGAGGCTTTATCATTTAATAGATTTTCATTCTCTCTTAGAGAAGATGTGTTTTTAATCACATGAGGAATCTAAAGTCAATTAATAAAATGCTGTGTTAATGCTTGTTTCATCTATACTGTAGCTGACAAGTGATTGAGGGATGTTCACAATAATAATTTAATCTGTTGTTGCTGCTAGAAGTTTATATTTTTATTTAAGTGCTGCTTTGAACAGATTCAGCAGCAGCAGTTGGCTTTTAAAATGGTCTTTTTACAGTCTTCATGAAATTCCTTCTACAGCAACGAATTTTATCCTACCTTTCTTTTGCTTTAACTTTTTGTCTATTGTGTCAATGGACTACATTCTGCTGTAGTTCTACCCATTCATTAAAAAATAATTCATTTTATTTGCTATATTATGTAGATTGATGATTGTGTGCTCTGCAACAAGAGTGTACTAAAGATAGCGAGGAACTTACTCTTACATCAGTCATTCAAGAAAATAACCTTGAAATAACCACCTCACAGCCAGGTGATGGCTTATATAAAATCCAAGCAGCTGCTGGCTGTCCTTTGGCCTGAGGTTCCACATGTTTCAGTACCTCATGAACGTTTCCAGCAAAGACACAACACCACTCTAGTTTTAAATAATTTAATCATCCATAAACCATGTACCATATACAGTATATATTATATTCTTATCAAAACCACTGTACTGATAAAATTTTTTTGAATGAACATGTATTACTTTAACTGAAGTAAAAACAAATCTTTTAAAGACCGCAAGGTGGTTTTTCTTCATTTGCTCCCAAATGTATCTATTGCCATGGTGATCTCTTCATCTTTGCTTGAGTATTTTTTTCAGTAAAAGATCATTGCTAAATTTACAATCAGGTTTTATAATATTCTTCGGACAAAACTGCTTCTGCCCTATGCATTATCTAAAAATGTGTAAGTAGTAGCCTGGCAGCACTCGGAAATAACCTCATTTTGAGCACTGTATATGCAACGTGGAGCTCTGCTCTGATTGTAAACACAGAGCTTACACAGCACCACTCCCTTGCCACCAGTGAACTCCGCCATGGCAAAAAAACAGGTCTTCTCCAGCAGTATTCTACACTGTTACATATACCTTTACAAAATGAACAATGAACTGGATTAACAAATGTCACTGTATAACACATCTCTCATAAGACTGATTTGCTTGGCAGTCCTCGGGCACGTCACTTGGTAGCGTTTGTGTGTCTTGTTTCTTGTTTTTATGCACTGATGATACGTGGTCAATAATATGCTGCAGTATATCTTTGCTCTCACTAGGGGGCAGATTGTAAAAGAAGTATTGTGGTGCCATCTGAATGAATCTGAAAAACAAAATAAAAAGGTTATTTATTTCCCTATTAAGACTTGCAGGGTTATGGCTAAAATACCAATAACCAATAAAAGGTCAGTTGTTAAAAATATACTTTTTCACCTTGGGTTGATGGACCCATCTAAATTAATTTGAACTTCATCTTTTCATTCCAACAGTTGATGTTATAGTTTTATAACAGCATACGATTACACTTTTTGTTACAGATATTTGTTTTGTATACAATATGCTGCTCTCCACATTTCTTTGACAATTTCTTTCACAACTGAATTAAAATTGAAATTTGACAATTTTGCACCAAGTACTAGACTTTTATTCAGCGACAGGAGATTACTGTCATCGTCTTTTTTTGCAGTTGTAGTAACATGGGATTAAAAGTCTACTCTCCAATCTTTTTTTCCAATTTGTGGCCTGCGTGACTAAGTAAACAGTCCCATTTGCTTCTTAGTAGTTGAACACGTAGCAGTGGATTAGAAACTATACAAACGTTCCTGATCCCTTGTGTAAATTCTTTTTATTTCATTTTTTTTGGAGGTAATTCAGGTATTTAAACAAGTCTTATATTAGCCATGGGATTTTTTTTTTTTACTGTAGGCCGCACCTGCTTTTATGTAGGAATCAACAATAAATGGTATTGACTTACACTTCGGGTGATATTTCAGAGACTGTTCGGATGCAGTTATTTTCAGACAGTGTGTATTCATGAAACAGGACCCACTCTGGCAAGCCCAATTTGTCTGCTTTTGAACCATAGCTGGAGAAAGGATGGATCTGAGCCATGTGTTTGTGTGTCAGCATAAAATAATTGCCTGAGCCGTCTACATCTCTTGCAATCTAAAAGAAGAACAGAAACACATTCAGTAAAGAGTCTGTTGCTCGACGGTGGGGTTAGGTACACACAAGTTTCAAATTATTGTGAATATGTACATCTTGTACAGAAAAATTACTGTGGAAAGTTGTTCAAAAGGTGATGAATATTTGCTTAACGGTGACAAATCTAGATGGTACAACACTTCAGCACTCAGAATCACACTTGGACAAGCAGCAAATTTGTTTATGAAATAAAAACAAAGACTTTGGTTTCCTTTGAGCCAATTTTTATCAATTAAGTTTACCCCCTGTGAAGCCAGTATTCTTTTATGTACTTTTTCTCCTTGCTGTTTTCTAATGTATGACTCGGATAAGCAGATTTTCTCTTACCTGCATAAAATAGCCAGACAGGAGTGCTCTCTTTATATTCTGAGTGTTGCACTTCGTTCCAAATGAGGGCTCCGAGATGGGGAGCTCAATTCGTTTTAAGATATCCGTCAACTCTGATCGAATGGCATCGGCTGTCTGGAGAGCAGGGTAGCTGAGAAAGCACTCTTGGCACCACTTCTCAATACTTGCATCTTAAAAGAGAAATATATATATATAATTATATATTTTTCTATAAAATAATCCCCCCCCCCCCATCTTGAAAGTACACAACACAATGGTAAATACAGATTCTTCTTCTTCTATATCTTTATTTTGTAATACTAAAACAATATTTGTTCACAAGGCGAACAGCTTATTTTCCTTGTTTTCTGCATATGTACACAATAACAAGACAGCAACCAGGGGATAACAAAAATCGTATTGCATGTTTCGACAATGAATAGAATTATTAAACGTTGACTGAAGATACCATTCCCAACTGTAAAGTTGATAGTGTGCAGCCCTGTAAGTTTCAGAAAATGTCATGCCACTTACGTTGACTTTGCTTATAGGCATTGTAGACATTGATAAGGGTGAAATGGTCTCCCTCTGGGTGCTGGAATTTCATGTGACAGTGGAGAGCTGCTTGTTGGGAGCCAACAGGTGGTTCCAAGAAACAGCCTGGTGCTGAAACAAACCAGCATACATGGTTAACATACATGACCAAGCCAGTTTTCATAAACAGCATCTGACCCAAGACAGCTGCCCTCACAGAGGAGCTACCAGGGATTGACCTGCATGTCCATATGGTGAAATAAATAATAACAAGGACAAAGACTTTTTTTTGTTATAAAGGAGTTATTTATGGGGAGAACATGCTATATCAACCAACAAGCCAAATGTTAAAAGTAATGAAGTTCAAAGGGGCTTCCTTTTCCCTTTTGCATTGTTTCAAAACCAAATAAACTGTCGTATACTATCTCCCTTAACTTATCACCTAGACCTTTTGCCTTTGACGATACCTTACATGTATGGTTTGTATACATGTAGGAGAATTACACAATATGAAGAACATTATCCATAAATATGCACAACATTTTCTGTATGGTTTTCTAATGCTTTGCACCAACCTAATTTTACAACACACTGGGTTTTCAAAAGGAAGCCCAGGATCTGACAACTGCTGGGATTTTCAAAGTTGCTTCCTTCAGAAGTAATGGACCTTCCTTGGATATAATACCTGTGAGCATAGCTGCAATGGTAAGCATTTCACTGACACAGTCAAATTCACAGGAAGCCAGGAGAGCTTTCGCCATCTGAGGATCCAAGGGGAACTCTGACATGATTATTCCGATTTCTGACAAATTTCCATCATCATCTAGAGCTGCAAGATAATCCAGTTCTTCCAAAGCCTGCATAAGACACTCTGGATCTGGAAGTGTAACAGACAATAACATTTGAATATTAATTTCAATTTGTTTCCACACTCAATGAAGGAATAGTTATAGATGCATATTTACGTATCTCCTACAACTTTAGTGTAGTCTATTGAAAATTAAAGTAAGAGCACTTGTATAGAAGGCACTGCATGTAGGATACCCACAATCTTTAGTGGGTAATACCATTTTAAAAAAAAAACACCAATAAAGATTTACAGCAATAAATCTCGACTCCCAGAAATATGGAGGAATTTTTCAAGTCATTTTTATAGCGATACAATTTGTTACACAATGTGAGATGACACATTTTGTAGCTGATTGCGAACTAAAAAAAGCAGCCTTGCCAATATGAAAAATACTCCCTGAGAGCTATTGCATGAAAGCTTTTAAAAGTTATTCAATATTCCTTCCTGAACAAAGTGCAAAAGAATGGGACTTCCTGTTCATTGTGCTGAAGAGACTGACAAAGCAGAGCTGTAATCACTAATGATCTTGCTCCTTTATACCATCTTCTGCCACACTGTAAATATGTAGCTGCTACAGGAATAAATCACAGTTAGTCTTTCACATGTTGGGGCTGCTCTGATTACCAACAATGGTCCCTGGCTGAATGCTGTCAGCTCTGCTAATGTACAGCTGACTGACTCCAAATAACAGGCTGGGAGCAGGCATTCCTGGCCCATCTGGACTGTTTACACCAGCCAAATAAACCTGGGTTGAACTCCTGCCTTCCCTACTTAACATTTAACTCTCACTGTTCTGAAGCTTTTCATTTTTTTTTGTAAAACTGTGCAGTATAAACCTCTATTTCCAGCCAAAAAAACTGTTTTATTGCAAAATTATTTAAGTTATCAAGTTTTTTTAAGATTCAGGTCAAAACCTAAAAAATAATATACACACTGGCCTTGGTGTGTATGTAGCCGTCTTTAATTGTGACTTATGATTTTTACTTACCGTGTAAAGTAAAAATCCACTGGAAAGCCCCAGTCTTATTTGTTTTATAAGTCATCTGTTTTTAAAGATTAGCACCACCTTTAAGCTATTGATGAATTAAGCAAATGGATTACAAATGAAGTGTTCCATATCTTTAGAAATCAGGGATTACATGGTGACCGACAAATTATACTGGGACTGGGACACTCAGGGACCAGGCCTGAAGATCCCTGACTTTCATGATGGGATCCAGGAACTGTATAAGTCCAATTCAGCAGTACTTCATTTTCTTTTACCTGGTCGGTCTATGAATTCACAGTGGCCCAGTCCTGCAATATCCATCCTCTTCAGGAAGAGCACTGTGGGTGTGAAGTTGGACTCCAGAATCTGTGGAGGATTCTCATCTGGCAGCTCTGTTTCCTCTGGGTAGAGGCAAAAACACTTCCCTAAGAGGATGAATAGAAATGAAGAGTAGTACTTAATACATTCAAATTTTTCCGTTATGCCATTTACTGCTTGTTTGAATTATTTTGTCCAGGGTAGCACAGTTGTGCGGTGTGTCTTGCTGCCTCTCAGCATTTGGGCCCCGGGTTCTGTTTCTGTTGTGCTATGGGATGTTTGTATGTATTCCACAAGCCACAGGCATTTACATGGCTTTTCTCCCACAGACAAAGACAGGCTGATAGGTTAACTGGCGTCTGTGAAACTGGCCCCAGTGTGAGTGTGTGCATGTTTGCACCTGTGTGTACCCTTTAATGGACTGGTGTCTCGTCCAGTGCTTGTGGGATAGATAGGCTCTGGGCCAGTTGCTGAAAGTGATGGTGATAATCTTGTCCATGTTAAAACAGTAGACATTAGCAACAGGATAGAATTTTGCTCTGGGAAACCAAAGGTTTTTACAAATCAGTTTTGAAAAAATTAAAATAACAGTGGCAAAATGTGGCTGTTCCAACTCATCATAATTGTGAATTCTTGATTTTTAGCACTGTGATGCATAAGTATTTTAATTTATTACATTGATACCACCTTAAAATGTGTCTGGTAAACTCTTACTAACCATAAAAATAAAATCTGTTAGCTGTTGTGTCACTTTAGACGTTTAGAACAAGTGAAGAGGAACTTGTTCAGTAAAGAGATTCAAACTGGATTTCAATCCCACCTGCTGAACCCATAAGCTGCTCGCGCATCTCTGCCTGGCTTTTACTGATTGGTCGCACCACAAGGGAGTTGGCTCTGATCCGAGGATTGTATACCTAGCAGAGGGAATTAAAGAGTTGTCACACGCATCAATATCGTAGCCTCTTGTGGGAATGCAAACACTGCAAATACGGAAAACACAGCCTGCAACAACAGACTTCACGCCTGTAGGAATTTAAAAGTGACAAAATATGAATGGTTCTTCTTTAAGTCTTTTCCTATTATACATTTATATTAAAGCTCATGTAAAGAATGATTAATAGTGGTAAACAATGCACATTACCATAAGCTAAAGAAAAAACTAAAGAACATGAGAACGAGCCAGTAGGCAGATGCATGAACACTTAATGCAGCTTTGCAAAAACAATGATACAGTGAAATATTGCACATGCCAACACCAGATAAGTCTTCAGATCAATTATCTACCTAAAGCAGCACAAAGCAGTTTTGCCAAATTGAGGTTCACATGTAGGTTAAATAATTAATCTAATCCAGTGGCATAAAACGAATCATTGATAAATAATTGGAAGACCAAGATTGTACACAGTAAAGCAATTGGACATTCCCAAGTTTGACTGGCTACAGCTATGGCTGGAGAATGACCCAGGACACAAAAACATAAAACCTTGATGATATGGAACTTTTATCCAAATTCCAATTATATAAGCTATGAAATGATAAAAAAAACGTTATTTGTTGTTGCAAATTAACATAGAGAAACAAAACTGATGAAAGGTCTATAAATGTGTTACTTTTATCCTTTCTTTCACAATCTTTGCTTAGGGAAGGCTTGTTTTCCCTTCTACAGGCAAAGCTTATTTTCATGTTTAATACAGTAAATTGTATCTGGTCCCACTTGTATGGGTGCATGAACATCCTAGTAATCTCTTTCGCACTCACCAGCTAGTCTTCTGTTATAAAATTACATTAGATTGCCCTGTTTTGTGCAGTAATTCAATGTTAATTCACTCACATATCTTTTCTCAACCCCAGTGTCAATGACAAAGTTCACAGTATCCACTGCCCAGAACAGGTCTTCCCCCTGACTAGTGGTCAGGAAGACTCTTCTGTCAGGACACTTGCCGCTCTTTCCCTGCTCCTCACTCTGGCTGGGGATACACCCCCCTTTCTCAGGGCTCAGGGGAACAGGTACCAGCTCTCCCAGCTCTGGGCTCAGATTTGCTCCCTCTTGCCTGATTATGTCATGAGCACAGTCAACCTCCTGAAACAAAAACAGTGTAGTCAGATTTCATCATACGAACAAAGGGCCGTTGCCCAGTCCTTCACAAATCCCTATATTTTTTGGAAGTTCATGATTCCAGTTAACCTAAACCTTGCACAAGATGTGTTACTCAAACTTAAATCACATAATCAATACACAGATACTGTATTCTATACTTGAAGAAAGCTTGTTCACCTACTTGCAGAAAACACTAAGTTCTATTATCTTGCATTATGTCTTTTGCTTCTGTATAATAATCTATGAAAAACAGCCTATGCCATTTTGTTCAACTAAATGCTTTTTTACTTATACTTTAGAATGCTCTAGGCATTCCAATGCTAACTGTAACATCAATGATTAATGCCATTAAAAAATTAATGTCAGCTAACTACAGAAGTAAAACTCAAGGCTTTATAGGACAATACACTTTTACAGGAAAGGAACTATACAGGAACACGGGGAGAGACCAATAAACGCACTCTTAATAAACACAGAAGAGATGAGTCGGTAAATATTTAACATACTATATGTAAGAAGAATTTTGTGGTTTGGAAGACTTACAGAAAAGAGAAAAATAAAGATTTCACATCCTACAGAATAATATGAATTAGAACCTATTAAATACTATGTAAAAAACTAAAAAAGTCATCCCAGGCAATTGTAAACAAGTGAACCCTATCTTGATGAAGAAACCATTTAGAATCAAACCCGTTAAACATTGGTCTGATCAGCAAACCTGTAACTTGGTAACACTATTTAATAAGTGACAGCGGTGTGGGGTAGTAGTTAGGGCTCTGGACTTTCAACTGGAATTTGGTTCAATCTTGGGTAGGGCACTGCTGTTGTATCCTTGAGCAAGATACTGCACTGAGATTACTTCTGTAAAATGCCTAGCTGTACCTCTTTATATATTTGGACAGAATGTGTCAGCCATATAAATTAATAACAAATAATATCATACCTGTGATGATGCCAAAAAGACCACAATATCTCCACCTTCCTTTGTGTGATGGATCTCTAATACCAGTCGCAGTGCTGAATAGAAGTAGTCCTTTTGGCTGCTGTTGCTGTAAACCACCTCAGCTGGACATGGGGAGTCTAGCTTTATTAAAGGGATGTTGCCATAATATGTGAGCAGCTTTTTGGCCATATGCGGCACAGTGAGAATCACCACCCTCAGGTCTGGTCTCTGCACTAAAATATCCTTCAGCAGCCCCAGTAAGACATCGGTGCAGACTGTCCGTTCATGGGCTTGGTCAACAACAACTACTCCATAGTGCTCCAGCAAGGGATCTGACATCATTTCTCTGAGCAACACATCATCAGTGCAGTATCTGTAAAATACGAGGAAAATCCTTTAATGTGTTTACTTTTCTGTGGATTAATATAGAGTTCATTTACACTGAAACACTCACAAATACTGCACCTGGTCATTTTTTCCTACTGAACTTCTAAGATGGAAATGGTATACTGCCTTCAGCACAACCTTCTGCATGATGCACAAGGCTAGGGTACAAAAACAGATGTTTGTCCCTGCTCCTATTTCTGCTTTTTCTTTAAATTTACTACCGACAGAACTGCAAGACATAGCAGCACCTGTTAAAATTAAATTAAGTCTTAGTGACTGACATCTCCTCCCAATACAATCTATTGGTTTTGTCAACATCTATCATTGATAAAACTTATACAAGCCTGGCTGCTTTCCTTATTCATTTTATAACTTACTCTAATGCTGTTTCTTCTTTTCTCTGACCCCTTACCCCTTCATCTTTTGGAAATCTGTGCTACCTCTATAATTGCCTTTTCTCTTTTGTTAGCTTCCTTGTCTTAAAAGCCAATATAAATGCTAAAAAGCAGCATATGGGGTGAATACTCCATTTGAATGAAGTGCAGCTGCAGCTCAACCCCCAACCTCCAAGCTACCCCCCACCCCTCTGCCCATTGTTGCTGATTCTTTAAGCGGAGACAGCCCCTTCAGAGGGGGTCTGAGTGTGTGTGCGTGTCTGAGTCTCTGTGTGTACACGGGCAGGAGTAAACGCAGACTACACAGACCTCAGGACAGTGTCACTGGAGCAGCAGGTCTCCAGGGGTACACTGTAGCCCACTTCGTGCCCGATGTTGACGTCCATCTCGTCAGCCACCCTGAGCGAGAGGCTCACGGCCTGCTGTCGGTGGATCTGACTACAGACCACCATTCCATGCTGGTACTGCGCTGACAGGCAGAATTCCGCACACCACTGAGGGATCTGCAATGAGGAAAATGGGAAAAAAGGCCAACAACAATAAAGTATTAATCGGATGATTTTTTTTCCCCCAACAACCATTACTCTACTACAAACTTCTAGTTCCAGTATTTTCAACATTATTACACTACTACATAACTCTGCCTACTGCATCTGTAGGGGCATCTCAGCACTCTGTGTGATAAAACAAACTAAGCAGAATCAGATTTTATGACAGGTTAACACATTTTCTTCAGGCATATTTTCTTGGAAGACATTTTAATGGTCTTCCCACGTATGTCTCCTCTGCAGGAGAATCAGCTGGGTTACAAATAATAAAAACAGCGCCCCATCCTCATAACACCTTAAGAATGTAAGAAAGGTTACAAACAAGAGGCCATTTTACCCATCTAGCCCTTCTGGTAATTAGTATTTCATTGATTGAAGAATCTCACCAAACGTTTTCTTGAATGAAGCCAGGGTATCAGCCTCTATAAAATGTCTTGGTAACTTATTCCATATTACCACAGCTCATTGAGAAAAGAAGTGTCTCCTGTTCTTGTTTCTAAGCGCACTTCCATGCAGCTACCACAGATGCCCTTTGGTTCGAGTTTCACTGTTCATTCTGAAGAGATACGCTTAGTTGATTTTATAAATGCCTTCGAAAATTGTGAACACTTGTATCAGGTTCTTGTCTGCATTATACATCATATGCAGGGCTCCAGACCAAAAAAATACCTTGGGAGCCACTGGCTCCTAAAATGAAACATTTGACTTTTTTTAGTCGCCAAATTACAGAATCCAAATAGTTCGTCTGCAATGCACCCAATAAACTCAGCACATGCGTTGTCTTTATCATACGTCTTTGATACAATACATCCATTCTGTTCTTTTTCCTTAGCAAGATTTGGGAGGCATATTGTGTGAACAGTAATTCCTCGCGTGCGATCATGTAGGCTGCATTAAATTTCATTTTCACTTCTTAAAAGTCTTTCTCTGTTTTTTCACAGGCCCGAGAGACAGCCCGGGCTAAAGGAGTCTGCCTTGGGGCAAACTTCGCAGTTACACAATCACGAGCTTCAATCAGTATGCTTCTGACTCTCCCCATGTTTTTTTAAATGATTCGTCCCTTTGAAAAACTCAGTTTTCTGCAACTTCCTGACCGGCTTTAGAGCAAAAGTCTCAATACATCATTTGTTTACCATTCTCATGCCTAAGCCAAGCAAATTCCTGAAGCCACGAAGTTCTGAAATGCCGTTCAGACCTGTTGACGGATGAATCGAGCTCTTTAAAAAAAAAGTCTGTAATTTTACGTGTGTTCTAGCGCGAAGCTTCTTAGCTTGCTACCTATTAACCTAAAGTCACTGCCGCGTGCTGCGACGAAGGGGCGTAAAGGCGTGCGCTCTAAAGATGGAATTAAGTAACGCCTCATCGCCAGATTAAATTTGACCACATAATCGACAAAAATAAAGTTTTGGTGTCTGTCGCTAATGGCAACTAGATTGTAAATTATTGTCGCAAATTCTTATTTTTCGTCACCATCTGGAGCCCTGATATGCCAGGTGTTTGCCAATAAATGTCATTTGTTAAAAAAAAATTATGCTTTGACAGTGTTTGCTAATCCTCCTAATTTGACATCTGCAAACTTGAAACATTTATGAACTTTACCAGAATTTCGTTAATTGATATAAGTTAAGAATATCTGTGGTTCTGGTACAAATCCCTGGGTACTCCACTAATTATGTGATCCTGATTTGTTATTCAGCCCATTCCACTAACGGATTCGAGCAGTTTCATCGCACAGTTTGTCCACTTTATTTGACTGATCAATGCTCACGCTCATCCTTCTTGTTTCAAAAGATAAAAATAGCATTTTATATGTACTTCAATTTGTAACTCGGCAGATGCAAAGATTTTCACATGTGCTTTATATATGAATATCCAATGGATTTCACCGGCGTTCTTTAGAATTGTTTTATGTTCTTTTAAAATCGGTGAAGAAAGTTATCATAAGAAGGCTTATCAGTAGGTGGCCATTAAGATCCTGCCCTACGCAGCTCACAGCTGGACTTGCGTCTTGTCCAGCTGTCGTGGTTCTTCTGTCTGACAGCCTGTGGCCTACAAAGCTGGCCTTCTGTTGCAAGCATCATTCAAAGCTGTGCTTAGCAGCTCATTAGGAGGGTCATATTAAGCAGCAGTCGCTTGTGCATGTAATCTAAGGTACTAAAAGAGACACTTCAGGTCGTCACAGTCTGGCAGCTGCTTTACATACTGTAGATGTTAAAAAATAGAAACCTAGCTGGCTTACATTTTTAAAAATTACTGGACACTTCATGTGACCTTAAAAATGACAACCTCCGCAGCAAATGGTTTAAAAATGTTATGGTCAGGCCAGTGATTTTATAGTCAAGCTTTAATTCTAAGCTTTAGAAAAATACTTTATTATACATCTTGAAATGTTAGTGCTTTACTTTATGCGCAGCTTGCACTTCAATGAGAATGGCTGAAATTCATGGTTGTCTAAATGCCATTTTTAAAGTTCATCATAACTCAGGAGATGTCAAGTATTCTCAATCATCAAAGCCGCTGATCACATTTAATCACTGGACTTCTTCAGAATCAATAAAGAAAAACAAGAAAGGGGCCACAGGTGGAAGATAAGGGAAAGCTCGCCGAGCATTAAGAACAAGAGCTCTACACAAAAGAGTGTGGCTGTCTGGAATAAACCACCCAATCAAATTGTAAAGGCCTTCTTTTTACTTCTTTAAACAGCTGGATGAGAATCTTGGATCAGTTAGCTACTACCAACTGAACAAGCTAGAAGGGTTAGCCGCCCTTTGCTGGTAGGTTCTCTTCTATTTGTAGAAATAACTAACAGGTTAAATATTAACATCTTTAATTTATACTACTTGTACAAATAACCTCCTGTGAGACAGTTTCGGTCATGTTTACTGAACCACTAAATATAGCCATCACAATAAACTGAACACAGACTCATTCATTAAGTTCCTTAATGAATGTTCTCTTTTGTATGTGTACATTTTAGATTTTTTGTCTCTTCCAACGTTTAATCAAATCAGACAGTACCGTGACTATTTGCTCGAGCACAGTTTCGAGCACTCTGGGAACAGGAGCTAAAGATTTGGGTTGGCAAGCTAAGGTGAGAGCCAAAAGACATTACGAAAATGGAGACAAACCATTATTGCATTAGTGTCTGTGGTCAGCAAGGTATATTTAACTCTCAGTTTGTCCATGTTTTGCTTAATCCATTTATAAGACACTGAATACAACAAGTTCGGTACAGTACAACTAGACTGAACTGGAAAATAAATGTGTAAAATATTACACAAATACGGTATGAATTGAAAGCGCTGAATGTTTTTAATAATCTTATGTTAAACGTTAGGTACTGCTCGTATTATTGCCTCGTACAACCTTTTCTTGTCTGCATCTTTTCTTGTATTCTTTCTGTTTTTTTTCTGTACATAAAGGTTTGAAACCATCAGTTACTAAATCCCAAGTCTAGAAGAGACTGTTTGAACAGCACTGAAGCATAATATATTTTGCACAGAGCTGTAATTTGCAAAATGTGTTCACAGGAAAACTCGATCCAAAAGATTTCACAAGAAAGTTTAGGTACATTTCTGCTAAAGCCTGTTTGGTAACGACTAAACAGGTTTAGCAACTTTTTAAGTTAAACTTTAACCAACCAAAATGTTCATTAAAACACAGAACAATGTTTACCTAAGGCGATTTCATTATTTTTAGTTCCAGGCCGAGTTAAAAGGCGCCAAAATCATTTAACTTCATTGAGCCACATTCCTCCTCACTCACCTGCGTACTCTTCCCAGTTTTCGCTGTCCCAGAGACTATTACCAGCTGGCTCTTGGCCAAAGTGTCCAGAAATTCACATTTGCCTTTCCAAACTGCAAGAGTCTTTCTTTCCTTGAGCAATTTGTAAAACCTCGAGGAGTAAGGCAGTCCGTCGAACTGGTTCAGCTCCAAATCTTCACCAAACACCGAACCCTCCTGTTCGTGTCCTTCTTCGAGGTCGGAATCCGATTCCCCCAGTAAGTAATCTTCCCCCGACATGGCAGAGCTCTTCAAACCTGCTCGGGTGCTTTTATTAATAAATTAATGCGAGGAACAAACTGCGAACTTGCCGAAGACTGGTGAAATTGCTGCCAGGGTTCCGCACGGAGAACGTCATGAGGAGAAAGGGCAGGACTCCACGATTCCGCAACAGTGCCTCTCCACCAGGTACAAGCGAGAGACACAAAATATCGGATTCACTGCAGATGATACAAAGGTTTCATTCTTGGTGCAGGTGACCGAATGGCGTTTAAAGAAAATAATCCAGCGCTGATATCTGATAACACTAAAAGGGAACGCCCAGCAATTCCAGCTAAAACAGGTGAGCAAAATCTAACAAAAAAATTACGATGTCCTCGAATCACCCTGAACTCCAACGGTAGAACGGTTGTTTCAAAAATTACTTTTGGAGCGCTTTAGGTTATTTTTGCAAAGGGTCTTTGTAACCCTATCCCCGGCTGAACTGTTGCGCCGCGGTGTCACACGTGTCCGATCACTGAATGCAGCCCGGAGAGGCGAGAGGCTATTGTGACTCTGAATGTGATCATGTGGCCCCTTAATCCCTGGAGCAGAAGGGATGAAAAGGCGCAGTGAAAGACGTAAAGACGTAGAAGAATAGCAGTGAGCTACAATTTGCGTAATGAGAGTTTTCTTGAATGTATACGTTTTAAAAAAGTTTTTTTTTTTACTCTAAAGGCTGTTCCCTTTTATTTGCAAATGTCTTCAAAGCGAAAAGCTGCTGAAACTTTCATTTTAATGGTTTAAATATATTTTTAAAAGATCAATATTCAAATCTTATCCCGCACAGCTGACAGTTAAAATAACAACACTTTGAAAAGTTCAGAATGCAGCAAGCCACCACACGTACTGTCAATCCATATCCTGACTGAATATTTTAGTAAGGCTGGTGATTTCATGAATTGCGTTCTTATTGTAAATTGTGTCTAGTTGGGTACCAATTAGCAACGCTGTGCGGATCACGCGATTCACTCTTCATCAACTTTGAGTTAAAGAATGAACAAACATGAATTACAGGCACCTATTCATACTAGCGATTAAGGCCCCAGATAGAACGAGGACCAGTAAACGCAATGGTAGCAGGACCGAGAACCAATATTCTAGAGAGACCCCTGACATGAATATTTTGTCCTTTTCTCCCGGGCACGGTAATGTTGCGCTGTACATCAAGAGCGGCGCCCACACTAGCGAAAGTGCCCTGCAGGTTGTTCCCATGGCAACCGCTAACCGGCGTCCACATTGTCAACAGCATCGGAGCTGCGCGGACTGGGGTCAAGAGCTGAGAAGGAACATCAACAAACCTACTGGTTTGTTTGTTGTTCTGCGCGCTGTTCAGACTGCTTTTCTCTGGAAAGTTTCAGAAACCTTATCTTACCGATGGCAACTTCAGGTAATGCAAACTCTTTAATAACCCAATCTGATTCACTCTCGCTTTCTCTTAGCACCGAGACGAGACAAATGGTTTAATACCGATGTGGTTTTAAACTCTTAATAACAGATTTAAATTCTCAAGCTCGGGGTGTAAGCAGCCATACATATATTCACCGGGCACAAATGGCATATGCTTCCTCCATTCAAACTAGTGGTTTTATTTTCTTGAAAATGTCAAGAACAGCTGTTATTCTTGAATAATGTTAGGACTGCGTGTAACGACGAGGCAAGTTGCTGACACATGTGAATTTAGTCTGTTATAATTACGTACAATTAAAATGTACAACTTTAATTATTGATACAACTGTTGAGTTTGAGTTTTATTGTAAAAGTAGGATGATTTGTAATAGTTTTTGAACACTTCTAGTGTTTGCCTGTCTTCTTATCTGTCTTTTATTTTTGTTTTTGTTGAGGTATTTTCTCAACCTTTAATATAATCTAGAAGCTGGTCACACTTGAACCGAGTCCTCTCAAAGTATTCTCTTTTTATTCTTGAACAAAAAAAAACCTGAGAGGACCTGATTCAAGCATTAACAATTCTCAAAAGCATTGACAAAATCAACCCAAAGGACTTCTTCAGAGTGAAACATAAATCCGATGAGACAAGTGAGAGTGAATTTAAAACTAAGAACAGGAGGCATCTCTTTACACAAAGGGCTGTAGAGGTTTGGAACAAGTTACCAGTCATATTGCCAAAGCCAATACCTTTGCTTCTTTAAAGAAATACTTGGATGAAATCTCTCGATCAATTATCTTATAGCAAAATGAACTGGTTGGGCTGAATGGCTTTTAATTGTTTCTAATGTTTCATTTGTTCTTGTACAAATTATCCAACTATAATCAAACTTCCTTTTTCATATACGGACATATAGAGCCATTTTGTTGTCTACCTGACTGATTGTATGATTAGTGGCATTTTTTCTATGGTAAATTGCTAGAAAATGACTACTTAAACAAAAAGCTAGTTGAACAAAAAAGACAACTTTTTACATAGATGAATGTTTGCTGAATGGAAACCTGCCATTTACTGCAAATCATCACATTACATGAAAAGGGTTTTTTACAAAATGGCTATTTTGCATAAACAGTACCTAGCTGAAAAATATGTACCTTTACTGTATTGCAATTGCCTTCTACAAATGATTTTAATAGGAATTATTTCCTGAGGCATCTTTGGATGCTAACGTTTGCCAAATTATTATTTCTTTCATGCTTCAAAAGATGTGGGGAACTGATGGTTAATGTAACTAGGTCATTTTGTTTGCTATGTGGGAGTGAAGAAGCTAAGCAAATTTCTGTTTGACAGCTTCCTATCTATATGGTACTAAAAAAAAATTCAAATTAAACTGTAGTTTTCCAGTGAAATAATGTATCAATTTATTGCTCCATAATAGTACAACTACTGGTTTTGCTATAATAATACATTTTGTTTTAGATAGCAGAATATTATTTAGTCTTTGTACAGTATATACTGTATACTCCAAAAAAAGTAAATGTAAGGCACTTGACTTTTTTTCCTCCTTCATTTGTTTGCATCCATTTTCTACTCTGCCTTTAGTTACCTTGTTTAGACCACAAGAATAAAGAAAATTACTAGAAAGAAAAATGTAAAACATTTTATAAACTATGAATAAGTGCTTTCACGCTCAAGAGACCCATAAATTACTTGAAAAAAAAACCAACAAAAACAGCACAGCGTATTCTCAGAAATATTTTTCTTTGAGGTAGGAGAAGTTTCCCAAGTGAGTGGTTTATATTAATTTGCATTTACTAATGCTTTTCTTTTAATTTCCCGACTATCCTAACGTTGAATAATATTTATGTTTTACTGACCTCTTGTGGTAGCCAGCCAGAGTAATAACAGCATAAACAAGTTCTAATAGACTTTCTCAGTTTCTGATGATACACATTTTACAGTTTCTCACCAAATTGAATTGAATTAACCTTTATTGCCCCTAAGGGAATTTGTATTTAACATAAAGAGCTCATAAACACGTAACAATAATACATATTACAACAGTACTATACCGTATTAGAAAACAATTTAACAGCATTACTCAATCAAAACCCTTCCAGTACCATATAATTAAAAAAAACAACAAACAATTAGTTTGTAAAGTCTAAAAACACCCAGAATAATAAGAATCCTACCTGCAAACAATTTTTTTGATTGTTCAACAATTGAATGATTTTAGGTATAAAGGAAGTAAATACTCTCTTAGTCTTTATACACCGGATCTGGTGCTTCCTCCAAGAGAGTACGAGAGTGTATTTTACAAAGAGTGGATAAAAGGGGTTATTTTAGATTTTATGTGCATGATTAATAATATTTTGCTCTTTTAGACATGTTATTGAGTCCCGATCACTTTGTTAAAAAAATAGTATGGTTAATTAATAAATTTAATAGTATGGTTTAAAATAGTATGGTTAATTAATACATTTAATAGTATGGTTAAAAATAGTATGGTTAATTAATAAATTTAATATTTATTCATTAACCATACTGTTTTTAACCGTACTATTTTTGCACTGTTCCAAGAATTACCTTGCACTGTTTTTGTCCTGTTATATTTTCTCTGTTTGCCGAATTTTGCACAGTTTTGATTACTTGATTACATGTTATTTATGTTATGTTATTACATGTTGCTGTTATTGCTATTGTGTTACTGTCTATTGTCTTATCTTCTAATGGAACCAATACTGCTACCTTGGTTTGTAGACAAAACTTAAATATTTTTTAAAGGCTTTCAAAGACTTTCCAAGCTGGACCCTCCTGTCATCGGTAAAGTGAATCATCACAGCATTGAACTGTACTGGGATGAGGCAGGAAAAGAGCCGAAAACTGGCCCTCCTGAGCAGTGGCTTCGGTTCTCCCTGGAGGAAGAGGATCCCAAGACCCACACATACGGCAACATTTACATGTGAGTATTTGTCCCACACTCACATATACTGTATCCAATATTTAAATGAAACAGTCTTCTTTGAAGACTTTAAAGGTTTATTTAATCCATTTCCAAATTATGTCACCATAGTTACAGTGATCCTTTAAATTTTAATGGAAGATTTTGTTACTAATAATAATGGAAAACCATTAATGCAATAAAAAAAATGAAATGTAATGATCAGTTTTTAATCTTTTGAAGCCATCTATCTTGGTCCTGTAGCATATTTCAAGACTTTAATCAATTCGTATTGAATACACATTAATAAGAAAGCAATACAAAGTAATATGTATCATATACTGTACAAAAATAATTTGTTCTTGTTGATAGCCTGCAGGTGTAATCAGTGGACATTTTCTCAGCCTTTCAAATCCCTTAGACCTGTACAGAAAAAAATGAGTCATTCTTAAATTATGGAAAACAGCACTTTACATGCTTAAATACTTGTTTATAACATCTTCTTTCACAACTAAATATCTTTGATTTGCTTTTGAATGCCTTTGTTTTCAGTGGCTATGGTACAAAGCACACTGTTGAGGGGCTTGAGCCCAGTACTTCTTACAAGTTCAGACTTAAAGTAACCAGTCCAACGGGTGAATACACATACAGTCCAGTGGTGTCTGTTTCAACCACAAGTAAGTACAGCGAACTCATGATAAAGATAATAACCATATTGATATTAAAATTATGACAATAAAAATCTGTTATTAAATAATAAAATAACCGTTATTTCTCCCATTTATTAGAGAAATACCTACATGTTTGGGAACATTTATGTATTTGTTACAACAATGTTTGATTTAGGATACCCAAAGAATTTTACCTTACTTTATTTGTTATTAAAGTTAACTGCAATATCACAAGAAATGAATGTCAAAGACAAAATCTCTGTGATGATACGAGATACGCAATATAATTTAAAAAGCAAAATATTAAGACAGTGGTATGTTTATGGCAAAAGGATGGGAAAATAATTCAGCCAGTGGGTGGCTTCCTCAGAACAAAAGCAATCTGTTTGCAACTGATAGTTTAAGTCAAGCATGTCCAATTAGGTATCCTGTTCAGTGTCTCCCTGGTTTCCAATGCTAAACTAGAATTAATTTCTTACACAATGTCTGCAACAGTAATGGAAAGAAAATGCATTACCAACTAACTGTTCAAAATTACATTCCTAAATTTGGGTCACCAGTAGAAGGCAACCTTACATTCTGGGCCGTAAGTTGTAACTGTTTTGGTTGCTTATTATATGTTGCTCACCTACTGTACCACATCCTCTGGATAACATACAGTACATGTGTGTGGAGAGTAGGTGGTGAGTTGTTTCTCTGTTCTACATTTAGGAGAACCACTGAGTGGTAAGCAATTGCATCATGCAGTGAACATGGATGATGAAGTGGAAGTGACCAAAGTCCTGCAGTCAGGGTGAGGAAAGGCTCTCAAGGCCTTTATCATTTATTTGTGGGTGATTTTCAAAACCTTTATTTTATATCTTGAACAATGTGACTAAAACTGACTTAGTACAGTTAGCTACTAGCAACCAAATGACATAAATGGGCCAAATGGCCTCATCTTGTCAGTAACCATTTTTATTTTCTTATGTTACCTTCATAAGCAGTTATGCTATGACTCCTATTCAGTGTCTTCTTTCAGAGTTTTACCAAGGTCAACAATAGGTGTCCTATTCAAACTGCATGGGGAAAATCAAACAAATTATGCCCAGTCTGTGTTGTCAAACCTGCCACTGGGGTCTGTCAATCTGAGGTTTCTCAGGACCACAAATTACCTTTTTACCCAAACATTTTTTCATAAAAAAACATTTTTTTTCTTGTATAACAAAGCATAGAATATTTTACAGCTGTGTATTTACCCATGCAAATTAGCTTCTAAAAAACTATCATGAGTAAAGCAGATTTCCATTTAAATTCCCATGGAAATATGTCAGTCGAGTAAATCTAGTGCCAATCATTAATACAGTTCTCAATCAACATAAATTCAACATAAATTTGTTAAACAGATTAGTAGAAATTCCTACTGAAACATGCATTACTTTGCAGTAAAAATTCCCTAATGGTTGCTTTATTACAATGTTAATTAGCAGTGGCATTTAAATCCCCTCCTAAGTGCTTTGTGTACTGCATGTGGCTCAAGAGGTTTATGCTTAGTTTTTTTGTAGCACTATTTCCTAAGATTATAACATATCAAAATAATTGTAAATCTTTTGTTGCATAAATAAAAAAAAGTAATAGCTTGAAGGAAAAGTCGGTGATTTGGACAATGAACACTGACAAATTAATTGAATGAGTCTAACCCTGTGATGACTAATGAACTGAAACAATGCTATTGACAATAAAGCATAAAAACTATTTCCCTGGAGGAAATTGATTTTATCCAATAACAAAAGCAACTTTTTATCCTTATAAGCTGCTTGATGTATTATGGTACTTCCTCTACAGGAAGTTTTCATTATACTCCCTTTACATTGGTGGTCTTCGTGTTTTTTTGATTATATGATTTGAAACTGTGCAATTGTTTGTTTGTTTTATTTTTTTAAGAACTGTGATGGTGGATGTTCCTGATAAACTAGGATTTACTCCTCTCATGGTGGCTGCCCAAAAAGGCTTTTTCAGGTGCTATATTTATTGAATTTTGTGTAAATACAGTGTGTAACGATTCATAGTATTGTACACTGCATAAACATTACTGATATTCATAACATATTATACATATTAATAATAATAGCAACATATAACAATAAGTATTATTTTGTTATTAATAAATAATAGTAATACAAACTAATATGTAATGGTAGCAATTTGTGTTAAAATAAGTTTGGGATTATTTTATTCTTGATGATACCTAGGCAAATTAGGTATTTAGCAGTGTCAAGCAGCTTTGTAGTTTGTGCTGCTGCCTCACATGTCTGACCAGGTTAGATTCAATTTTGCAGTTTATCTGTATTTCTCCCACTTGGTTTAATCCAGGTTCTCCAGCTTCCTCCAAAACACATGCTGGCTAGGTCAATCTCTTGGGCTGTCTCTTAACTGTCTCAGTGTGTATGTGCACTCCAAAGGATCTGGTATCCTGTCCAAGGTGTAATCCTGTGCTTCTAGGATAGGCTTTGGGTTGCTGACAGCCATAGCAGGAATAAGCTTATATGGCTTCTAATAACTTGCCAAGGTTTAGTAGTTCTGTTTAGGAGGATAATATAATACTATCAGTAGGGGGAGCTGAAAGACCAAGCTTCTAGTGGTACAAGACTATTTTGTTGAGTGCTTTTGCTCGATTTTCTTTATTTTGGTTACTCTAGATCTCATATAGATATATTCTATTAATTATTTTTTTTTAATTTTATTACTATTCAAAATCATGATAGCTTGCATCTTCTGACAGAAAACTATATACAGTTGTTTTCATGAAACTGTATGTGCCAACTGCAGTAATTGATGATTGATTGATGTTTTGATGTTAAAACCATTCTTTATCTAAAGCTACAAAAGTCATCATTGAGAATGTGATGATTTGTGTTGTAATTACAATATTATTTTATTACTTTTCAAAATTATAACCTTTAATTTTTAATTAATTAAGAGACTGGTGATTTTTATATTTACTTTAAACAATATAATTAATCTTTAATACACAAATCACAAGATCTGATATGAGTGCTTTGAAATTTTTATATTTAACTAGAATTGTATGTCTTTTAAGTGTGATCTAAATTTAGAAAGTGCAGCTTCAGCTTGTGATAGATTCCTTTTTTTCTCTTTTAAGGCTAGTTCAGATTTTGGTGGAACATGGAGCAGATGTCAACTTGCAGAATGCAAGTGGAAAGAACAGGTTATTACATCAAGTATAATTTTTCAATAGCTCAGAATCTAATCCCTTCATCATTATCCTATCAATTAATTTCAAAGGGAGTTTGTTACAAATCTTGTGAATGTTTGCTGGCACAATGCAAATACTGAACCAGCATTTTATTATGCTAAAATGTATGCTACATTGCTTTATTACAAATGGAACACAATAATAAATGCAGCCTTGAAGCACGTGTAAAATTTACAGAAGGAAAATGGTCCCCTCCTGAGTCAATGTTTCTGTGCTCTGTTGGGTATTACAGTCTGATGCTGGCTTGTTTTGCTGGACACCTGGATGTTATTAAGTATCTAAGAAAATGCGGAGCTACTTGGGAAACCCATGACTTAGGGGGATGTACAGCAATGCACTGGGCTGCCGATGGAGGCCAGATGCCAGTTATCAGTTACATGATAAATGATGGCTGTAAGGTATGGAATTCATTAGTCAAACACTTATATCTTCCAGGAACCCAGACCTAGTGAAGTCTTGCCTGTGTAATTCATATGAATAGTATTAAATTTTCACAAGGAGGCAGGCAAAAACAGGTATCTTCTAATTATAATTTTCTGATGAAAAATTGTTTTTCGACATTTCTTGCAATATGCACTGGAAAAGTGTTATACAACAAGATTTGCAAAAATATGGCAAACTATGGAGAAATAATCAGTTTTTGCTGAAATAACATAGTAGTTTGGGAGGTAAGAATACCCCAATAAAGTGAATAAGCTGTGGGTATTGGCCATGCTCACTTTTTATAGCAACAGTAAATTGTTTACATTTAAAATATTATGATATCAAATATTATGATATCAAAACGGCAAAAACACATACTGTATGTTAATATGTATGAAAGACAAATACATCAAACAATATTTATTTTTCTTATGAAAAATATTAAAAGCATTTAATTAGAAGTGTCAAATACATGCACAGACAAATACATGCACAGACAAGTCATTTGACCTTTGAATACACTTCTAATTGTTTCTTTTGAAATGACTTCAGTTGTTAATAATCACTTTCTCCCGTTGATTGTGACCTTAATCGATGTGTCTTGACATTGATCTCTGTTGATCTTCACCTTATGTTTGCCCTAGGTTGATGTTAAAGACAGTGGTTCTCTGTGGACACCACTGATGAGGGTCTCAGCAGTCACAGGGGATGCAGACGTTGCTTCTCTTTTAATTAGCGCTGGAGCTGATGTTAATGTGAAGGATAAGGATGGGAAGACTCCGTTAATGGTATAAATACCATTATAAACCTTTTCTGCATCATTGTTAATCTCAACCATTTATTTTACAACGTGTATGATGAAAAACAGGCCTGTGAGGGAATATGACTGGCTGGATATTTGTCTGATTCTGATAAAATTAAAATACAATTTCTTTTTGAAAGCTATAGGCTGTTTAATTAAGCTAAACATGTTAATTATAGTTTATATATATATACACACTTGTGGTGGACCCCCTCTCAGTTACGCACAAATTAATTTTAATTTTAAATAGAATTCATTTTAATTCTTTGACAAACATTTTACCTTTTGTAAAAAAAAAAGACATTTTACAGACTTGTTCATATTAAATCAATGTTCGATTAAAGATACTGTAAGTAATCTTGTAAGCATTCAATTCTAGAAGCCTGAAACTTCCAGATATAACGTGCTGAGTAATCTCTTGAATTGTAATTCAAAATTCAACATAAAGTTTCTACCAATCTAAAATCTATTGAGAGAATGAGTTACCTGCCCACCTACAGACTTACAAACCACTGATCTGCCAATTGAATGACCGATAGACTGACCTATATACCAGCTAACCCAGGATCCCACCTGATAAGCAACTTTCTGATTTTCAACCTACTGTATGTACCCCTGTTTCAACATACTGTACTGACTGACCTTTGGAGATACCTATTGTTCACACTACAAACCTGACTAGCAAACTGATTGACCAGCATTCCGTTTGATTTACAGATATGTATCAAACTACCATCACTTGACTTATTGGCTGGAAAGAAGGCCAAAAGTGAAAGGAAGGTAGGTGTGTTGGATTTGTGTAAGTAACAATAAATTTAAATGTCTTACTTTCCAGGTTGCTGCCTTAAACAACCACGAGGATCTTGTCCAGTTACTGCTAGAGAAAGGAGCAGATTGCCAAATTAAGAATGAGGTAACAGTTGATCTGTTCTTTGTAGCTCATAATCTAGTCCACAGTGCAGTGAAACCAAAGTGTCCTTGGGATAAATGAGCAGTAAACTGTTCTACAAAATACCTTTGTATAGTCATCTAACTCTATCGTTTTATCGCATCTTAAGATACATTTATGTCTTGGTCTTGCTCTGTTGTTTTGAAATTAGTGAGGACCGAGAGAGATTTAAGACTATCTAAAAACTTTTACAGTTTACCACTTTTGTAAAACTATGCATTTTTTTTAGGATAATATATATACACATACTGTACGACAGAGTATTTATGCAAGATAAGCTTATTCTTTTTTGTGTAGATGTCTTTTCTGTTAATGGGAAGATTTGTATATTAAAGCAGTTTTTACATTTTTTTTTTAGTTTGGAGCAGGTGTGATAGAAATGGCAAAAGCTTTTGGAAGACAGGTACATATTCTTATTTTTTTCAACAAATATAAAGCTAGTAATAAAAATATTATTCAGTAATGCTGGACTTTGTATTTCTTTTTCTTTTCTATTTGTAGAACATTGTGAACTTGTTAGAAGGAAAGAAGATCCATTAGAAGAAGGCAAAATGTATTGTTAAAGACTGGCAAATTCTTTGTATGAGGATATTTACTGAGATTTGTCTCTACTCAAATGAACTTACTATAGCTGCAGTTAAAAATGTGAAATTGATGTCATTTTATTAAATTTTACTAAAATACATTCTTCTTTAACTTCTATTACACTACCCCCAGATAGACTTTCTTTAATGAAAGACTTAAATGTGAATCTGCTGTGAATTCAGAATCTAGGGAAAGGGTTAAAGATGAGGTGTAAAAGCAATTTCTTGAACTTCTAGTTTTCCAAATGTATTTTGCTACCTTACTACTACGGTTACTGCTTTTATTCATTTTGATTGTCAGAGGGTGGGAGAAAGGGAGTGTTACACTTTAATGTATTTTAACTGTGGTTGTCATTTTATTTAATCTTTGTATACAAAAACACAGTCCTATGTATATCAATCCTAACTGTGTCAGTTTTCATGTTGTCAGATGAGTGAAAACTATATTGCAGTTTTCATACTAATGTGGTAGACATTTGGTCCCTGGGGATTTTTAGCCTTTTGTGCTGTTTCCTTTTTTATTTGTACACTAAATGTACTGTTTATCTGGTGAAACCATTTCATATTCCTCAGATCTATATCAGTGTAAACAAAACAATAAAATGATAAATACTACAGTAGCATTGTAATTTCACTCCCCTGCTCCACAATACAGCTATCTGAGAACTACAGTCTACAGAGTGCATAACATTCACACCAAGATCAGTCTCCCTTAAATCTACTGATTTTACATGTGCTGATTGTGAAAAGAATGCACCAGCTCTAGTGTTTTTGATTAAAAGGAAATAATAAAGGATGTGGCAGTAAATCAGATATTGAAAGGAAACACTACACTATTTTTAAAATGAAACACTACAATGGCAATACATTTCTTAGGGTTAAAATGAATACTAACATTGTTAAGACTTTTTCCAACTGTCAGTGCTTGAAATGTATACAATAACTCAAAACATCATATTACTTTTCTTACATATTTATTGAATACATATTATACAAAGATTTTTTGTTTTAAATTGGTCAAAAAGATGTTCACCAGTAACACCTGTAAATAGCAAAAAGTACAGTTCAGAATAATGCTGATCATATTTACAAAAAGCAGTAATATGGCTTCATAAATGGCAAAGTACACAAAATAGCAATTATGTAATTTTTTTTCAAGAAGGTATTGCAGAAAAAAAGATGTAGTGGTTAAACTTTTTATCTTATGAGATACATTTTGACTACAACAAAACAAAGAAGAAAAATTGTATTATAACTGACTCAAGCAAGTTTATAGGTAGGTTGGATAGGTTGAGAATAGGTGAACCTTCAGTTCAGCATAGGTTGTAACAGTGAAAACTGCTGTAATGATTACTGAGGACACCAAACAAACATGCACTGGGCTGGGCTTATGTTGTGAAAACAACTTTTCTTCAGATTGAGGCTGAAATTGTGTCTTGCTCTAAATAAGCTTTCATACTGGTGGAACACTTTTAAGGTTTCTTTAAAAGATCATAATACATGCCATATGATGACCCCTACTGTGAAGGTACAATGTACATTGTTAGTAAACCTAACAAAAGCAGGGATCTAGAAGCACATAGACAGTGGTCTTGAGGCTTCTCAAAGCATCTGAGCTGCAACACATTATCAGGTGTGTGCACTCACTCCTCCAGCAGGTCAAGGAAGTCAAGCAGTCCTATGGGCCAAAGTATACATCCGGGACCTAGAGAGACAGTTTCTTCTGGTTTTCATTCTGGCTAAGAACCTGCCTGCACTAATAATTTGCTTAATTCGACTCTACATTTTTATCAGTATGTTTTAGAGAATGAAACTGTAGATTTGTAGAGAAAGCTATTAAAATGTTATTTGAAATTTGCAACTTTTCAGAAATAGAAAACAATGACAGAAGCCAATTATTAATCCCATTAAGAGTTAAATTAATCAACAAAATACCTAGGTAGAACAAAACCCAGAAGACTAAGGGGGCTCAAGTACCAGGAAGATGTGATATGGAGTTCAGGGAGTAAGCAATAGGCATAGTGAAATACTAGACCTCCCTGCAGGACTTTGGTCAAATTGTATTTTTAACTGGTTTTAAGCAACTGATAATTAATTATGTGATATATTTGTATGAATCTAGCTGTAGTGAAGCCCTGCAGATGGGAAGGATTAGAAGGCTTGTTATTTGACTAACCCAGGACTAGACTGTGAAACTCAATCTCTTCAGATACAATATAGCCTTGCAGAAGAGAATAAATGATGAAAGGATCCCTTGAAATGCAAATCCAGCTTACTTAAAGATTCATCCATGTCTCACACCTTTTATTTCATTTATAGTGTGAATTGCCACCCAAATGACACCTTGCTGAAACTGAAGCTGAACAGCCATTGCTTTATTAAGGAAATCTGGCATCAAGTGTCTTCAGCCATAAAGTTATTATGCGCAGAGAGCCTGTTCCCTCAAGCTCTTCTGTTTTCAAGTTTTTAAAGCATTTTCCTAATCACAGTATAACTAGCATTCATTTAGACAGCCTTAATAGTACTTTGCACAGATTTTACAGGCATGGTTGAAGAATGGTCAGGGGCATGTTTGTCAGGACTTAAATGTTGTTAAAGAGATAACTTGCTTTCAATGATAAAGTTTGGCTCATACCATTCTTGGTAGATTCAAGGGTACAGTCTGTTTTATATTGAGAGTAAAATCAAACATTTTGATGTCTTCCGGACATTTTGTAAGAAACTGATTTACTTAAAGCACACAGTTGTAACAAGTAGACAAGAGGGTCCTCACTAGTCTAATGTCTCCACCCTTTCTTGAAGACTTCCTGGAGGAGCTGTGCAGTCTTGCAATTCCAGGAAAAACAGGAAAAAGATAATTCATCATATCCTTGCTGTAGTGCTCTTCATTCTTAGGCAAAACAAGATAAGATAAAAATCGTTTCATGACCCGTTGTTTTGTTTTACTTTGAGCAGCTCCCAAAGGAGCATATATCTATTGTTTTATTATGTATTAAATGCAAGACCTACTGGTGTTTTAAAACAACGTTATTGTAGAGATTGATTTTATTCTCACATCATTGGCTTTGTGTTTTGGTTGTTTTCTTTGGATCCATTTACAGCTGCTTGATAAATGCTGAAAGGCAATGCTTCCACTGCTGTTGCTTGCATTCTAATGGTATTTTACTATCAGCCAAAATCCTGGTTTATTTTCTTTATCACAATGGTTTGTGGGAAGAACAGGTGACTGAGAAGAGTGGTTATAAGGTACGTTTACTCTTAAATAAATGTCTTTAATTGAAGTGATTAATACAAGCATCTGTCTTGAATAGAGAATAGTACGAACAGTCTAGCCAATTGCATTTTATTGTGTGTATGTGTACTGTGCCACTGATTTCACAAACACCTGGTGAGAAAAACACTTACAGGAGAGAGCCCATTTCTCAGGTCATTTTTAGTAGCTTTACAAATCTGACTTTGACAGCAAAATCCTTAGCTTGCCCTGTACCACTTACACCATCGTAAATAATAGATTCACTTAACTATATATTAATTTATACAAAGGAGTTGCTGGACTCAGATCATCAAGAACTCTTGCCTATGTTTATTCCTTAGGGTGTTGCATATTGCAATATAGGAGAAGGATAATTTAGGACGTTTGCACAGATCAAGACAGCTTTACAGCAGATATACAACAGGCCAACAAGAGCACAGTTCTGAAAATCCCTGGATTTTGTTTTCCTTTCCTAGCCCTAATGTAAAAGATGCTGTTATTCCTGGAAAAGCTAAGTGTTCTTTCTGGGAAGACAGCTAGCAGACAATAAAATCTAAATCCTGAGGAGCATTGACTGAGGGTTGCTCCAGCAGGGGTGCCAGATAAGCATGCCCATACCTTGTTAACGCAGTGATGAAGAATATAATTAATCTGTCAGCTCAACCAAATTTCAGACAAATCCTATTGCTGCAAGGCCATACGATCTATGTCTTAAATGCACAAAAAGATGGGTTATGTGTCTGCAGTCAAGGCTGTACAGCTGTATCTGTCAAGCTGATGCAATAAGAAGCCAGCAGTCCTGTATTCTGCTCCACCAGTAACATGTTCACTGAGCGCAGGCTGAGGCTGTGACGGGGCTTCCTCGAGTCGTGGCGCACAACTTGCCGAGCGCTGCCAGAGGTAGGACGGGATTAGTCGACTACGGTTGACTGTCAGTGACACAGCGAACCCTGCTGCCTCCTGGGCGCTTGCTGCCTTGCGATGCTGTTGGTGAAGGATGCACCACTCCTCCTCTTGGCCCTGAACCTCCGGTACGGGGCTGTGATGCGTGTGATGTGTTAGAAAATGAGCAGCTCGAATGTGGGTTTGAGTAGTTTACCTGAACTCCCTCATTTGGAGTGGTCTACCTACACTCCCTCATTCTCCCCTGTGTGCAGTTGCAGGGTTTGTAGCCATGAGTTAAGAAGTGAAAAACACACAACTGGTAATTCCTAATCGGGTGGAGGTAACAACACAGAGTAGTTCAGTATGTCCGCATTTATAATTGAGGGAAAGCAGATATGACGACAGCTTTGGTTGAACATGCTGACCGTTGTTTTCATCTTAATACTTGATTGTGTTTCTGTACCTTTTTGCTTTTCATTTAAAGATCTGAATTCCTATTTCATCAATCCCACCAAAACAGTTTGATAAGCATACTTCATACTTAAATCTCTCTCTAGAGGTTGCTGAATAAGTCAAGAACAGTTCAAGTGGTATATTAGGCCCTGTATGCTGTGATGTGCTTTTTGAGCCATAGTTGTACCCAGTTTTTTATTACCTTAAATACTGTCCGACAAAATTAAAACAGCAAAGATAAGAGTTATTTTTCATCAAGTAAGAAGCTCAAATTTTTCCCTTTAATACTCCTACAGACGTCCATGTCTGTAAAATGAGAGTCCAGTTCTGTCCACAGCATTGCTTCACTTAATCACGCTCTTGTTTTATTGTAAAATGCTAGACATCTTTTTTTCTTTTTGCTCTCTACACTCATTATAAAACCACTAAGGAAAGTAAAATACTCCCTCAGCTGTGGTGCAAAACAACAGAATTTGCTTTAAAAATAATCACAAATGTAGCTGTCAAAAGTGTCTACCACAGTGCACCGCGTTGTAATAAATACAGATCAAATAATTTACAAGTACCTGAGCAAGGACTCATAGCACCTATCTGAGGCAGAGCGCCAAGGGGTCAGCTCAGTCCCTTTCAGTCAAACACAGAGACACCCACCGTGTTTAAAGTTTCTATAAAAACCCAAGAGGATCAACTTGTGTTTAGTGCAAATTTGTGTCTTCATCTGTAGATGGGTTTCATGGCTGTTTCCCTTCTACTTCACATGTGGGACATTGACGGGCTTGGGCAGTTTTGGAGGCTTGGGAGCAGGTCTGAAAGTAGAAAATAACAAAAGAATCTAGTTTAATATGAATACTGGTAACCACGGTGACTCACGTTCTCATGGATTGAAATAGTCTGTCAAAAGAACAAAAGCACAGCTTAAAGTTTCTTTTTCAAGTGTGTGTATATACCAGACATTTATAAAATACTGATTTCTTTTGATTTCTAAAGGTGAACCGCAAAGGTGCTGGTAGACAGAAACATTGTTTTGAATCCCTAAAGCCTTTTCAAGTTGAATTTGTATCGTAGTAGATACTGAATTGTCAGTGATTTAAAAACAAATTGATTTCCGGGATCACACTTCCTATTGCGAGTCATTCTGTAGAGGGTGGGGGCCCTTGATTTAACCCCCGTGTATTTGTTTTCACAGTGCGCGACTGAGCCTCCGACAGGAAGCGGGTCAGGTTTTCGGCTGGCCCGTTGTAATTCGAGTGCGTGCCCAAGAGAAAGCCCCCTGGGGCTGCACTGACCGCGCGTGTGGCAGAGGGCCCGGGGCTCCAGACATGGCGGATGGGCTGCGGTTCAGCCGCGGGGCTCTGCCCAGGGGGTCTGCTGGCAGTGGTTTCCTGGGAGGGCTGGGTTTCTCCTGTTCCTGTGACAATGGAGAATAGGGTATGAAACACTTTGAGGGTTGCAGTGACTTACAACTTCTGTTCCAGACAAAGTCTCCACTTAACCAAACAACCAGTAGATCAATTTGTTATTAAACTCCATATACTGTACTTAAGAATTTTTCAGGATATCAATTTAAAAACATGTACTTCAGTGTACACTATAAACATTACTTCATGTCTGGATGGTGAATGCTACAACTGTCTGGGTCATAAAATAGACCATTAAAATAGCTTAGCACAATGATTGGTTTTTCATTGTGGTCTGCTTTTGAAGTGGTCTAATTATTTCAATACACTGTAAATAGAAATTACTATCACTAAACTACTGTACTACATTTTTTTAAACAGGTCACCCAAAGCACTTGAAACAACACGCAGCTGTCATAGTTGTGAACTGAACGGACATTACCCTGGGATGACACCAGGGGGCGCTCCAAGCCACGCAGACAAAAGGATGACCTAAAATCTACTCTAGCACAGTTTAACGATTTGTATAGACTTGCTATCACCTTCATGGCAGCTCTTTCCAGAAGGCATCTGATGAAGAGCTATCATGTGTTACTAATCTACACAGGGAGGATGAGTTAATGGCAAACGTCTGCTACCTACATCCCAGCTGTTCTGCATTGTGTTTCTCAGACAGGAAAAGATCATCTTCAATATTAACTGCTGGAAAACACTTCAGTAATCCCCAAAAGAGCATGGTACTTAAGAAGAAGCTTTTTATAAAGTACTGCTTATGTCTTTTTTCCACCATATCATTAAGAAGACAGAATGAGCATCCAACATGAACGTAAGGATTCCATTATGATTCAACTTATCTGCAGGACTGAAAACTCATTAGCATTTGCAGTTTCTCTGTTTGCATCACCTCAGCCCATGTCACTTAAGTGAAATATTATTTTCTCTTGTGTTTCCGTGATCATTACTCCATTATCAAGGCATGGTTATTTTTTCTCTGTAAGGTTACAGTGCATTAGGCCTGAAGCCATGGACCAGTTCCAAGGTGGCCTGATTAGAACATAAACATACTGTATACTGTATCCCACATGCCTGCCTTTGTGTCGGATGGCACAGGCATCAAAGCTAAACACGTGTAGAATTTTCAGGCTTAATTGACATTGCCCTGGCTTTCTCACCAGCGCTTCAATTAGAAATCATCTATAAGTGTCTGCAGATCTGGCTAGTTGGTCTGCAAAGTACAGCCAAGCAGCAGCTCTTGGACAAGAAGCTGCAACCTGGTAACAGCAATCTTTTTATAACATACTGTATAACACAAAGACAATTTACAGGTACTGTATGACAAAGGATCTGAAAGCTATCAAATACCAATTGTAGTATTCACAGAAGTTCTTGTTTCAGTCTATTAATAAAGTACAAATGTCTGACAAATGTCTTGCTTGTGCACAAAATACAGTTTTAGTTGTTGCCTTTCCATATAGCATTAAACAGATGCAAACAGATGTAAAAGTTTACATAGAACGTAAAAAAACACCATGGCTATTCAGTTACAAAATTCCAGCTCTGACATCTTGTCCTGAGTCCGGCATAACCAAAAAGTTAAGTTTGATACCCTTGAAACGAAGTCATAATTCGTCACGGTGTGGTGTTAAGTTTTTCGAACACATGCTCCAGCCCTGTTTCAGTTACCTGTCACTTGTGAAACCATCAGGGGAAACAAGGAGTCCCCCAGAGCTGGCCCTGCAGCTCTAGCTAAATGACTTGAACAGATGTCGGCAGCAATAGTTTGTTCCAACAGGGCCTGAAGCTATCCTTGTGTCCACCTGCTGTGTCTTTAACTGGGCCTATTTATACATTCTGTACCTTTTATTCTATTAACTCCAAACCTGATTAAAGCCTAATCAAAAACATGCACAGAGAAACACAGTCTAGCCTAAGAGGAGAGGAAACTGTGTGAGCTGACCTCAGTGTTTTGAGGCATGGTCATTTAAAAGAAGTGATTGTTTATGACTGCACAGGGGAGCTGAGCTCCACAATTAGAGGTGATCATAATGACCCCAGAAGGGGATTCTGTTACCCCCACTGTGCTATAAGCTTACCGCAGTGCATCTACAGACATTCGAAATGAGGATATTAGCACATTGGTGTTCCAGTGAGTTGACATGTGCATACCTGACCGTGTCTAAAGGATGGTTGGGCCTGCCACTTCCGGAGTGCTGCACCCTGCTGGGGCGAGGGAGGCGGGTGTGGCGGCAGGACCCTCTGAGGTGGCAGGACAGGGGGCTGTGATTGATTCGCGCCCAGCGGCAGTGGGATCGGGTGGCTGATGTGCACGGGCTGGAACTGAGGCAGCTTCCTCAGGGTGTGGGGGTGGATGGTGTGAGGAGGCAGCAGGCAGTCAGAGGGGAGGTGAGAAGGCTGCAGGAGGACAAAGTGAAGCATTGCAGGCAAGAACGTTTGCAAATGAGCAACCTTTTCAGCCTATTTCCTTGTCTGGTAGTTTCACTGTCGAGTGAAAGTAAAGGTTTGTCCAGTCATTTGTTACAAGTGCCCAATGTCATCCACTACCTGACTGGGAGATATCCACAACTCTTTGGTGTGGGGGTTTATTCATTTCTCCCACCTAAACTAATTACCCCTTAGTTTCCAATTGTGACCTCTTGTCTTTGTTTCATTACTGAGTGTGGAAATGTCTCCTGTGCAAACTTTAAATATACCCCTTAGGATCTTATTTATTGAATAAAAACTTCTCACAAGCTCCTGTGTTCTAGACTGAAAAGATTTAGATCCCTTAACCCATCTGTAAAGGGCAATTTACATGAGACTAGAAAACATTCTTATTGCTCTTCGCTGGACTGTTTCTAGGGCTATAATATACTTTATGTAGTTTTAGTGACCAAAATGTAGCACAACATTGTAAAGCTTCAGCATAACTTCCCCGGATTTAAATGCTGCACTTTTTGTAATATACCCAAGAATTCTGCTTGCTATTTTATTGCTTCCCCACCTTGTCTTGATGAGGATATCAAAGAAACTACATAAACACCAAGATCCTCTTTGTGTGTCTCTTCCTGCAGTTGAGAATCCCATGTCATTGTGTAGTTTTCATACTACCAGTGTAGATCACTTTGTACTTATTGATTTTAAATTTTATTTGCCATATGTGTGCCAAGTCTCAGTCTTAACTTTGTCTACGTGTCTTTGTACTGCTCTTGTCATTGTTTTTGTTTGTTACTTCCTCTGTTTTAGTTTCATCTGCAAATTTAACTTGTTTTCAGAATCTGAATTGCTGCTATAGATCAGGAAAAGCAATGGACCCAAAATAGTTCCCTGTAGCATACCATTATTATATCTGCCCTAATAAACCTGTTTCACGTTTGATAGCCAGTTCCTGATCCATGTGCATACCGTAATTTTCTTGGAGTCCTAAGGCCTTTAATCTTAGAATCAACCTTTTAGGAGGGACCATATCAAAAGTTTTCTTGACATCTGCATGCATTGTGTTGTATGTACCATATCTAGTCTCCACAACACCCTTACATAGTAATTCTAATAGTTAAAGTGGTGAAAAATAATTCTCATTTGATCTGTCCATGAAAATGTACTTCAACAGACTTTAAGCAGTTCTTTCCTGCACTTCAATTAATTTTTAAACTGATTTTTTATTGTATATAAAACCATTAAGTAAAATGTATAATGATATTCCAGGCTTTAGTTTTTATTTAAAATAAACCTTTCTTCAATAACGTTATAGAAGCTTATACTGAAAATATAACTCCCATTAATACTCCTTATGGAAAGGAGACAGAAATATCTCAATTGCCAAGCTAGCAATCATTTTTGTTTTGACATTAATCCTTAAATAGGTTTGTGAAACCTTTATTTTTATTTTTTTAGCTTTATAATAACAGAGTGTGGATGAATTCAAATTTGGATAAATATAACGAATTATACTTTCAATAGGATTTAAAGAATTTCAAGTGACACCCACACATCTGTAAAGGATCAGCCTGTAATACCTTTTTCATTTTGTTCAGACTGGACAGATATTACACTGCAACAGCCAACTGGCCTCTGCATCTCTTCAAGTTACTGTATGTCAGCCAATACAGTCTGACGAGCTGGATCTCTTGTCCTGATTAAGCAGCACCAGGAGACCCTACCTTGCATATACTGGAGTTCTGTGGCTTGGCTGGGGGCTGTCTGGAAGGGGAGTTCCTATAAGCTGAATGGATTTGGTTTGGGCTGGATTGCCTGCTTGGGCCAACAGACCTGTAATAAAACACGAGACATATTTTTAATGAAACACATTTGGCCAAGTGGTTCCAGCTATGCACTGTATTTCTTGTTACCTTACCAACACATTTTAATTAACACTAAAAGCCTATGACTGACATAAAGACATTTTTGTTTAAGTGCATAACAATAAATGCACATTGACGTAGTATGAATAATTCCCTTGGTCTTCACATATTCTTTTATATCAGCATAATGGCACATGCTTTATCAACGTGCTAAAATCACATTTCAGCATGAATGCAAAACACACTGGGCCAGAGCATTTGTACTGAGGAAATACAAAGACAGGCAACCCCCTGTTCAACGGGAAGAAACACAGGAAAAGATTTCCATAAGGAAATTAAATGAAATTGTGAGGAAGAAGCAAACGGAAACTACCTTAATTTCTCTATTGTTGTCTTCTTATTAGTAAACAGAAGATGAATTAGTGTCTTCTTCTTAAAGCAGATGACCAGTCCAGTAGTGAGGAGGCAGAGCATTGTCACAAGAATTCCAACTGTGAGACTGTTGCTGTCAGCTGACAGAACATAAAGCAGATGCTATGAAAGCAATTGTTCTATTCTAAGAATTGTATTTAGCTGTAAATCTAAGTGGAAAAATGAATCCTTTTTTGCTCAAAAACATATGTCAAGGGAATAAACAAGCAGAAATGCACAATGACTTACAATAACTTAATATAGTTTACAACTAAGGTTATTTATACATTTAATAATCTGGGTTTGTTCCTTACACGCACACCCCAAAACACAAAAACAGCAGATGCAATGCTGTCTGGATGCTTTCCACATATTTATAATATTGTTTAAGCAATGCTGCAATTGTCAAGTCCCGACTCGTCTTTTAAAATTATTTTTCAACAGTCAGCTGAGCGCACTCAAGATTTTTTTTTGGAAAAGCTATAGGCAGCTTTCTATACATACTGTATAGACCAGCACATAAGACCAACACTGTAGGTCTATTAATGATGCCAGCTCTTGCTTTGCTACAACACTATCTGTATGTATATTATGGAGAGAAATCTCTCTTTGCTATATAAAGCCCATATACAGAAGTGTAAATCCTATTGTTTTTAGCAAGTTCAGAAAGGTTCTAACCTAGGTTACGTTGTTACCTTTATTAATGTATGTATATTAAAAGGTTTGTCAGTCTTAGAAACTTCTAAATACTAACATCGGTAATATTTTCAACACCAAAGGTAAGCGTTATAAAGGCTTGTACTATCTTGTACTGCTCACCTGCCAATCTCATAGGCCCGCTGTCCACACTGCCACCGAATCCAGCCTTATCACAGAAAGGCGGGGCCCAGTGCGCTTCACAGTGGCAGTTCTTATTGTTGTTACAGACCTTCCAAGCACAGAAAGCAAATGAGATTTTCAACTGCTGCACACCATCATCAAAAAAACTCAAAGGCCACCCTTTATTCCGACACGGAGCTTGTCTAAAAATATATCTTTGACATACAGAAATAGAAGAGTTTGTTCTCAAGGAATTCCTTCTTGGGTCCAGGTGGAGATTATCCTGGCTGTGAACAAAATAATTGAGCTAGCCTTGGAAATCACCCAAGCCTTCTTGATAAAGCCTTTTTTCTAAAATTGCAAATTTGACAGTATTTGTAAAAGGAAAATAAATGGAGAAGGAATTGTGAAATGCTTAATCAAGAAACTGGATTTTGAAATCTGTAATATTAACCCAGGGATGTTCTTTTAACAAAGAAATAGTAAAAGTTACAGTTTGGGTACAAAATCACATCCAGAATTAATGTGGCATGTAAGGACTTGCCAGGATGTACTGTACCCTGTGCATTTAATTCAAGACATTAACTTGCAGTGATCCTATAAATCAGACTTTTCATTCATTTCTTGGCCAACAGCAAAGCAAATCGATAACATAATAAATCTGTCCTATTGTGTACTTCCAAAACCAGAATGGACAGTGTTGTTTTTGGCAAAATAAGGTTTCTTTTGGAAGTACGTAGAGTGCTAAAACTGTTTGTCTTTACAGGCCAAAAGATAATGGATAGTATTTTAAATGGGGCATAAATGGAGCCATTACATTTGATTTGATTTAACCTTTCTGGAGGAATGAAAATTGATTATGAGGGTCTGTAATTGTTTCCATAATTGAAGTACTGTGTTGTAAATTCAATAGAGCTCATTAAAATGCAAGCCAAAAGCTATGTAGCATATAGCATATGAAGACTGGTGGAACTGTTCAACCATGGCCTACATTGCACAGGCCGGATGTTCCAGTAAATATGGTACAATAAGAAAGCTGGCTGCGAAGTGTGATTTTATAAATACTTTGAGGTCTTCTGCACCCTGCCAGTTTGAATCCATACTGCCCAGAGTATTGACTGTCATAAGGACTTACCCCATGGCCACTGCATTTTCCAGAGCACTCATGTACCCCAAACACAGTGATATTCTGGCACTGGCGATTTAGGCATAACTAAGATAGAAAAAAAGAATACACAATGAAATGAAACATACTGCTTTGGATAAAAGCTCTCTGCTCACACAAACCTTAACATCCATCCATTTTCTAATTGCTCTATTCAATTCAGGGTTGCAGGGGAGCCGAAGCCTATCCTGGAAAGCAATGAGCACGAGGCAGGATACACCCTGGATGGGATGCCAGTCCATCTCAGGGCACATACAGACACAAACATGCACACATTCACACCGGGGCCAGTTTTCCCAGAAGCCAATTAAAAGACCAGTACATACAAACTGCAGGCAGCTAGAAGTCCACCGATTGAACTCAGGGCCCCAGTGCAGCAAGGCAGCAATGCTAACCACTGCACACCACTGTGCTGCCACATAGACCTTGACAATTTACGTTAAAAATGAATTGTAGAATAGGAATTGGTTTTCCTCATACGGGAGAATGGTATTGTTTGAATATTGGTATTTGATTTTCAGGAGATTCAGACCCATGCAATGTAGAAAACCACATCAGCTCATTCATGCAATGATGTCATTCATCTGCAATTAGTTTTCAGTATGGCTTCAAGATACTGTATGGAAAAAAAAACCCCAAAAGCTGCAAACAGACTCTGTAATAAGGTGTTAGAATTACTTACTCCAGTCAGCATCAATTTGCAGTTGTCACCACTGCTTTATTATTTTAAAGTTATTTATTATTTATTTTATAATTATTTCTATACACAATATAGTATATTTTCAGATACCTTTCCAGAAGTTTCTTGTTCTGCAAAGTGTCTGGAATGTGTTGTGGTCATGCTCTTGTAGCACCATTTGGCAAGAAATTTCTAAATGTTTTGATCTGCTTTTTGCCCAAAAGAACATTAAGACTCCTTTATTCATCAAGACTGAATTATTTTTTGATGACTGTTGACTCTAGATCCTTAACTATTTTTGTGTTGCTAATTTGAGTGCCGCTTTGACTAAGCTGACCACAAAATCTGTCTTAAACAGCTTAAGCATTTGATTGGCATTACAGACATTACCAATTGGTTGGAGTCTCAGTAACAGGACACAGTTAATATGATTTTGTCATTTTACTTTAACCACCACAGTTGTCATTATGGACATGACTCATGGTTCTGTATTTGGCTAATTGTTATTTAATTCTTGTATATGACCTTTTTGAAGGGTTAAATCCTTCAGGAATATGATATTTGTTATAATTGGCTGTATCTGTACTCACAGTGTGCTTTTAAAAATGAAATGATTGGTTTTCTTATCTTATACTGACAAATCAGAAGGGATGTTAGCAGATATGCATGAGATTGCAAAAATGTGCAGCTGATCACAGCCACAATACTGAATTTCCTCTCAGAGCAATTGTCATTCTGTGTGATCTTTTATATCTTGGTTTAACTTTAAAATGTTCTTTATGAAATTCTGTTAAAGTCTTTTTTTATTTGTACAAAATAAATTCAATTATACACTTTCAGTTATATAGTACATCCTAGGTTTCTGTTTGTCATTTTTACTGTTTTTAGAAGATGGAAATAATGTGTCAACATGAATACCTAAATCCTTCTCACAAGTAGGTTTATCAACTGGCATCCCGTACTTTCAATGAGGAATGAGCCAGGGAGCTGTTGCAATCGTGAAGATGAGGTGGAGGGGAGTAGAGACAATGAAACATGTGTTATATTTCTGTGTAAGTAGGTAAAAATGGGCAAGTTAAGAGTCCTCCCAAACTTTTGTTTTAATTTCCTTTAACAGTTTTTGTTTCTTTTACATTATTGGAACACCACAGTCATCTCTGTGAAATGTAAACTTTCAGGTACTTCGCCACTGTTGAATTCTGTCCAAATCCTACAGTGTTTGCTAATTCTTCTGTTTTGATACAATCTGCACATTTGACTAGTTTACTACTTAGACCAGAGTCTAGCCTTTTGATATAAATCAGGAAGAGGAGTGATCCTGGTACAGTTCCTGGTGCTAAGAAACACAAGGATTTTTTCAATATATTCAACAGAGCAGTGGAAAGCCTAGTCACAGTATTTTGTGCTTCTGAGATTATTTTTAAAATAAAGGTAAAACCTTATTGCTACGCATTTACCTTAATTCTATTCAAAATACATTTTCTGTGCTCTATTCTGTTCTCTATTCTGCTATTGTACAGTATATATGTCACTAGGTCATTACTGAAAAACAATGTTCTTGGTCTGGATGCATAGAAAAATTTCACAACCATACAGGTCCTCTGTTGAAAACCAAAAGTGATTCTTTTTACTGGAACCAGATGGTAATCTCCACAAAACCTCTTAAAAAGAGTTTCGGAAAACAGCAGGCACAATAAACTCTGTCCAAACTTACCAATTGTCTGAGTTCCCAGAAAAAAATACATGAAATACATGCTGGAGTAACATACCATTCACCTAAGAGCTCTACAAGAGAACTTCTTAACTGGCGTGGGAGTCTGCCTTTTATTTTAGTAACATCTACCCTCTTCTTACTACCCAGGGGCCTCTTAAAGGCACCCTGCTCCTTTACATACCACCTCCCTCCAAACCACAAGAGGGCACTGTGTCAGCAGGCTGGTGGCTAGGCAGCTATTGATTCCCTGGGTAATGTTTGGCTCAGATCATGAGCGTAGCACTGGTCTACAATTTTGGTGGATGGATGGAGCCTCCGTCATATTGTATTTGGTTTTTAAATATCTTGTAGTTTTAATTGTGCAGTGGTGTGGGATGTGTGTCATGGAAGGCACTTTACAAAATTAAATTATTGATTTATTCCTGTCCAGTAGTCACTAAAAGCTTATTGAATTCACAAACAATCCATAAAAGCCACAAATGAAAACAAATCAAAACGTACAACTGATTGACATATTCTAAATAGGAGTAACTGATGACTTTAGGCTAATGTACAAATGGAAACCAAAGAACCACCATCAGCGTATTCCAGCGCAGCGATCGCTCAGTTGACTGAAGCAATCATCCTGATCATGGTTGCAAATGTCATATGCGAGGTGGATCACAAGTGACAAGCCACTCACCATTCCATCTCCACACTTGGTGCCAGTCAGTACCAGGCCTGGGTCAGGCATGTCGTCTCCAAGATAAACATGGGTTCCCCGGCAGAGAATTCGTCCGCCCTCCTGGAGCGGGATGTTTGTTTCTATGGAAACAGCATTTGTACCAATCACAGGCCGGTTGGCCCCTCCTTGACACTGAATCTTCCCACATTTAGCATCTCTACAAAAAACACAGCAAGACACACTGAAAGATCAGAGTGTTATTCTTCAGTATGAGTGACTTCACTTTAGATTATAAGGGCTTGAAATCTTTTTTTCTTCATAAGCTTAATGCATTGTAAGTGTTTACCTGTATATCTTGTGTGTTCATTGCATTACTCATTTCATCACAGTAAATTTAAAGCTATTTTTATCAAGACCGGGAAATCGTTTATATGCACATTTAAAAAAAAAAAGTATTTCTACCTCAGACATTTTAAAGTAACTTCTGCCTGCATGTCTGGAAAATTCATTTCTCCTGTAAGTGGTAGGGAGATAGCACATGGGAATCTACAGGTTGTTGAATATACTGGCTCTTACCGAATTTCACATTTTGCAAATGAACCCTTTGAGTCCTTTCCACAGTTTCCATAGGGGTCCCCCGCAGAATTGACCCTCTCAAAACAGATCCCTGGTGCTGGCTTGGCTCCTGGAGGGCAGAGTAACTGTGTGACACACAGTCCCTGTCTCTGAGAACTGCTTTCTGACACTGAAAATGAGCCCAGCCTTGCTCTGCCCCTTTCAGCGCCTCTTGTGTTTGTCTGCAAACTCTAAAGTTGATCTAGACATTACCAAAAGACATAAGAATATGGCACTATAACCACTATGATTACTACTGTAGGATATTCTGCACATTTTTGAAACACTTATTCAGTGGATTCAGCCACAAGGTAAGAGCTCCTGAAATCAATCTGGAAACCCGGAGGACGGATACCGTCATTCAGTGAGGGTGGCTCCACTCACCCTGGCCCCAGAGAGTGATGCACTGCTGTTCGTGGGTCTGGCAGATGCCATTGTAGCAGAAGCCGTCCACATTGTGGCAGGCGTGGCCGTCGTGCAGATACACGTTGGCTGGGCAGTGAGGGCTGGCCCCCGTGCAGAACTCGGGCAGATCGCAAGCATTACTAGAATCCCTGCAAGGGGTGCCAGCAGGTTTCAGCTGCACAGACACAGATAAGGATGAGGCTGGGGGAAGCAACAGTGACTTGTACACAGTGCAGACAGTGAGAGGCAGATCAGGTTCAACAGAATTAGATCGCAGCTTTCATGTTGACCTCCAAACTTAAAAAAAATATAGGTGCTGAAAATGTTTATTCAGGTGCAACTGTATCAATTGATCATTTGTCATATTTAGATGTCATTAGAAAGATTATTTCATTAAGAGTATGCAGATCCTGTGAGAATAAACCCAGGATTTACATATTACATACAAGACAATCATGTTGTTCAAACTTATTAGCTGATATGGCCTTTGTTCTTCCATTTTCCAATCACTAACAAAATTCTGTACCTTGCAGTCCTCACAACACTGTCCATGTGCACACACGGCGTCGCCCTTCAGAGTGCAAGTCGTGGCATTACAACAGGGATTCATACATTCCTGCAAAAACAATGCTGAATAAAACAGTCCTGCAGATAACTAACAAAATGCATCAGATTCTATTGGAGGGAACTTACTGCTGTTGCTACTATATTGGTCAAGCTCATAAATGTCAGTGTTTTTACTAGGAAATATCCTGCCAGCCTCTTACTGCACTTTGCACACCTGAACATGTGAGCTGTGAGGCTATAAATTACATCTCTGCTCAACTGACTATAGATTACCGGATTTCAAGATGTAATTTCTCAGCTAATGTGTAGTATTTCTCAGGAACTATGTTCTAAAAGTACACCTGGCACTGGGAGATGGAAAAAGAAAAGGAAAGAGCTGTGAAGTGAACCGTCCAGATAGTAGTTAACATGTTAATAAAGCTCTTAAACCATAAATCCATTTTGAATTTCAAGTCAGGGAAATGACTGGAGTAATAGCTGAAGAGAGGAGCTTGTCAAAACATAGTTCAAGCTGAAAAAGATTAAACATCTTTCCCATGTCACGTGGAATTCTAGAGTCATTGCTAAAGAGAATACTGTAATTAACGAGTGCCTGACAGCAGCTCTCTAGTTCTGGGATGGGATGAGGCAAAGACCAGTCTGAGGCAGAGCTTCTGGTCCCTGTGGTTTTGTGTTTATTGGGTTGGCTCTTATCATCTGGGATGAAGGAGTTGAGTTTTTATCCCACTCAAGCAGAGAGCCTGCTCATTCCCACTGCCATCACCACCGAGATCACTAGGGCTCTTCTGCACCTGCCAGCTGAATATAACTCATTCCAGGCAGACGTGGATATATGGATGCTACCAGTCTGAACAGTGATCTACGGGCACTTCAGGAGCTTTCTGATTGATGATATTGACTCTTTTGAGACAGCATGCTTTCATTAAGGTTTGGCTTCAAGTATCACATGAAGCACAGCACACAATTTCCAACTGCTGTATCCCTGTTTACCAAAACAATCTAGATCTTGGAGGGCATCTTTTTGTGCCATGTGTCATTTTTTTCCAGCTCACAAAAACAAAGAAATCTCAGAAGAATATTTGGCTGTGTTGCATGACACAGATTTGGTTATTTTTTGTTATCATCTATGCGAGTCAAAGTCGAATTTACTTTCATGAGGCCTACAGGTGTACAGTGAATGCTGCGTTGATTGATAAATTTAAATGGATAAAAAGTCCTATTCCAGACTAGTTTGGGATCATTCGTGGATGTCCTTTAAAGTGGTTCTGGGCTCTTAACTGGGTTCCATATAACTAACATTTGCAGTGCACAAGGGAGCACCTCACAGGCAGAAAACATTTTTAAAACAGTTCTGTCTGGGTGAACTGTGCTCTTTAAAATAATACTGTTAATATGCGTATACCACTAGTCATCATCTGCTGCTGTAAATCTATAGATATGAGTTGCAACAGTAATGCCTTAGATCTACTAATAGGAAAAGGATATAGGTGGAGCAGTGGAAAGAGATACAACCAAATTATTTTAAACAGATGTATATACAGCATAAAGGCATTCTTTATATACCACACTTTAAGTTACCAGGAGTATTTTATTTCATTTCCAGTTCTTTTTTGTTTCTATTACAAAGTGCTATGTACACTAAAGCTTTCCTAAAAAATGTAGCCAGATACCAAAATAAGACTGGCAGCCTGAGTATGAAATACTGTCTCGATACCTGTGCCCCAGATGTGGAAGTATTTTTGTTTCTGAAAGTTCTCAGCTGGTTTCTCCTATTTTTTTGTTATTTTATTCCCTATTTTTCTTTCATTTTTGATCCCAAAGAAAAGGCTCTGAAGCATCGAATGTTCATTCTCAGCCTTGCAGGACTGCTCAATGCCACTTACATCCAACTCTCCACAGTCACACTCCTCTCCTTCCTCCACATATCCGTTTCCACACTTCTGTCCTCCATACAGCACTTTTGTCTCGGGCATGTTGAACAGACACATCCCCACTCCCTTCTCCAGGCTGGCCGCAAGGTCCTTCTTACTGCAGCTGCTGAACACTGTAGGGAAAGGGTACCTGCGAAGAGGAACCGACGGGCTCTTGAACTGGGGTAGAGGGTAAGATATCTCTAGTGCTAACACTCTAGGACCCGGTCCTCTGCAACTGAAATCCCTGTCGATAATGTGCTTGCCATATTCCTTCTGGAAAAAAATCATATGCCGGAAAGTCGGTAGAGCTTTATGTAAAACGAAGACAGCCCAGAACTTGTTGAAGTTTAGTTGTGGACTGATACAGTATACAGGACAGTTCAAAGGGCCCAGCCCTCTGGTTTTGGGCAGAAATACATTTCAATACTTTCGTAAAAGTATAATACAATAGTACTTTTATAGGGCTTCTCATGCCAAAGTATCCTAAAGCACATAGTATATACAGTAGGAGAGGACCCACATCATTCACCACTAAAGGGCAGTTCCTACCTAGGTGATGAGTGGGAAGCATTATGTGCCAGTCAGCAGACTCATTACACACATTAAGGCAGAGCAGTGAGAAATTGCTACACTAATTGAACTAAACAAAACCTTTAGATAGGCCAGAATGTGAAGGGCCAAATGGAATTTAGTCAAGGCACTGCAGTTAACACCCTGCTCTTAGTAAAAGTGCCAAAGGATTCTTTAATGACCAAACATTTAGTACCATGCAGTGACCCCAGTCACCACACTGGGGCATTCTTCATTTTTACTATAAACACAGTTTATGCAATAAACTATTGATAGAGACAGAGACTGAGTTCTCTGAGAGTTGAATGATTATTCCTGATAACTGTTTCAAAATGAGAAACAGAGATACTTTAGAGACTCAGTTTGGTTTTGCTGTGTCTGGGAGAGACACAGTCTGAGAAGCTTCTGCCAAGTGTTCATTTTTATGTAGGACTTCTTGTTTCTTGAGGGCAGTCACACATGAGGCAAGCTCCCAGAACTTGCTTCTGCCACATTTGCCTTGAGCCAGAGCACAATGTGCAGAAGAAAAATGATTCCACAGCGCACAGTTGTCTCTGCTGGAAATCTGTTTTTTTGTCCTCATCATTAAAAAGCCCAAGCTGCCATTTTTACACATTGGAGAGAATTCTGTGAAGATTACAAGGCACCATCCAACAGCAGACCATCTGCAGAATGACTTGCAAGGCATAGTGTCAGACCTTTGTCACTTTCTCTTCTCGCTGAGTTTTAGAGATGTTGAAGAAATGTCAAGTGTGTAATGCACCCTGAAAATGTGTGTAATATTCATGGAGGTTTTAGAACACTCCTCCACCCCCTGCAAAAAATAAGAATGTCACCTTCTGCTGCAGAAGGATTTAATCTCCTTATATTTTCTTACAAATAAAAGAGAGCTGGGTGTGAGTGTGTAAGTGAAAATGAAAGGTAATTGTGCATGCTATTTCACTTAACAGCCATTGCTTGTGATTATCTTTGTTGAGGATTGTTTCTAATTAAACAGTCTGTGCAGACTAATGTTGTCTATTCCACATTTGGGTAACTTAACCTCACATTTTTGGAGGAACAAGTACCGATTTCTAAATTTAAGTACTATATTCGTTTTTTTACTATATTCGCACTTTATTAAAAAAATTGGAACAATTGGGGGCAAAAGGAACCTTTTTAAAAAATCCGAAATAAAAAAAATCCAAACAAAACCAATGCCGCAACAACCGCAAACAAATTTTAAAACCAGTCCTACTTGACATTTAGTTTTTCTTTAATATTTTTAAATTTTTTAAATGTGTGCTATGTTTAAGAAAAGCATATTCTGCTAAGCATGTCAGAGAATTAACCATGTACATTGAAACATTAATGGTTTGTGTAACATTGTTGGATTACATTTTTCATGCCACATTTTCAGTACTGCTTTGTAAGACTACATTTTACTTGTCAGAGCACCGTGAGATGTCATGCAATGATAATCTGTTACAGGCTGTTGTTATGGTTTAAGAGAACCATTACTTCATAAGCAACCAGTGTCACCAAATCCCTCGTTCCCTACTGCAGCATGATTTCTTCCCTTATAATATGTGCATTTATGTGCCCGGTGCTATGTTTGCCAGACAAATATGTAATATATTAAAAACACTTGTATACTTTACAATTACATCATACTACATGTACAGCTAACATGAAGCAGGGCAGGCAGAATTTAACATTACAGTGATTTTAGCAGAGAAAGAAAATGTTTTTGATAGAAAAGGAACGATTACCCATGACAGCTGTGTACCCTAGAGGCATTAGCAAGGTTCAATTAATAACCTTGCACAGCAGAGTAGCCTTCCCTTGCCAGCCCTGTGCAAGTCATGAGAGGAACTACACTCAGACAGCTGCTTTTCCTGCAGGAAACGTGGCTGCCAGCTGACAGGGGCATAATCATTTTAAAATTGCCTGACCTGTGGGGATTGGTCTTGTTCAGAATCCCCCTTTTCTGCAGCCATATCGCTACACATTTGCTGTAACACAGGAGCTCAGGATTCCATAACAGGCTGAAACAAACAATGTGCTCCTTCGCACATGCTGGTCCCTGACATCCACTGTCAAACAATAAGGGAACAATGGGAAAGCAGCATGCATACACAGGAGGTTCTGGCCTGTTCATCTTGTGATTTGGCCTCCAGTTATCAGCAAGCTGCAGATAAGGGCATTGGCTCTAATACAATTGTGTATAAAGTTTTATCTGCAAAACACTCCATCCTCCACAGCCGATAGCAGATGAAAATAAAAGAAAAACTAGAGATCCAACTTTCCCCGTCTCACATTAGTAGTATTTTATATGTTTATGTTTATGGCCTCATTTTATATGTTTTATTCTAACATTGTGCAGATTCACCATTTGCCAAAAACAGAAATGGCTCATTAAGGGCCTCCACATTTGGAACCTCACTCTCTTAGTTCATGGAGCTTTCTGTAGATCAGGGATGAGTGACTATATTCTTCAAGAGCTGAGAGTTCTCTGATGTTGATTCCACCTCTGATTATTTAATAATACTAAATTAAGTAAATACTTGAATAAGAGGTCAAATCACGTGTAAAACCTGCACAACTACAGCCCTTAAGGGCTGCCTATTGATGTTACTGTGGGTTTCCCTGTGATGCTACAGTACTTGTCTCTGCTAGCAATGACTGAGCTATTGAATGCTAAAGTGGGGCTAGGCACAATCTTAGAAATATGATTATAGGCCATTAAGGGTTATCTTTCCAAAAATGTAATCTTCCTTTTCACCCATGTCATAAAGGTGATGCAGATTTATATCGTCTTTGAAAATAAACAAGTAAACCACTTCAAAAGTTTAACTTGTACAGTTTAGAACTTCAAAATCCCAGATTAGCACTTAAATTGGCTTTGCCATCATTCATTTTCACTGGCAGGAGATCTGCTTGGAACGTAAATCCCAAGTACAGAGTGACTATTATTGCAGCTGAGTTAAGAGCCTAGAATTAAGTTACAGGAGATGAGATTGATAACTATACTTTTCAAGGGATAATATTGGTTTAAACACGGCCACACTGACTCTGTGCATTCCAGGAACTTTAATTTAATTATGATTGAAAAGTGATGTCGAAAGATTCTTGGAAACAACTAGAACTCCAATGTTTTAAATCATACCTTGGATATGCTGATGTTCGACCTGACTAGTTTATGTCAGCTTTATATCAAACTGACATTGTTGGCTCATTTATGAATATGTTATATACAATTCAAAAGACATAAAAGCTTATACGTTTTAAATAACTCTGGATAAAAGTGTAAACCAAAAATTGTTCATTTTTAATATTACTACAAAGCTTCATCCTGTGAATGGAGACATGTTTGTCTGGGGGTTCCAGTTTTTTTTTTAATACAACCTTTTTGAATAATCATTCTGTAATTGGTTTAGTGTAAATATTTTGTTTTTTAAATCCTTTCCTCTCCTGTTGCCAGTGTTGATATATGGTCTCCAAGAAAGACATCCAAACCTTTATAGCTACTGTACAATTAAAAAAAATCTCTCAAATTCTCTGATTGCTTTGGGTGCTGTACAGAACATGATTTAGAGGTATTTAGTTGCCATGACTCTATCCAATAAAATTAAATGCAGTAGAGATTGTCATAGCAAAGTCACAGGGATCGCCTATTGATTTCCTTGTATTATTACAGATGCAGGAATGATTTTGTACATGTTTAATACTGTGTAATGATAAGACATGGCATAAGAATTTGAAGGATTTTCAATGTTTTATGGCCTCAAGGCTCTTGTGTAACTCTGTACCAATGAGGTAAAAATAAGTACTGTATATTTATTTTAACTCACCATTGTCTGTCTATATACCCTGCCCTATGCCTTTTACTTACCGAGACAGACTCTGGCTCCCTGCAACCCTGAACTGGAAAAGCTGGATGTCTTCCTATATATTTACTAAAAAACAGTCACAAAATAATCTGAACTTGGTAATGACTTCCATGCTAAAGCCTCCAATTTTGAAAATTTCCAAAGAGCTGACACTGCCATGGAATGGGAATCACATTTCCACCCCTGTATCATGTCACAAATAACACCACCAGAAAACCAGCTCTGAAAAGAGAACACGGCACTGACTGAAGCTGGTATATAAAATCATTTTTACATTTGGGCCGATATCGAGGGTGAGATTGTTCCTCACAAAAGGCCTTTACCAGCTTGTTCTCATTTGGTTAAATGCAGACAAACATCTGTAGAGCAATCTTAAAAAGAAACTAAAGCAAGCAAGAAATACTTCTTTTGCAGATGTGTAACTGGCATTTTGGCATATATGCAGTAAACCAGTTTGTCCTCTTTTCTTCTTACTTAATAAAGAAGGAGTGGTTCTCATTAACTGGCCTTTCATCTTGACATCTTGGAATGGCTGCAAAAGCAATTCTTTTCTGTGGTGCTTGCAGAATCAAACACTGCTAATGAACATTTCACATTTATACCAGCTTGTACAGCACGGCTTAAATGATAGTCAATGATCATTTTCAAAACCTGATTTGTAATTGAGATAGTTAAAAAGACATTTTTAATGTGAATTGATCTCCCTAATAGGCTAACAGGATAGTATGGTATTCACATCACATATATAATGTCTTCGCTGATATATATTTACACATTAAATTGTGTAAAAAAGGTATATTCATGGTTTCAGTGGTTCTACATCACTCAGGATGCTCTTGTTGTAACGGATTTCATAGATACAACCCTTTAGCTTTAATGGACCTGGTGCTTGTATAATAACTACGATGCCATACAAATAATGTTATGAGATGCTGTAAAGACCACTGATAGCAGGGCAGTCCTTTCAATGGTGGTCTGGTAGAGACACTAAATTGAGATGGTATTTGGCTATTAGCTTACACTTTTATTCCAAAATGAAATCTTACTAAACTAAGCAAGTATGGATAAAAGCTTCACTCCCAATCTCATTTTGATTACTTTCATATCAGTTTTATTAGTTGTAGTTTTCAAACCACAAATACAGTTTGTTGTTTGCTCTGACTGTCCTTTTGCGGTAAGGAATAAAATGCTTGTAGCTCAACAGGTTCATCACATTGAGGGCGTTCTTAACCCTTTTTTAGCGGATGCTCCATTTTTGGGTGGTTCCTATAAATGTGTCATGTCTGGAATATGAAGATATTGAGAATCTGATTGGCGATAAGATGTGAAAAAAACATTAAACAAATGTTCTCTTCACAATTTTCAAATGCTTACCGAGTCTGCAGCCTCTGAGGGGACAGCGTTAATGTGTTCCACTGAGCTGGTTCTTTGGCCTTTTAAGTGTAATGAACTGCGGAAGTCAAACTGATTCTCAGGGGACCAATAATATGACAGCAAATGCTACATTGTCTCATTCCTGACCTCAAATTAACCCAGCACTGTCCCCTCCTAGGAAACAAAGTGAGTCCTATACTTATATGCTTTCTTACACATACTGTGGGGAATATGAGCCTAATTACATCATGTAAAATTGAGCTTCTTACTTTAAAATATGAAAATATACATATACTGATAATAATTACTTACTGTACCACTGTCTCTCAGTCATTCGGTTTACAAGTAGTAACATTATTACAATCTATATATTGTTATTTCATGTACAAAAAATACATTAAGCCTACATAAGTCAATTTTCCATATTTATCATATTATCATATCATACCCTGTTGTTTTCTAAAATACACTGTTCTAAAGTCATAAACGTTTTTAACTATAATATGGTTTCAAGGATGTTGCTAGCACATCCCAAATAGTGTACTCTATTCTTACACAGAAATTAATTAAAACACCTATGACTGGAACAAGTAATTATTTTAGATAAATGTTTTACAGCTGAAATGACATTTGTTTTTCTGTGTTGTTCTGAATAATAAAACCCACTCTTAAATTAGAAAGGTGTTGAAGAGCAGTCTGTTTTTCACTCCCGCTGTGAAGAGTATTCTCATAATAAATACTGTATGAAAATATCATAATTCCTGTCACAAAGTGTGCATAGCTCAAATCCCTGCTCTGTGTCAGTTCTATTTCTAGTGTGAAGACAGCTTATTTTCTCTCCCTGTTCTTCTCCATAGCTTTATTTTGAACATGTTCTTATTAAGGATGCCCTCAAAGCCTTTTTCAATTTTCTTACAGCTCGTTGCTGTGCTGTTTTATGAGCGCATAATTGAGCATAGTATTACTTTGTTTTTGATGGGTACAGTCCAGTGAAAATACAAAAGGTCCAGTATAAACACAATAGTCTATAGCTTATGAGGCTGTGAATTGGCTTCAGTTAACATCAGACTGGTCTGTGCAAGGCATCCAATTTTCTCCATTGAATTTTAAGCAGGGGGCAGCATTTTCTAACTTAGCAGCCTTGAGAGTAGCATGGTTTCAAGTAAGGAGTCCAATAGCAATGTCTGAATGCTGGGGTATCTATCTAGAGTATATTTTCTTTCTAAAATGGCAGGGGAAACCTGCCAAAAGGATTTCTAATAAGATAATGAAAAGGCTATGGTCAAGAAAAGGCCATCAGTCTTATAATTAGATTACATCACGTGCCAGCAGCCTAAGTTAAAAATCACATTATATTTTGGGCTTGTAAATATTAACTGCTGTGCATTTACTGAATGACATGGTTTCATCTTTCCAAACCTCTGCATGAACCACATTAAAAATCATCTAACGGTGATCACATAGTTTTTATGCATTTCAGAGCTCCCGCAGAGATCTGTGATTAACTAAGCATTTCCCTAAAGCTGTCCTTTTTTTCAACTAAACAGAACGCCGTCATGCATGGATTTCAAAATCTACCCTCTTCTGCACTGCATATAAAACATTCAAGTCTTGCATGTTAAACTAAACAAGGGTGCATGCTGAAACAAAGGTTGAAATAAACAGTGTATTACACACGGAGCAGAGCGAGACAACTGTCATTAGACTCTGCTCGGATCAGCTCTATCCCAGTCTCTATGGACACACTTGTTCCTCCACGGCTCATGCTCTTGGCTGCACTCACCCAGTGGAGGGGGTCATGATGCAGCCCCCCTTGTCCGCTGTGACCCGGCACCCGCAGCCCCTCTCTGGGGTGTCATGATTCATTCCGAAGTTGTGCCCCAGCTCGTGTGCCAAGGTCACTGCTGCGCCCAGGGGGCTGTCTGCATGGTCCTGTGTGGGAAATGCATCATTTTCAGACAACGTGCAAGACTAGTGAGTGTTTCAAAAGCAAAAGGGAAGGTGTCTGCAGCTTAGTGCTTCTGTTCCTTCTCAGTGATGAAACCCACATAGATCTCCTGTGGTAGTAATCTGGACGTCACATTGTTCCTTTAATTTTTACATATTTTTATGACTAGAATACATAGAATTTATGACTATACTCTGATCTTTCTCTATTATTAATACAGGATTTTCATTACAATCTAAAAATTACTCCTTGGTACTCTTTAAAGATTTTTAATTGGGTTTCACACCAATCAGTGGTAGAACCAATCACGTTAAATGCCAAACAAGCAAAGGAATAGTCAATGTAAATAGTTTTATTTTTTAAAATTATTGAAAAAAAACAGAAGTAAATTGTATTGTGTTACTTTTAATGGGGGTATACACTCCCATACATTTTATAAATGATCCTGTTAGATCTTTACTGTGTTGTGGCAGTTCAGTCTGGAAAATCAAGTTGTAAATCTGAATATCAGGAGCAGTCACCCCGACATCAAATAGTTTTATTACTCATTTAGCAAATACAGCCTAGTAATAAACGTAGGTGAATTATGAAGCTTTATGCTTGACTAAGCAGACACATAGTATCTAACCTTCCTATGGAGAGAGTTACATAGCAACTGAGGGGTACACCAGCTGTTTCCTGTAAGATGCGGAGACTGTGCATGAATCCATCATAAATTACTGTATGTAACACCCTTCCAACAGGGCAGGACCTCCTGGTGTTCCAAGAAACACAAAAAGGAGTGTTAATCCATGGATAAAATCTCAGATATAGCACATACATTATTCAGCGTGCTGTCACAGATAGGGTCCAGTTTAGACACAGCTACTTGGAATTGATTGGATTCTTGCTTGATTTAAGAATGCAGGGAGTTCAGATGGAAAGCCTCATGCAGAAAATCAGCATTATGAAAATCAGCAAATTAAATTTGGGCTGTTTCTTAAAGTCATGTCAGTGCTTGACCTCTACTTCATGACTTCAGAAATTAACCGGGGATATCGAAACAGCACATCAGATGACTGAGGTAGAAAATCTGTTGTGAGATCACAAGTTAATTTAAAAAATTTGAAGAAACAGCAAAATTCAAACTATGTTTTCCAGAACCTTCCTGGAATATTGAATAGTGTACGAGAAGTGTTTAATTTTCCCTCTCAGCGCTATAACTTGATATGTCAGCCTTTAATCAAGAGGCAAACGTTTTGCCATCTGTGACAAATGAACTGGATAAACATCTGGAAAAAAGCTGTAAACCGGCCGCCTAGCAAAAAGAAAAAACACATATATTAATTGTGAAGATATGTCTCTTGATTATGAGGACACATTCAGTCCAGCAATTACACCACATACTGAAGACAAACCTAGTGGTTTACTGATCACAAGAAAGTTTACAGATGAGTGGAGAATATTTGGCCCACCTCTCCTCTGCTCACTAGTAACTTAACAATCTGAGAGACTCATTTAGCCATTACTTGAAACAAGCCAAAGCATCAGCTTTGTCTACAAGGATGGGTAGTTGTTCTAGACTCCCACAACCCTTTTTGTGCAAAAGAGTACCTGTTTTTTAAGTTTTGGTCTTTGGCTAGTGTTTAACTATTGATTCTGAAGAAGTCCATTGGTTGAATTTGTCAGTGCCTGGATCAACTGCCATTGTAGTCTTCACGTATCAAAGCTAAAAATGTTCAATTCTTTTAGCACACTAATGTATCTGTCTACTCTAAGCAGGGCCAAGTCCAAAGAAAGAGCGAATGAAACCCCTTGATTTAAATTTTATACTTTGAATTACATATCTGTGACTGGAGACTCCGTTTCCAGATCAACTGGCACTCATGAGGTATTGACATGTACACATACACACACATACACAAACATTTCACTATCTAAACAAAGGCGGTAAGTCTGGTTTCCAATGTAAACAAACTAGTCTGGAATTCCGGGGATAGCTTTGCTTGCTCTGTGGGTGCATACACAGAGTAAAGTAAGGATGTTCCCGTATTATCACTCTGCAACTCACAACTGGCAACCCACTGAAGCTAAGCAGGTGTGAGCCTGGTCAGTACTTGGATGGGAGACCTCCTGGGAAAAACTAAGGTTGCTGCTGGAAGAGGTGTTATTGGGGCCAGCAAGGGGCACTCACCCTGCAGTACGAGGTCCTGACTCTCTGCGGTCATTAAAAATCCCAGGGCGTTTCTTGAATAGAGTAGGGGTGTAACCCCGGCGTCCTTGCCAGATTTCCCATTGGCCCTTACCAGTCATGGCCTCCTAATAATCCTCATCTATGAATTGGCTTCATTACTCTGCTGTCCTCCCCACTGATAGCCAATGTGTGGTGAGTGTTCTGGCGCACTATGGCTGCCGTCGCATCATCCAGGTGGATGCTGCACATTGGTGGTGGTGGAGGGGAGACCCCATTACCTGTAAAGCGCTTTGAGTGGAGTGTCCAGAAAAGCACTATATGCCAAGTGTAAGCAATTATTATTATCAAAATTAAACTTTAACTCAAATCAAACACCTGTTTTCCTTTGTTTTAGAAGTGAAATGAACCAAATTAGTGATCAACTCACCTGTTTCAAATAAATAAGTTGTTTGGATTTCTTACCGGCAAAATGGTTTCTCCCACAACCTGTAGAACCCAAACTTTGCCATGGCAACAGAGACTGGCTTAATAGTGCCTGTTTCAGGGTTGCACATGCGTGGATTAATTTGTAAGGAGATACCATTAAGAGGGGGTAGTATTTTCTTAAACAATATTTATGTACATAAAAGAAGTATGATATTTTATTTTTGGTAATAATATGTTCATTGTTTAGTTATGTACTTAATTAAGAAATGCATATAATCAGAATTATTTTGTCAAATTATTTTTGCTTTATAGTTGAATATTCTAGGGGGAGGAGTTTAACCTAGAAAAGGAGCTCTTCAATATAGGAGGGGGGAGATAGGAGCAGGTTGGTTGTGAGGATAGAACAGGAGCTGCCTACAACAATCAATTTTTTTTTTTTTTTACAGCAAATACAGCAAATGTACTATAGCTTTGTGTTGTTTTTTTCCCCCGGTTAGTACATGTTTTTCACTTTATTTTTTGGGTGTGGACTTTGGGATCACAGTTCCTCTTAATAAACACAATTGCACGTCTTTGCAAGTGTGGCTGTGCCATCGCTATTGTTACATTCTATCTACACCTCTAAACTCTTCAAGGAGGAGACTGTGACAATATCCTAATGTTGTTTGCCTTGGTTTACCATACTGTACAGACAATCCTTTAGCTTAGTTCTAATGATCATTTCTATACATTTACAGGGAATTTATCGATTTTACGATTTATTGGTCTATAATGATTCGGTTCACTTCTTTCACTCCTTTCATGTATGGGTGCTACAACAGAGATTTCCCAGTCAGTGAGTATTATCACTGTCCTGTGTGACTATTGTAGGAGTTACAGTATGTTTACAGTCTGTGAATAGTTTATTTTGTTTCCTAAAGAACTATTGGTAGAATACCACCCAGACCAGATGATGTTTCTTAAATGCTTTTAAAATCTCTAAAGCACAAATATAACATTTTGATTTTGCTCAGCCAGAAGCCTTCTATAACTCTCTTTCCTGGTAAACACCTCAGGGAAATATATTGGTTATTTCTCTTTATTTAAAGGTCTGACTTACAGTATGAAAGTAATGAAGATAAAGGTCTTCATTATTACACTGCATTAATTCTACTCATATTAATATAATTAATTAATATGAATTATATTAACTTTATACTTTGCATTTCCTTTACTGTTGCAATACTGGAAAAACCTGGTTATTGATTTCATCCACTTTTGGAGGATATATTTTTTCAAATATCCTTTTTTCCAGTCTTTGTAATTTATTGGACTCCCATTTCTTTAAGGGGGTCTTATTCTGTTTTAATCATTTTGTGAAGTGCTATTTTATCTTTGATTTTTAGTTATTAAGTTTATTAAACTTTTTTGGCTAATTGTTTCTAGTCTTTGTTTAATGCATTGACTCCTACCGAATTTCAGTAATTTCTGTATTTTGCTTTTTCCAAACATTAACTATTCTTTACTTTTTCTATATATATATACCTTTTTATTCTACCATATCCTATACATACAGTGTGTGCAGTGATGTATTTTCAAACATGTATTTTTACGCAAGTTAGCTCACTGGGTGATGACAATACTGGTTTCCTATAATGTCGTCTCCAAGAAAATGCTAATCGAATAATTCCACCTCAAAATGTTACAATGAAGAGAGTCAAAAACTTGATCAATGCCATGCAGTTAATTTCATCCTGGGATTTTTTTTTTTCATATGTAGTGTAGCTACAAAAAGTTTTGTGCTGAGTGGACCAGGTTTTTGAAACAGATTCTGTTTGTCCTATTCTTCTTAGAATGAAAAGTCCTAAGGGCTCCTACCCAATAACATGTAAAGGAGATCTGATCAATATACATGAACCTCATGTGCACCATTGGGGATTGTTCATCCAGCATAAGGATTCTCAATTCCCAGCTCCACAGATTATCAGTAAAAATGTCTACATTGTATCTCAGAATATTATACCATGTGCCTCCTGTCAACAAGCATTTATAAGCCTTTTTAGTTATTTTAGCGATTTCTTGTATGCCTGACAGTACTCCCTTTCCAGTTTTTAATACAAAAGAAATAAGATTCTCATGGAGCTTCAAAGAAGATTCAAAGAAAGTGATTAGTTAAGTGAATAATAAGAATGAAAAGGATCAGCTGCAGTCCCTGTTAATCATTCACTCACCATGACGATCCCTCCAGACTGCTCTGCAACGCACATGCTCATTATCGGAGCCATGCCAATAGTGGTGCCCTGGAAGTACACTCCGCTGTCAACAGAGAAGTGAACAAAGGTTCAGAAAAGGTCTCTTAATACTGTTATTTTACATTACTACTACAGATACTTTTTTTAATGTGTTACACCTGGGAGCAAACACTACCACTTCAGTTAAAATCTGCAGCATGGGATTTTAGAAGGAGAGGATGCTCTTACTGTGAACTACACAGACCATGGTCACATGTTGACATTTGCCTCGTCTTCCAGGGTGGGATGTTATATTTAATATCTGTACCTGTTTGTGTGATATACAGTACATAGCGTCTGGAAGACTTTGATAATCTGGGATGGTCAGGGCAGTGGTTTTCTCCTACCTCACAAGCTGGGCATTGTCATGAGGCCTCTGGGGCAGCAGTTTGGTCTTCCTCCAGTCCAGGAACTCATGCAGGGTAGTGAAGGGATCCTGTGTGACTGAGCACTTGTCCACATCACTCCACACCTCCAGCCCCACCAGAGCCACACGTATATTCAGCGCTCTGTAGAACTGGAGACCAGAAGAACTTCAGCACTCAGGGAAACCGCTGTAGTGTAAGCTTTGTAGAGCTGTTCAATGAGGTCTGGTCATTTCCCAGAATTCCTTTGCTTAGAAAGGGAATGCAAACTCAGAATGTTTTTCAGTAATATTTCTTATTTGTAAAGAACTATCAACTATCGTAAATTGGACACAAGATTGTTATCCTGCAGCCGCTGCAGGGATCTTCGGGAGGTCCCGGCGAGATGATATGGTAGAGTGGCAGCAAGAAGGGAGCAGAGAGAGAAACGGTGAGGCTAAGGTTAAGGAGCAAAGGCTGCGGGATGCAGAATGAGTAATGTCTGCGGAGAAAAGGCAAGGAGACCAGAGAGAGAGTGGCTGCCTGGAAAAGCATTAATTTACTTCATGATAAATGTATAATGCTTTTCTTACCTTATCAACATAGTTAGCAATCTCAGCCAACCGCTGCTTCACCTTCTCCACATCTTTCCCTTGCTTCTGAAACTAAAAATTGAGGACAATGCACACTGAAGCCTTGAGAGATCTGTAATGATCCGTTTTATATTCAACTGAAAAAAATAAATTACTACAGGAATCCTATAAATCAATTATAAATGAGAACATTTTTATTTATAAAGAGCTAGAAAAGTCTAATCCCACCCGTATGTGAACGTGGAATTAAATCAATCATCCGTAGAGTGACTATTTACAAGTAGAGGTCATATAGTAGCAACATCTAGAGCACCTTCATAAGCTGACCTGCCACATACTGTATATTTAACATGTTTAAAATATTTACAGTAATTTGCTGCCTAAACAAAAAAGTGACAAAGTTTTAGCATCACTGTTGGAATAAATGATAGCCTGGAATACTGTAAATTCAAAAGTTACAATATATCAAATAAGGGAGGCGGGTAGGAGTAAATCTATATTGACAATATTGATCTATATTGACAATTGACAATCTATATTGACAATTGACAATATCCTCTAAAATATGATTTAGAGGATGTGTGTCTCTGGACATTGAAAGTAAAAGAGGAACTGGCAGAACTGCACTGTAGTCCCACATAAAAATCTATCACCCCGCCATAAAATCGGCAGTACCATTTTTTTAGTTAGACATGACAGCTGTAAAGAAGTAACCAATTTTGTTTCTTTCTGGATGTGTGTGGTCGTAAATCATGAACAAAGTTTATATTACACAGCTCTGTACATGTGTTTCTATGTTTCTATCCAATGTAATGAGTTGTTGTGATCAGCTATACTCCATTGAACAAAAGAAAAGTATACAAATTGTTTTCCTGTAAAAAATGTGTGTGTTGATACACACTTTCTAGTTATTCAATCTGCACGTTGGCAGAGAATGAGTAGCTCAGTGCGTAGCTCTCTACTCTGTAATGTTAGTATCACTCCTTTTTGCTACATCAAAAAGAACATTTGCAGAGTGAGAAAATCAGATACCAGACACGGAATTGTTTCCATAAGTTGCTGACCTTTCCATCTTTCTGTCAGTTAAGTTCTGGGAAATAATGTCTCCTTAGAGTCTTACAAGATTTCAGACTAAAAATCCCATTCCTTTTCAAAGTGGTCTATGAAACACATTAAACCTTTGCTCTGATACTTAAAGGCAGTGGACTTATTAGGACTCCGTAGAGGTCCTTTTCTTGCTGGCAGATCTACAGATCACAGGGGATTTATTCACAGCCTCCTCTTAATCACTCATAGTTGTCACAACTAATGTAAAATTACCGTATTTTGAAGAAGGAGAATATTTTCTCAACCATATTGTTGTTCTATGTTTTGAGCAATGCCCAAATACCCTTTTCCTGACTCCTCCATTATTACTCCTCACTTTTGTTTTGGTTCTCTGGAAGTCTGGAAGATATTACTGATACAACCATAGGAGTACAAAGCACAACCACATAGGTAGGTGACCCTCAGAGAAGCTTCTTCCTACCTCTCGATTATCTGCTACAATAATTAGCTCCACATATTTGGTTGTCTTTTGTGTGTCCCTCTTGTGCTGCAGAGAAAAGAAATAGAAACATTATCAGGGACCAGGCAAGCTGACTGATCTGCAAGAGGGGGAACAAGACTGAATAAAAGCAAACAAAACAGTTAACGTTGCCCATGTCTTTTCTCCGAAGAGGAAGAGATAAGAACAGACATCTGCATAGAGGAGCTATGCTACTCCAAACAAAGCTGATGTCAGAGCATTTAAATTAAATATATACAGTACTGTTGCATGTACACCATTTTATAAATCTACTTCCTTTTTAATATCCACTTCAGCAACCACCCTGACCAAAAAAAGTGGACTAAAAGGATGGATAGACTTCCACTTGTGTACTGTCATGTTTTTTGTTATTGTTTTTTTAAAGAAGCAGATCAAGTATATCATACTGTACATTGGAAGGACGCAACATAATCTCAATTCAAGTCCTTCCGCTAATGAAGAAAATGCACTTTAGGATGACAGTTATATCTCTAAAGATGACTGCTCATGAGCAGAGCCACTCAGAACAGTTTTACCAGCAGAGTACCAGCAGGGTGCTTTTCATGAGTGGAGAACTCTCTTGTCTATTTTCAGAAGTCCTCCGTGATTAGCAGGATAGCAATATACTGTATATACTGTATAAAAAATCTGCTAAATACTGTATTAGTAACATGTCTTTGTTATTCTACCAATAGTCTATCATTTCAAATCAGGCATTCAATATAAAAGATTTACTGAATTCTTGCAGATTTCTGTTAGCTGCTAAATACTTATATTAACAACATACAGTAACTTCACATATGATATAACTTCCAAGTATTAAAAAAAGTGTTCATAAACACCCGAACATCAATGTTATGATTGATGACTATGAAGAATACTGTGTTGCAAGAATACCTGTTTCAAGAAGGCCTCCGATTTATATGATTTATCTCTTGCATTTTCATTTGTAATAATTTAGTATTCTTCATCTCACTTGTCTGTCTAACTTTAGATACTATTCTTGTTTTTATTGAAATATCAGGTGTCAAAGTGTGTTTATACAGACGTAGCAGTAAAATCTTCAGAGAATGTCATAAATTCTGGTAGAAAATCCCTGTGTTACATCTGATAAAACTAAATCCTGTAAGCTGGCATCACTGAGTTTGCCTCCAGCATCAGTCAAACACAGACACCAGCTACATCAGAGATAGTTTATACAACAAGAACACCACATGGCTTGGGGTTTAGCCAAAAGCCACAGGTTTATCCACATGACATTACTATCTCTGTGTGTCTCTCTGTGCCCTCGACCACTGCAGGCCTGTGCAAAATGTGTACCTAGAAACCTAACATAACCTTCAAACTGAGATCTTGAACTTACCATGAACTTCAAACTCTGCTATATTAGCTGGGTAATAAAGACATTAAATGCAATACTTTCATTCATTGAAAAGGAAACAGTTCTTGGAAACTACAGACTTTTCTAGAATTTCTTATTTGAATTAAAGCAAAAACAAAAACTTTACAAAAAACACCATCATAACACCTTCATAAACACTACAGACAGACTCTCAACTGAACACAGAAGGCAGAACTTTACATCTAAAAATGTTGGAAGACAACATCAATGACTTGAGGACCTTCTATCCGAAAAAGAGACTTTCAGCTCAGCAACATTAGACTAGGTACAGTTATGTTAAATTTAATTTTTATATGCATGCTGTTATCTCACATTGCACAGTGATTATGAAGGAGTTATGATGGTGTTTTTTGCCTTATTCAAGTAAAGGATTTAGCAATGTTGAATTTCTTTGCCTCCTTTTATACAAATATACCAAAGCAAAAAAGCAGCAGATGGTATAATGCATGCAAAAGAAATACAGGAAGCTTTAGAGCGCTTCCCCTGTGCTCTTTTTAAGACATGTAAGGCGTAGAAACAATTAAAAAACATTCTGGGTGAGCTACATTTACAATGTACAAAATTACCCAGTACTACAGCAATTGCAATGTGGGGAAAGTCAATTAAATAAGTTACAGTTTTAAGTTGCTTTTTCATGTGACAAATGCTGATCACAACATAAGAATATAATAGTAATAACAATAGATCTTAAAAGGTAAAGTAACACAGTGTATATGAGAATCTTTATGAAAAGAAAATCCCTAAATAGTACTGAAATTGTAGCTTATGAGAAAAAATGCACGAAGCTTAAGAAGTGAATTTAAAATTGAGCCTTGAATTATTGGATTATATTGCAGTATTTTTGTTTTCTAAATTATAATCATAATCATATGATGATACTTGTCTCTGGGTAATTATTACCTCTCAAATGTCATGGTTTGGATATTCCACAAAGCTGTAAATATTATCCTATGGAAATCTTAAGGCATCAACAAAATGATGCCTAAGAAAGAAAAAAGGTTGAGAAACCCAATTTTAAATTCCAGGATAGCTGTTGGAACCAATTTTCACTTTTTTTAAATTTGTAATATGCTCTGCAGAGTAAAAGGAAAAACGTGATCCCAACTGATTGAATCACTTTGTCATCAGATAAAGACAACTAATAAGGTTGCAGGAGAAACACAAACATAAATCTCAGTAAAAAAAGCTTTAGTAATAAATTCCTACCCCACAGTATAACAGATCCTAAAGTGCATCATAAATCTGAGAAATTACTAGCTCCCAAATGTGCTGATGGCATTGTGATCCTGTCAGAAAGTATTAAATAAGAACTGAATAACTGTGGTTTTGTTAATGAAATAGAATTTTATATTTTATGTACTTTGGTTAAAGAAGTATTGAAATATAAAGTGTCAGTTTACACATAACCACCTCCAGCAACACAAAATGTAATGTGGAAAACATTGCATCTGGTATTTAATATAATTAAAACTGTCCTTTTGGGACTGTAGATGAAAATCTAACTAGTGTTAATGTAAATGTAATGGAAAGAGGAGATGACTTAGTTCTTTCTAAATTCTGGAAATGCAGGGAGAATAGATTTCTCATAGACAGATCTCCTGAATGTCCTTAACCCTTGTCTGCAACAGACACAGATGACCTAACAGGCAGGGGCCAATGATGGCTCAACCATAGCAGTGTATCTACAAATCTTTTTTTTTTGTTTCTAAAGCCATGTTTGCATTTTTTATCCTAGCAATTCTGAGCCAAGATAATCAGGCAATCACCCTTCAACATTTCTACCATAACATATTGTAAGACCAATATTACTAACAAGTAACAAGAAGAAAAGCTGACTAATTCTGTCAATCCGATTACAACAGCATCTTATAAAGTAACTTCTATTTCTGTGCTGACTTTTTGAGACATTAAAAATCATACCAAATCCAGACATCAACATCACTGGTTCCGTACTTTTTGTAGGTCCACCCTTTAAATTCAGTTCATGGTCTCTGTCCCTCAAGCTGTGTGTTTCCAAGGTAGGGAAGCCAGGTCAGTTGAACTTTTTAAAAGGCAGATTAAAAACTGCTCCCTTTGAGCAGGCTTGTGATGGATATTATATGTTTTCTTTATTAGAATTCAAATAAGTTTCTATAAGTGCCTCCCATTTACAGCTGCTATTTTCAAATAATTTCTCTGTCAGATCCCCCTGTTGTGCAGTTGGTTTCTTTTCATGTGGTGAACACACATGCTGGGTGAGACAGCTGAGAGAACCAGGAAAACAGCATGCACACAGGGAGGCTGAGCAGGCAGCATGCACACAGGGGGAGCGGGGCTGTAGTAGGCTGGAGAGACAAACAGAGCATAGAACAGGCAAAGCACAGTCCAGTGACATGGTCCTGGAATGTAGCTGGGTTGCTAGTCAGGCAGCAGGTAGACAAGCAAAAGTACAGGGAAACACAGCCCAGAGAAGTAAACCCCAAAATTAGCAGGGATATACAATACAAAGCACCAAGGCAATCCAAGTGACAAAATTGAGACAAAGCTGGATCGTGTATCCAAAGAAAGCACCAAGATGGAAATTGGGATTTAGGGAATGAGAGAACTCAAGACTTCCACAGAGCTTGACTCTGTACCAGACCCCTCAGCAATGTCAGAGTTATACTTAAATATTCTGCACCACCTGGTATGGACGTGGATGGAAATTGCTCACAGGTGATGCAGATTTCCTGTCGCAATACATTTCAATGATAACCAGCTCTGAGTGACAGGTGACTAGCCAGGTACCATGACAAATGCTACCTTGCTCTGCAGCTTTGAAGCAGGGGCAAGCCTGACATTTACAGGATAAATTAAGTATAACACTCACAAAGAAAATACCTGTAGAAAGCACTCATCTAGGCTGGGTCAGTGATTGTGCATCTGTGCTGTCCTCTTACCCTTGCATTGAACGTTTTGAAGGGCCTGGCTATGTCATCCACTCTGAAGTCTGATATGTTGAAGCCATGACCACATGTGCCAGGAGAAAAGTTGAGGTTTTCTGCTCTGTAAATCAAATGACTTCTGTTTGCTGGATCAAACACCGGCTCCAGGACAAATGTTTTGTTTTCAAGTAAGATGAATCCCCTGTGAAGAAATTGATTTTTCACAATAATACACTTAATACATGTGGGAAATGTGTATAATTGGTTATTCAGCAGCTTTATACTTCAAATTACTCCATGCTTTATAAATCACAAAACAATAATTTTAGTATTACTGATAATCTTGGAAAGTGGGATGTTTTATTTCTCTGTCAGATTTGGCAATCCTAACAAGATATAGATGTACTGTAATACTTGTAACACACAAGTGAATTTTTCCTTTTGTAAAACACAACACTTTAAAACATACTTCTGTTTGTTATCATTCATTGCAGACTCCTCTTTTGTTTAAAGCTTTGGTGGTGTAGTTTTACAGTCTTTCTCTTTCTCAGAATGCTCATTCCAGCCCAGTTTTGCAGGTAAGATACTGTAAAATGGGGATTTAAACCTTGTACATTTGTCTGTAACGTCATGTTTTAGAAGTCCCTAGAACCTGCCATTCCAAAAGCAAGTATTGATCTTTGCTTCTGTTTGTATTCATACTGCTAAAATTTGTTAACATATTAGTTTTCATGGATTTATTAAACATTTAATTCAATGTATGTTTCATTCTCTAGGGCTGACTGACCAAATGTTTTAGCAATTTCCATACACAATATTCACATCCACAAAGACTTACATTTAACCGCCCCCCCCCACTCCCTCAAAAGACAAATTTGCTGCCAACTAAAACTACAGCACAATTTCTTTTGGCTAAGAACCTCTGCAACATACAGTATTTCTTGTCAAAAAAGGTCATTGTACCTCTCTATCACAATACTTTGCAAAAGAGCTTATATAAGACTGAATGACCCACAAGGAAAACAGCTTGAAAATGACTAGTGAAAGCCTTGAGAAGATGAAAACTTTTTTGGCTAACTTACTTCAAAATTCCTGATGTTGTCCGGCAGTGTTTATTAAAAAATTATTGCTGCTATGTGCTGCCAAGGGTTCTTTATCATTACATGTAATTGAATTGTAGCTGAAGGTTACATGACAATTCAGATGTTTCAAGTTTCATAATATATTCACATTTTTGTTAATTAAGCCAACACCATCTATATATCAAAGTTCAGTGCTTTTGTTTAAAGAAGTATACAGGAGGTTTTTAGTTTCCAAATATGCAATAAAATGATGGATTGTGCATATACAAGTCTTGGTGTATATGTGTCTTTGGACAGTAATGGAAGGTAACAAATTACAAGTACGTTGTGACAAAAAACGTTTGTGAACCTTCTATGGTGGTCCACATTCTCTAAGATTTCAGTACTGAGGTACAATTATGTCTTACAATCTTAATAAAACATAAATATATAACATTTACTTGATTATTTAAGTACAAACTGATTCAATAATAACTGTAGTAATTCGGTAACTGTTGGCACCTCCTTGAGTAGCAGTGACTCCAGCTTCTCACATCGGCTTTTAGGACTTGTGGCCCATTCTTCCTTACAGAACTACTTCAAGTCAATGACATTTGAAGACTTTCTGTGAGAACAGCTCGGTTCAGGTCCTGCCATAACATTTCAGTTTGGTTTAGGTCTGGACTTTGACTTAGCCAGTCAAACATGAAAAATATCTTCATCTTCAGCCATTCTTTTGTAGATATAGTGGTACTGTATGTTTAGGATTGTTGCCTTGCTGCATGACCCACTTTTGGCTCAGCTTCAGCTGACAAATGTATAGCCTGACACTCTCCTCCAGAATTTCCTGAAAAAATGCAGAATTCATGGTTCTGTCAATGAGTCCCGAGGCTCTGAAGCAGCCCAAACTATTATACTTCAACGATCACGTTTGATGGTCTGAATGGGGTTATTCTGTTGGAAGGCTGTGTTTGGTTTTCACCTCATAAAACATTTCTCTTTGTAGCCACAAAGTTAAACTTTGAAGTCGTCTGTCAAGAGAACATTCGTCCAGTGGCCTTGTGGATCATCCATGTGCACTTTGGCGGACTTGAGGTGGAAGAATCACAAGACCCTGATTACCTTACCACTTAACTGTGCTAAGTAAAATAGAGATTCACACACATTGATTCTTAAATATTAATTCTTTCTATTTCATATACCATCACATCTCAAATAATATTTCATTTAACCCTCCTGGCTATAATAAAAAACGGGTTTTGATTAAACAAGGGTATCATGGTAGGACATTGTAATTCCTATGATCACAAACTCTTCCTCAGCACTGTAGTGCCAGTTAACACAATCAGATAGAAAAACTTTGGTAATAGTAAACAAAATCCTTTTCAATTGTTTCAAGTCATTGAAACTCATAAATGCTTCACAGCAACTTACAAATTTGTAAGGATTTTTGGAAATGTTATAATTGGGATTACTTTTGAGTAAGCAATCATATAGAGAAACACAATAAGGCTTCTATATATTCTAATTCTACACAGTTTACAGCCTTTAGACTTTCAGACTCCCTGTGCATGTCCTGTACATGTGTCCAATTACTTGACTTCATCCACTCAAAGGTTGTACCTCTGTGATGGATTATTAAAAAGATCTCCCTAACCACCTCCCTACCTCCACTGTCCCAACTCCTTAAAATGTTTGGATCCTTAATTGTTAACATTTTTAGAACTGTCTTGAGACTGCCTGCTACCAGTTTAAAAGCTTAATAATGAAATGTAACAGAGGAGAGAAAAGAACAAGCTGTATATATCAAGTGTCTATTCATTAATTTAGGTTTAACAAGGATAAACATAAATGAATATGATGATAACTTATAATAATGTAATGAAAGTAACACAAGCAGATGTATCCCATTACATTACACACACAGCAATTTAACAGATTACATTATAATTTTTTTAAAACTATATGTCTGTAATTCTTGATGGATTACAAATTAAATCTGACCTTTTTAGTCCTGTGTGTTTATACATGGGTAAGAGGAGATTGAGCAAAAAATAACTTTGTAGTTATGCCTAAAATGGCTACAGTGAAATATATCTCACTTATTTATTTTAATGGAAAGGAATCAGTTTTAATTTCACACACAAGAAAATAGAATACCAGTGTAGCAAAGATTGACTGTTCCTGATTTATTCCTTAATAAAGGAATCCTTGTGTATTTTTCACCAAATTCACTTCATAGATACTGGAATGGATATATTTAGTACTACAAGATGACATTTGAAAAGCCAATTAAATTCACCAATGAAAAAATCAAGACCCTTAAGAGGCAACATTCCCATTTGAATACAAACATACGGAACCACAAGGTCTTGTGATCAAGAAGATATTACCACCATGCGCAAAACATACAGTAGATAGTAATTTTATCTGATTTTGAGGACAACCTACCTAAGACCAGAACAAGTGCTGAGGCTCACTTCAGAATGGGCATGTCCTTGGACCTCACCGTGATAGTAGCAATTAACCTGGAAGAGTGAAGCATCCTATTAGACTGATTGGTTTTCACCAATTGAAATGTATACTTCAAGGCAGCCTTCCTGAAAAGGTAATTTCCTCATAAAATAAATTTTAAAGACGGTAGAAGTAAAATAAGAAAGACTGGCACAGGGATGATATCTGACAATTGGCTTACGGGTCCTAAACAGGACTGTCTAACAAAACCTTGTACTTCTTTGCCTGTTTAATTGTAATTGCATGTGTCTGGTTGTTTTTTAAATCAATTGCAGTGAGTATCTCCTCTCTCAAGGGCCCTGTGAAGGAGATTCAAGTACATCTAACCATGTACTCCATTTAGATTCCAGCTTTTTTTATTATACTAAGAAGCAACCATGAAGAAAGGCAGATAAATCTCTGCCTAGCTAACTGCCCCTGTAAATCAGAATCAGTAAAAATTTGAAGACAAAGAGAGCTTGTCAGAGTAGGAAGTGTCTAGTTTTGAGAAATAACAGAACTCCCCTGTTATGACTGGCATAGCCTCTTTCAAGTGTAATCGGACTGTGTTAGCTGCAGCCACACTACCGTGCAAACAGCAACTCAGCAGAAAAATACTGAAAGTCAATATTGAACTTTCTGAAGAAATGTTTCACTGCTATTTGCAAACTGTGGGCACTCTTTTATGGGCTTACTCATTCCACAACTTTTCAGCTGTGCCACACTCCTGCAGGCTCTCAGAATGAATGCCAGGGCCAAGCAAGCAGCAGAAGTCTCTAGAGCATTTTAAACCAAAGTGCAATGTGTACATTCCACTGAAAGAATCTGTCTTTCAGCCTTTTGATCATGACCTTGTTACAAAAAAAGGATCTAGTTACATTAAATATGTATACACTGCAGCAAAATTGAAGTGCTTACTTTAGTATTTATGTTTCATTTATGTTAAGTCTATCTGTTAATAGACTACAGTAAGTGTGGGTACCCAGAACATAAAAACTGTTTGTTAGGTAGTGAGTTGTGGTAGCCGGCAGTGGAATTCATTGCTGAATTCAACAAAGGCCAGTTTTCAGAATACTCACTCACTTTATAAACAGTTGGGCTTCTGCACCCTAACAAACCTAACATGCCACACAAAACCTATGCAGCTTATTAACACATTATTCCTGCTGTTAAAAGTGCTTACAGGTACAGTACATTTCTTGAATGGCTTTAATTAGGTCAGCAAAGCAGACAAATAAAATAAATTGGAGCTCTCAATATCATGTCAAACCAATCTAACTGCATGCTTTTATCTTTGAAATAAATACAAGTCAAACTCCCCTTGATAAAGATTACTCTGCATCCAAATTTCAATACTTAAAGAAATGGACATGGCAATGTTTTGCTGTACCTGACAGCTGCTGTTCAAACACCTATGAAAGACTCAAGAAGTCTTTGAGTTTAACTCAAAATGTTCCAAAGCACAGCACTTTGTGGATGTGCCCAACCAGTACTAGACATCTACAGCATGAGCTCTACAATCATTTTTAAATGATCAGCTACAGCCTTTCCTTCCTATGTACCTGATGTTTCCTGTTTCCTAGGTGCCTGATTCTGAGGCATTGTGTAATGCAAGCACTTCAAGAAACTCAATATACATTCAGTATGCCTTCATTGGTTTGATTACCAAGAAGAGAAACTTCTCTCTTGTACACCTTTTTTAGTAGCAATGCTGTCCTGCATTTTTACTTTATGGTAGTTAGTAAAAGAATTCACTTCAAATAGGAACGAAAAGTAGCTGTGTTAAGTTTTTCTTCTCCAAGTTTCACACCAGTGTGGCTTTCTTTGTTGTCTAATGTGAAATGACGCATGCTGTGATTTACACTAGGGAAAGCTAATAAAACTTGCAAATTAAAACTCTAAAGGAGTCTGAAGCACAGACATGACTTATTTGCTCCAATAATATGTTATTGTTGACACAAACCTGATCCTTCCCACCCCTTTCTCCTGAACATATTTTAAGTCCATTTTCCCGACAAGCCTATAAATTAACAATATTTTAATATGCCTAATAAATGCTGGCTTGTCCATAACCAAGGCACTTCTCTTAAGCTTTGAAGCCAGTCAACAGTAATGAGGGTGAGCGGTTTTATTCTCTCCCATGACACCAGGAACACTTGCTGTAAATCAGTCTGAATTAAAGTTAACTCAAATGGCTGGATCTGTCAAAAGCACTGCATTAATGTGTAGATTCTCAGTAAAACATCTTCAGTGTGTCACAACATTTTTACTGCCGTGGCCTCAGATGAAGCTGAGGCTAAACTCAGCAGACAAAGGTACAGAAGTTGAGCAGACGTTTTGGAAAGGCTTTGCCTACTGTGCCAGCCGCCCAGCAGTGGTTAAAACAGTTTTTTAGGGAGGAAGCATGGCATGCCTTCTTTATTCTGCCTGTCACTGCCACTGTAATCTCTTACAACTTCATTTCTTTGTTCTTTTGCACATTTGTCCTATTTGTAAGCTTAATGAGAGTGCAAGAAAACATTTACTAACAAGTGTTTTCCTGTTACCAGAATGGTTAAACATAAACTTGTATTTAACATGACTCTATATTTGATATTTTACATTTAATATTAAAGCATACACATACTGTATAACATTACCAAGTGAAATGTGCACCACATCATTTAATATTTGATCCATTAGCAGTGACTCCAAATTTAACTCCATTTGAGATGTATTTAAGACTTTCCATGCTATGTTACAATTTATATACAGTGGTCTCCAATCACACGAATGAATTTCAGATTCACCGCTGGAAATACTTTCTAAACTTATTTTCATAATCCCAGATCATTAACAAATGTTAAAGTCTTGACATTTTCTTACATTTGGCTCCTTTTCATTCATTAAGCACATATTCTTGGTAAAACTTAGACTTGGAAAACAAATGTACTATTTAATTATGAATTGTGAAAGTTTCTTGAAATCACGCAGTGTGCATAATGTGCCACAATGTGATTTCAATTTGGATATCGAATCCTGTTATTTAAGTGGGGGAGACACTGTATTTGCAGAGATTGAAAAGATGCCAAGGAACCCACATGCTGTGAGTAAAAAAAATATATTTCAGTTCCTCAAATATTCACTGCGAAGCACAATTGTCAAACTTCAATGAAATGTTTTAAAAATCCAGATTAGATATGGCAGAAAATTGGTGTGCATTCATACTGTGAAATGTAAATGAAACACAGCTTACTCAAGCAAACAACCTTGAAAAACAGGAAATTTAATTATTTGGCATCCCCTGTCCATCCAGAAAATATGACAATGCAATGCTGTATAGGCAGCGGTGTGTGGTGACCACTGACAGCAGATATGCCTTAAAGCAGAGGTCTTAAACTCAGTTTTTGGAGGACCAAGAGCCCTTTGGATTCTGTTCCACCTCAGTTCTCAGTTACACATCTGATATAATTATTTAACTAACTGCATAGTGGTACAACATCTAATCAGGCTCTGGAGTATTTTATAGGTAACTGTACTGTACATTTAAGTGAATGTTTTGAGCTGTAAGCTCTAAAAGACCTAAAACAAAATCCTAACTAAGCATATAATTAGGTTATTTTTTAACTGACTACTCAAGTTGGAACAAAAACCAGAAGGCGCTAGCCCTCCACAAGCTAAAGAGATCAGGGACCTAAAGAATTGATAATTGACAATAACATACTAATTGCTAAATGAAACCGATGTGTTTTGGTTCACTTTCAATCTATGTGGTGTCCTTAGTACTGTCCCAGTGCCTGGTGAACTGTCACATTTTTATTAATTTACTTGCTGAATGTCTGTGTTGATTGGATTACATGTTAAAACTGTGTGAACTATTCATTTAATATTATGAATACAACAGAAATTAATTTCATACAGTGGAGTCATGAAGCTGACAGATGAGCGCAATTATGAAACAAGTGATGTATATGCTTTGGATGGAGAAAAAGACAACTGACATTGTTTAAGGAATTTATCTGGCCCATTGCTCAATGTAAATGAGCTGCAGTCTTCATAAGCATTTAGCCTACTTTAAAATCATGGTTGAAGTCTATATTTCATATTTTCAGAAAATGCATTTGAAAATATCAGTGATTACTATATTACTTATTGTAATTTACTGAAATCAACATTGGCACTGAAATGAAAGGGATTGTGAGAAATGTTATTTTGCTTTTAACACATTAGTTTTGACTGTATCTCCTTTAAGGTTTTATCTGTTGGTTTACAGTAAATAAGTGTTCAAGGACAGACGTAGCAACCCCCTGAGTATATCCCTTGTCAATGCTTGTGGCGTGCCACTGAAGAAAATTTGGGAAGCACAAAGAGTGTGGATAGGGATTTTGAACACTGTGTTTGTTAAAAACATCACATTGGGAAAGTTTTCCAGATTTACAAAACACTGCAATGACAACTAAAAGTCCGGATAAGAGCATTCCCAAATACTCTACACAAATAAACAAATCCAAAAGGAGCATTTTGGGATGTATACTATAATAAACAGCAAGTAAGTTTGTAGATGTAAGCCTACTTTTCATTAACTCTAGAGCTTGTTTCATCCTTTTCTAAATGTATATGCTGACTCTTGCAAAGACATGTTTTATTCCCTCTGCTCACCAGGTTACTGTGAAAATGTAAGCATTCTGTAAGAAAAATGCTAATTTCCTGGATTTGAGCTTCCTTTATGGAACCATGGTTTTACAAGCACCTCAATGACAGTTCAGGAGCTAAAGAAAGCTGTAAAAGTAGGACATGAGATTCAATCAACAGAAAAATGTTGCCTGTCTCCAGCAGGTTTTAAAGTGGATACTATAGGGAGCTATGCTACTTTTCCTTGCTTCTTGGTTCCAGCTTTTCCTCTTAAAAAATAAACCAAGCTTTGTCGTGCAATGTCCCCAAGAAAACCGGAGTGCACCTTACCGTTACATTGTGAGTGGAAGTTACTGCAGTTCCATCCTCCAAGTAGTGTGTTTCGGTGTAGTGACTGGCAAAAAGTCCTCTACAGTTCAGAAAACAAAAAACAACAAAACAAAGCTGAGTTAACCACAGACTGCAAATGACATTGTTTGTGTAACAGGGCTCATGCACTGAAGTGATGTCACCCCCCTCTGCGATCTAGACAGTATACAATTCTGCAGCAGCAGAGGGCCTGGTCTTGTGGTAAAGAGGAATTCTCCACTGGCTATAGAGAGGCGCCATGTGGCTCTGGGCCTGCTAGTGACCGTGACTGAGTCCTGGCAGGGGACGAGCAAAGCCACGCTGGTCACTGGTGTCATGTAGAATTCTCTTGTGGCAAGGGACCTGGCCTGTAATTCCACTAACAGTGCTTACTATCATAGTAATACAAGATAAATATTTCCATGACCACCTGTATAGAATTCTAATCGTTCCTCCCCACCTTTCCCAATTACATGAGATCCACAGTATCAAAATATAACTTTCTTGCTAGCCTAGTGAAACCATCTACTCACTTCTAAATACGCTATGTTTGTATTTAGGTAAAAGAAAACTACAACATAGGCAGCACAAAATTAAAAAGTTCACAATCAGAAAAAGTAAAATACATAAATCCAACAAAAATGTGAGACTTGGCTATCCAGCAAAGATTGTAGAACACAAGTCAAGAAGGGTCATGCAGAAAGTGTACAATGCTCTAGTTAGACCACATCTGGAATACTGTATACAGTTCTGGTTTTAACATTATGAAATCAAGAAACCTTTAGAGAAACGACAGAGAAGGGCAAAAAGACACTTTTTAAAAACTATCTGAAGTGATCTGAGATACAAAATAGTTTTTTTAATTTTTGCAATCCAAACAATAGATATATTTCACTTAATTTCTAAATTTATGCTTAACCTTTTTTTTTTCTGTAGCTATAAGGTACTGTATAGTATAAGAATGTGACTACTACTTAGTTCATTTTATTTCATTACACAGTATACACAGTCATATAGCTACATTTAAGAAAATTCTTTAAAAATTATGCCAGATCAAATAGGTTGTACAGGTGTTTCCTTAATTCAGATCAACAGCTGTGGAAATAGCAAAATAACAACAAAATATATAAAGCAACTCAGTGAAAGAGGAAACCAGTTAGACCTGACAATTATTTATATTTAGAGCACTGTTGTATAGAGAATGGTGGTGAATCAGTTTCACTACTCTTGTAAGGATATGAGTGTTGGTGACCCATATTATGAGCCTATCACACCTCCCTCCTACAATGTCACTCCCCAAATAAAGCTCAGCATCAGAAATTGTTGTAGTTTGAAGAACAACAACAAATGAGTTGACAGTCTTACAGATGGTCCTTCTGACCCTTTTTAGGTGGATGTAAAGGTATCTTCCAAGATAAGTAAGCTGAAGCCTATTATGATTATTACAGATGAAACCTGAGTCAAGAATACAGTACGCAGGCTATTGCCTACAAGGGCTGTTTTGTGTTTTTGTATGTCCTGTACATGTGCTAGAGAGCATTATAATCATCTTCAAATAACAGCTATAACATTCACCAGTGGTGTGTCAGATAAGGCTTGTCCTCATCATGCAAAACTGCAAAGGTCATTTTTGGCTTTCCAGCAATGCCAGAGTTTCTGGAGATGAGTGGGGAAAATGAATATCAGGGGTATGACAGTGGAAAAGACGGACGAGAAAAACAGGGGTATGTCCTGGGATGATATGAGCTCACTCTCAGCAGGAGACCCAGTGATTTAATTGTGCGTTTGCGCAGGGCTTAAGCAGATGTCCCGTGAGTGACAATTCATGAAAAGCGCATGCAGGGCAGTTAGGGAACACCCTTCAGTTCTGCTGTCTCATCTTACTGACCTCATTGAGCAGGGCCTCAAAGCCAGGACTGCATTGTGCAGGGTTTTCATTTTTGTTGGGTGGTTTGTACAGTACTGTATATACACTTTGCCAGCATGGGATATAATGCTCCCTTTTTCTCTCCTTTGAAATAAAGGAAACTACTGGAAATAACCAAGACTTCAATAACAAAACACAGAATAATGTACTAGATCCAAAAAAGTTCTTACTGTTCTTCATTGCTGCAATATCTTAATTGAAGGAGCTGTTAGCACGGAAATACAGTACAGGAACAGCTGTAAACTCCCTCAGACACGCAGTGCTTAATTCAGTTTTTTCTGGAGAACCAATGTTCGATAAGGCTTTCAATGAATACGACATGTACTTTGCAATGGATACTCCAATAATGTGATAGGAAATCAGCCAAATTATATATCCTGGTATATACAGTATAATAACAGGTTAACTGAGAATACATCTCTATTTACAAATAACAAAATCACAAATAACACTAGAACAGAACAGAATCTGAAACTGATCAGAATCGAGAACCTAAAAACATGCTCTAAAAGTAGGAAATACACAACAGTTGAATGTCTGTCTGAAGACGCCTTCCAATACAAAAAAATGCAAATTCATTCTATGAAGAGGAACCTGGTTAAGAACAACTGAAACTCCTTTACTCTCAACAGAGCACTTGTATTGATCAATGCATCCAATTAGACACTAATACTAAAAGGAACAAATCTTATTACTGATGATAGCAATAAGAACTACAAGAATCCCAAGTGACCTAGAAAAGAGTTGAAATGTGAAAAGCAATAATAAATCTATATTCAGAAACAACAGGGAAGAGACGAGTTTATTGGCTGTGATAATAAATAACAGACACAAGATGAACAAAGGAGAATAAGCGTTTCCTGGGAAGCTGTAATAAATTAAATATCTGTTTGGCTGTAATTGGAAACATTGAAATTTTATTTTTTTTAATTATGGAAACATCCTGGTTTGACAAATACAAAAATAATAACTGAGGTGAACTTTCAACCCTTAGTCTGTCCCTTAAGATAGTATATTTGCATAGTATTTTGGAGATTTTTTACAGTTTCACCTTACATACAGTATATTACATATATGGATTTCCATGTTCATATTATATCTTACCAAATACCACATCTCAATATAATGTACAGTAACATGATTTTGACATACTGTATATTACCACACTGCATGATAATTGAGCAGAGATTTCACCATGGGTTTAACTTGGTTTTGTACAATTGTGCTGCTTTTGCTATGATTTCACTGTGCTTTGCTTCAGTTTACCCTGTATTAATTATGATGTACCACAATAAGTTTTCAAAATGAACATCACAAACTTCTATCTGTTGTGCTAAACACTAAAAATGGATTTCTCTTTATAGAGAAAATCTATCTAATCTGGATAATAATCATCTTAACTTCCATTAGCATAGATTATTCTTAAAAATATGATAAAAGTAATTTATGAAAATATTGTTTCTTAATTAGCAGCAACTGACTTAAGTAATAGGAATGCCTTGATCTTCTTATTGTCTTTGTCATTTTAAATTATAAAGGACATTAGTAAATGCATTTAAGCAATACTAATTAAGAATGCAGAAACATTTTTAAATTCTATTTTAGTTCACCCCAACCTTTTGTAAAGATCTAAAATAAATTTCGTTTTTTGAAACAGAGAAAATGCACCACAGAACACAGAAAACCAAGGACATTAATAAATGTGAGTGATGTTTCAAGGCTGTGTGTGTCATTTTGTTTTGGTATTTGTTGGGGAAAAATAATTATAGATGTTACACATCTTTGTAAGGGGAAGAAGTTTGTACAGTTTATAGATGTATATTTTATATAGTTATCTTAGAGAGAACTGAAAATAATTTCATACTCCTCTGTTGTGTTTTTCTTTACTGAAACAGGAATGTAAAACCATTCAATAATTCTTTTGATTGACCAAACGATTTTCTTCTGTGGTTACAAAATGTGCACTTTGTTTTATCTTCCTTGCTTAAGTGAAGTCAATTACATACACATTGCCTAATAGGATGAACAGCAATAATATATATTAACATCTCAGATAACTTCAAGGTCACACTGAAATACTGTATGAGTCGAACCTTGTAGGAATTGACTAAACAATCATATTGGTAGAAAGCTTACCCTGAATCCTATGTGTAACAATGTGGTTTCATCATAAGAATAATTAGAGTTCTTAGATTCCTTAGAAACCAGCTTAGTGCAGCGATTAAAAAATAATGGAATCTGAATTGCAGCAAGAACATTAGACATTAGAAAACTTCTTTGATGTTACAAATTGAAAAGAGCACTTGTAGGTCATAAACTCCGAATGCATTATTTTTCTCATTGAAGAACACAGCGTACGTCATGAATTTAAAACTGCTAAATTCTAAGTACACTTTGCTGTGGATATTTTTTGCTTTTGCAGTGGTGGTTTTTATAGATTTCTGCTCCAATTTAAGCCTGGACACTTTTCTTTTCATTCAATTAATTTTAATTAAAATAGGGCCTTTGTGCATAATCAAAAGCTAGAAAGTTAATTGTTTACTGCAGCAGGTCAAGATTGTTGGATGCACAGTTGATCTTGCTCAGGATTCCAATTATCAATTAATTAAAGATACTTCTGTAGGTAATGCTGACCGAAAGCTGCTTTAGCTTTTCTTTTAATTAAATGTTTTTAAGACAACGTTTCTCCAAACCAGAAGTACAATCATCATTTTTCTTTCAGATTACTTACCTTTTATACTTTATACTTTACGTACAGTATAAACTTCATCCACATTTGTTACATAAGGATACACCTGGGCTACTATTTTACTTTTACGTCATGCAATTGTTTACTAGAAAATCCTGTAAAAGCATAGCCTCCAATCCTCAGCAGAAGTATTATTCCCTACACATTGAATCAAATGTTTATGTTACTTGTCTACTAATAATCATAGTGTATCGATATTCCATTCTTCCCAAAAAATCCATTCTTCCCATCCTTCCACATACTTTTGTTTGTTTCATTGATAATACTGTATGAGCAAACTGTCAAGTAAGTCACAGTTTTCAGGTGATAAATTATAGCCTACTAGCAATGTCTTAAATAGTCAAAACCATACTCTACAATAATTCCTCCTTCTATTGACAAGCAA